CCGTCCCTCGCAACCCCATACATATCCAAAGTTTTCCCGTACAAATGACATGATGACATGACATGCTTTGCTTTGTCATAAAACCCAATTTCCTCTCACCGTTTGAATTTACTTTTATTTATAGTTTATATAAACCGTACAGCGCTTGCTGACGTCATATTGCACATTAACTAACTACCGAGATTTTCCTTCTTTCAAAAGCTCATTTAGTCACATCAAATCACAGCACATCACAAAGTGTCCATTTCAAACCACATAGACATATCATCATCACAAAAGAACAACCATTCATATCATTAATCCATCTCTCATTTAGACTGCCGCATATCTCATTCATTCGCATCTCCTCTTCTCTCTCATCCCATCCCATCATATCCCACCCTTCTCCCTAAACGCAAACCTTGAATCGACCACTGACTTTCCCATTTTTTGAAAAAATCGCATTGACATAAACCTTCCACCTCCCATACCTGATCCCAAGCGCATTCACTATGTGTGTAAATGCCTCCCCGTCCAGGTACCTGGCCAAACCATTTCAGGCAAGACCAATAGTTACTCATGACTTAAACGCCCCAACCCATCCACCCATCTCAAAGATCAAACCATGGGTAGATGAAATGAAAGTATCTCCCAACCTTTAACTCCATCCATAAAAAAGCTTTATGTTACAAACATGACTTTGCTTTCTCTGGCTCGAAATTCCTCTCGTATCATCACTGTTCCCCTTTCATTGGCTTTTCAAGATCTAGTAACATATTCCATTCATTCATTCATTCTCGAAGAAGCCGAAAAATTTTCTGTTCCAATCCATCATTGATTCATTCATAAAAGAAAACATAAACAGCAACTTGACCTCCAACCTGAACGCTATGCACGCATTCCATGATGATAAAAAAAGTTCGAGCCTGAAAAATAAAATAAAATAGGAAAAATGCCCCTTCCATGCAGAATTTTCTTTCAATCAAGAGCAGAGTCGTTCGTCATGCGATGATACAAATCAATTTTCTCAAAAAACAATATAAAGAAGAATGGGGTCGGGGTATCAAAATAAACAAGTGCCTCTTCTTTCATCTCCTCCTCAACTAACCAGTATCCACATCGATAATGATTGTTCATCCGCAGGGATCACACTACCTGCCCAACACTTGACTTGTCCCTTTACTGAGATCAAGCCATTCTGGTTTTGTATGTATATGAAATTGCTTTTGCCGGTGTGCACTTCAACCCAGGGTGCGGCCACTATGTATCGTCTGTTGGCTAGCTCCCCTGATTGTAGGACCTGATCTCATCGAAACCGTTGTGTCGTATTCGGAGGTTTGATATCCAGTGGGTTGATTTTTCTTTTGAGCCTCCCAACCTTCTTCGCTTAACACACTTAACCACCCTTGTCCAACATCATTTCTTAGAGCCTCTATCTTTTTTCGATACAGCTCACCGCTTATGTTCCAATCGGGGGTATCCGGGGTCTTGACTGCCTGTGGTTTAATCGCTGTCTCGTAAGGTATTGTTTCTACTGGTGGCATTGGAGGTAAACGAGGTAATATGGAAGTGTCGATGCGTGGAATGTCCGGTTGCCTCTGGACCTGCCGAGGTTCTAAAGGGACATAGGTGGGAATAGTTCTAGGAGAAAAATCAGGACTTATGCCGTAGCTACTATCCGATACTGTTCTTGGCAGAGGCGGTGATGGTTCTTCTGGCATAACATTGTGAACCACTCCTTGCTTGCTCGGTGATGTTTCCGAAGTCGATAAGTCTACGATTCGTCGTTTTGGAGTTCTTCTTCTTCGACCTGTAGAGCCAGTGTTGATTTCACTAGTAGCAGCAACAGGCACCGGTCGCTCTTTCCGGAGTACTGCAGGTTCTCGTGGAGCTGCATATTCGATAATTGGTTTGTTAACCTCGATAGCGGACAGTCCATAATCGGGAGGAGGTGGTTTGACAACAGGCACACCTGGTCGTTCTGCAACACGTTCTACCAAATGCCGCCTTTCCGTGTACCCTGGTCCATAAGCATCAATCAAAATGTCCTCGGTATATCCTGGTGTTTGTCTGAATAGGTTGAAGATTGTCGTCCTGTAGTTGTTATGTGTTTTGGTAAATGGGTTGCCACTAATCCATATCTCTCGGATATCTGGTATTCCTGTCAACCTGGCAAGTTCTGTCGGATCAGTAACCTTGTTATCACGGAGATCAAGTCTCTCCAAAGGATATAACCTTTCAATTCCGGCTATCGATACGAGACGGTTCGACCTTAGGTTGAGAGCGGATATAGCAGGTAGGGGATTTCGAGTAAGAGAATGAAGGGATTCAATCATGTTGTTAGATAGATTCAGTGCTCGCAGTGCAGTAAGAGATGCTAAGCAATCTGGGATCTGAGCGAACAGATTTGAAGAGAGATCGAGGGAGTGGAGGGTATTAGCTAAGGGGGCAAGGCTTGATGCAGTAATAGACGTCAGACCATTGTCTGCAATGCTGAGATGTTTCAAAAATCTCCATTTTGAAGATGGCAAAACACCCATAGACAACATATTTGAGGTGCTGTTTCGAGGGTTGTGCCAGCTGTCAGACATGCTTGAATGCGAGCTCCCGGAACCAGATCTTTTAACCTTGTGCGAAGAACCACGGAGATGACCATGCGAGGAACCTGTACGGGAACTTGGTGGACGGACAGGAGAATTGCTTCTTGGTCTTTGCCCGTGCTTGGTTGGAGATTTACCAAATTCGGCCACATCTGAACCTGAACGTGTTAACCCTCTTGCTTCTGTATCGATAAGGTGACTGCGATCATCCGGTGATCCAGGTGCTGAACTAGATTTCACGAGCTCTGCATGTGGCATTGTTGGACTACGTCTTGGACTTGATGCGGGAATGAAGGTGGAAGTTGGTGACATTTGTGCTTTGGAAGACCGCCGCCTCCTTTTGTCAATATCGTCCAGCACGATGTTGATCAATAGATCAGCTAGATCGTCAACACCTGCCCGCTTGACGGTTAGAGATCTCAATTGATCTGCTAGCTTGTCCCAGCCAAAGAACTGTCGGATGTCGATATCACTAATTTCCAAAGCACTAATATTTTTAAAGGCAATCAGTGGAACGGCGGAATCGAACGGGAATTCTTCATAACCTTCAATCAAACGTGCGCGACGATCCGGGGCGAGTCTAAGGCAAGGGATTTTGGTAAATGCCGAATATAGGTACTTCAAGTCAGCTTCAATGGCAGCTTTCTGCTTCTCCGTGCGAGCAGCAGCGCCTCCAGATCCAAGGCCAAAATTCGACCACAAGGAAGACATGCCAGACATTACACTTCTCACACTTGATACGGAGTGGATAGATCCACTGTCAGAACCACGACCTTTCGGACGTTGGGACTGACTCAAAAACGAAACGTAGTTTGCTGCTGATGTATCTGCATGGAGATTCTCTAATCGCACATTCATTGGACCAACTGGGACTCCTAGATCTTCAAATTCGAGAAAGGAGATAGAATAGATGATGGGGTGTCAACGCGAGCTTGGCAAGGCTTGATGTTATGCGAGGCGAAGGTAAGGTATGGGATAGAGAGGGCAGCTGCAAGAGTACTAGAAGTCGTAGAAGAAGACGCAGATGATGGCTGGTTTGTCACTGTTGGGGACGGGACGACAGACCCTCCAACAACACTAGATATGCTGTTTGAGGAGCCATGTTTAGGAGCTTGCTGACGTCGAAGTTGCAAAGCATTCGCGAGAGCCTTTTCATGTGTACGAACAAAGTGGGCCAAGTTCTGCAGATAAAATGAATCATTAGCACATGCCATGATATGATAGATCGAGTTGCAAAGAAATGTTTTCCCCAAGTACCTTTATGAAGAACTGTCCATCCTCAGTATCCATCATTAAGGATGCATGTGTTTCAATCACCACGACTTATGACAGTAAAGCCCTTTCACGGGAAAAAAAGACGCTTCGAACCAGGCTACCAGCGGGCCTTGTATTCGAAAGTAAACGTTCGTAGTATGGCAAGAGTACGACTCGAGGTGTTGGAAAAGAAATTGCTTGGGCAGTCTGCAGATTACACGACGTCGTTAGAGGGTTTTCAATTCATTTAGTGTGACAGCAACATGGCATCTCGTGTCTGAATGGATCGGAAGGAGAGATCCCATCTGGAGCATCTCCTAAAAAGCCATGGAGCTCTTTGCCCGTGTCTTCCACGCGCGGAAGAACAAATTCTACGATCACTACCTCTTGGGTGCGCAAGAGGCAAAAAGTCTCCCGCAAATGATAGAAGATATGTTTCGGAACGAGGATCGGAAACGGATAGGAGAATTTTTCGACGTACCTCTTCAACGCTCTTATCGTGGTGCGGAACACGTAGAGCAGCACAGCTCTGAAACTCTCACAAGACTTTGAAAGGAGGGGGGAAAGATCAAACAAAGAAGAGAAGGATAAGACTCTCCCTATGTTCTGCGACGACGATATCTAAACAGAGAAGTTCTGCCGCCTTCGAAGTATTAAACCAAGGTTCCGAGGGACCAATAGGTTACCAGGCTCGAGGGCCTTCCTTCTGTATGGATTGTATGTATGCAGGCGTTATGGATATGCAAAGCGAGGTCGGCCGTTGGTTCGTCGAATTTCTTTTGTTGTACAGGAATTCTCCACTGCTGTAAGACAAGGGTGTATGAGATCAAATACCCACTCACAAGCATCTATTCCCTGGCACTTTTAAGGGTTCTTCCTAGTTTGCGACGCCAGATGCAATATCAGGTCGTAGCGTGTGTGCTCTACTGTCGAAATTAAAATTAAAAGTAATGGATTGAGAGGAAGGACTGAAAGTTCGGGAAGGCTAGCAAGGGAGCGAGGGTAAAAAAAGAAAAAGAAAAGGAAAAAAAAAAACTATCTGCGAAAAATGGTCCGTTCAGACGGGTTGCAGAGATAAACAAGATAGGAGTGGAGAGGTGAGAATCATCAAACATCAAGCACCGGCCAGCACAGGAGGAGTATTGATGTAGCGATGGATGTACTGATGATGTACTGATGTACTGATTGGATTGAAATTGATTTGATCGAGTTTTCAGCATTCAGCAGGTATGCAAAGAAGAGGGAGCGGGATAGTTATTTTTTGTGGGAATTTTCTAATGCTCCTCTTGGTTCTGATCTGCGTAATTAGCCAGTAAATAATTCCATGCACTTGTTATTGAGTACAAATAATACGGCGGCGATGAGGATGATCAAGGTAGGACGATATAATAGGTGAGAAGGTATTTTAGATTCGAAGAGTGGGAGAGCAATGAAGTTTTTCGGTGTGGAGTGTGGAAATTTGTGTGTGTGTATGTGTGGTATGTGTGGTATGTGTGATATGTGTGATATGTATGGTGTGGTATATTCGAGCTGTTGATAGGATGGCTCCAAGTAGATTGTCACATATTCAAATTTCAGTGGCTCAAGTCTGTGCGTATAATGAAAACATCAGAGTCACTAGTGAAAGTTATTGCAAGGTATATGGTATTTGCTGTTGGGAGGTATTCAAGGTTGATACCTACAACAACTGGTAAAGCCCGACACGACCCTTAAAAAAAGCCCAAATCTTAGGGATGAAAAGACACACGGGCTATTTTCAGCAGGTATCAACAGCAGTGTTGCAGTGCTGCAGTGCTGTAGTGTGAACCCTGTAGTGGGAACCTTATTACCTTATCTAGACAAGAACACTTTGACCAGTTGCTGGTAATTGCTGAGGATCGGTTTAATGGCTGCTATCTGCTATCTGCTATCTGCTATCTACAGAGTACGATCTGGTAATGCTTCACCTCAGATGAAGATGAATCAAAAACAAATCTGTTCACCACTGTAAAAGATCGATACCGGCATACGATATCGGTGTATGAATTTAGGAATTGCCTCATCGTCGACTGCCTACCTGTTCTGCCCTTTTCGGCCGAGATACAACAATTACCAACTAACATAGATCTACAATTATTCTATCCTATTCACACCGTCGGTGTCATCATCGGGTATCTACCTTCATTACTCGTATCCTACCCAAAACTGCTTTGATATTCAATATCCAATATCCAAAGATTGCCAAGCTGCATATCCGTAACATGTACATCATACATCATCTCTTCACTTAACGCCTCGTCTTCGGAATTGAACCATCACCCCTCCAAGGTCCCTTGATGCCTCCGACGTTTTTTTTTATTCCATCCATCTATGAACGAGTGGGTAGAGTATTATTTTCTTTTATTTACTTGCTGTCACTTTTTTTGAACACGTTCTACGATCCAAACCCGTTCTGGCGAAGAAGTACCGACAGAATGCATCCATCAAGATCCATGACGACGTCACAAAGCATATATGAGGGGAGGGATATCAAGACCAAAGAGGTCAAGACTCACGATCTTATAAGAATCGGAAGATTTTCTAGTCATGATCACCAGGTCTTGAGCAACAACTTGGAAAATCAGATGAATTTTTTAAATGGATGGCTATGAAATGTTATGGGTGTTGATGGTTGTTATGGGGAATATGAACAGCTGGGCTCTTGGGCAAAAATGATTTGCAGGGCTTACGGTGGAAAGACAAATAACAGTCATCCTAGACAGCCAGCCGACTTTTTGTCTCAAATGCCCCCCCACAATCACTCACAAGCTACAAGTTACAACATACTTGCCCGAATATCCCCTTTCCTGCCCCTCAATTCCGAATTTGAGTTTCCAAACCCGAGATATTGTTCATGATTGGCATTTTCTGGAATGGATCCCAGTTTAGAAACAAACCATCGTGAAGAAAAAAAAAGCCCTCAAACTCAAAAGTTTGCTTTGAAAACAATTCAAGTACATGGATGATGTTGGATCGTCGCGCCAAGTGCCAAAAGTACATCGTTAATCCAAGCCAACCATTACCAGATTCATCTACTGTCGCCCTGCCAAAGCTCAAGGTGCTGAATGAAGGACTGGGGTAAAAGCCAAAAGCCGACACAAACGGCAACATAAACTCCCTTCAACCCTTTTCTTACGATACCTTCATCTACTATTGCTTGCATCATTCCAAACTGCGAATCCTTCTTCCTTCACCGCTACAGTATCTTACCATGGTGTATGTTGTGACTCCTTTCGCAAGACACATTTTTGATTCCATCCTCGCCACAATCTTTCATCATCCTCACGCGTCAAAGCGACCGATGGCACACTCTTTCTTCCCTAAGAATATGCTGACCGCAGTCACATTTTATCAAAGTTCATTACTCACAGCCCGAATGCGTTGGTGATTTGGTGATACGAGAAAGATGCGAAACATAGATTCAGCCTCAATGACCCGTGTGAGAAGGTCAGGTGAAAGTATTCTAATCTTCTCAACATTCCGAATTATCTAAAGAGTCAAGCGCGCTTAGCTCCTCAAATTATGAGACTGATTGCCTGTCATGCCATTTTTATCACTTCATCACTCCATACAAACGGTCTACTAAGGGTTCACTAAAATGTTTGATCCATAAAATTGATAACGAATGGAAGAAAGTGGATTGACGCACACACCATCGAATGGTCGGTGGGCAAAGAGACACAAGAAAAGCAGTGGAAAAGCAGTGGAAAACCAAATAGGAATGACGCCTTTCGGCATGAGGAGCCCCGCCATGGTGAAGTGGTGACTAGAGGATTTGCAACTATTGCAGCCGTTGCAACCATTCGATTGTTTCTAAATCCTTCTTGCATTTGGATGGACGGATGAATGATCTAATAAAAGGGCAAAAAATCCAAGGCAAAGAAACGAAAGGTTAGCATATTGGCCGCAGCATATGCCGGTCATAAATTCAAAAAGGGCTACCGGTACTAGGTCCTCACCAAGATGTGTTACATGCGCCGTCAAATTGTAAACTTGGCCGCGCCTCGCGAATATCTAATTCCACAAGCCACACGGAGTATTGCGTGGGATATGCACACTGCACAGTTTGGGATTTGCATCTCATCTGCCCAAAAAAATTTACAGCTTCTCCAATCATGAGCCAATGAAGCAGGTGACTCTCAAGATTTGATGCTTCTGATCATATCTCATATTTTCAAGATATTCTTCCAAGTCTCGGATGCTTCGGGATGGAAAACTGCGACATTGTCAAACGAAATGAGCATGTCGGAGATGACAGCATCTTTAACGGAGCAACCGAAAAGAAGAAAGGAATCAATTTCATATTTGATCTAAATCACGGATAATTCGCTTCTCGTTGTCAAGCATAACGGTTGTTGTCTAGGTAATCAGATAAACAGATAGGATGATTAAGATTGCGAAAGGGAAGCGAAAGGGAAACAGATCTGTTTCAATAATCTTTTATGGGAAAAGTTATCAAATCTTTTCTCGGATACACCAAGTACATTCATTCATTCATTTGCGATTTACAAGGACAGCGGTGAAGCGAGAGTGATGAAGGAGGGAATGAAATGGCTTGTGTCGATAGATATAGACATGGACATGGATGATTTATGAATAGCAAGAGAAAGGAAAGGTAAGCAAGCAGAAACAAGCCAAACCACAGCAAACCTTATTCACTCGTACAGATAAGATCTTATCTTTCTTCCTCTAACCCTAGTTACATGGGTAAAATATCCAAGCGTTTATTTGGTATCAGCTTTTGGAGAGACCTCGGAATTAACCCCGCCACCAACATCGAAAAATACGGGCACTTGGACATAGATTGATAGGCTCATAGTCTCGTCAAATACTCCATACAAATATCATACCAGTAATCATAGACATGGCATCATGGCACCATTGCACCATGGCACAGACAAGCACCACTAGAACTTCGAGGCGGTACATGCGGTCAAGCAGAAATAATAATTATTCATCCGATGCCACACAAAGAACCTTCATTCATTCAAACATTCATGGTACAACCTACGAGTACATCCATCCAATTTAGATCTTTTGAACATCTTGAATATCTAAACGAAGAAGTCTTGCATATCATTCCAAATATGTGTTGGGGTCTGCATTGATCTCGCTTCTTCACACCGACAGTTTTACCAAGCATATTCTTTCTAGAACATCCAATTCCCCCACCACACCGGACCAGCATCAACCCCGAGTCTAATGAAATCCGGGCGTTTACAGTAGAGTCATGGAGGGGTTGAAAAGGGTATGATGATTGTCGATTTAGATCAGATCAACAGTTTCATCGTTGCCTTTGGTAGCATTATGCCAAGCATCCTGGGTAGATCACATATTTGTCTACCGAACCAGATATTTCCAAATGACGCCTTGCGGAAACTTTAAAATGGTTAATTCGGCACTTTTTTTCATTCTCATTCTACGGCTATCGGGTGTATATCGTTTACGGAGTCCTCCTTCTATGGCTGGCTGGCTGGCTGGGAGGTGGATAGTTACCACGTCAGTCCCTACCTACGTACATAGATACTGTACACTGTATATTTCCCTCACCTTACTTACTCCTCACAGCGAAATATCCTTATAGGTCACCAGATGGGCAGAATCATTCTGGGTCGATTTTTCGCATTTTTCCATTCCACGTTCGTGTCACGTGTCTACTCTTTTGGAATGTATCCGTACTTTGGCTTTCTCTCTACTGCATTCTCACTCCGTACTTGGCTACGTTCTTGCTTGACTGCTTGACTACAGGCATACTTGCTGACGATGTCCGCATTAACATATACTCCGTACATATACATATACATACATCTGCATAAACAAAAAATTTGCATTATCTGTTCTATTTTCTCATGTACATACATACTCTGTAGACGGACGCTCCACCTAGTGCAAGCGCTCAAGGTGGGGTGTAACGTTCGCAACGTCGAAAGCTTACAGAGGCCTGTAACAAGTATGCAAGCCACCTTCTGCACGCTCTCTACATGCCACTCTCGTCAAACCAACCGGAAAATCCCCCGTGCAGGAGGTGTTTTTACTAGGTGTTGGTTGCGTTGGTGTAGCGATTTGTAGCGATTTGTAGAGTAGCGGGTGGTTAATGTGTACTCTGTAGGGTGAAAAGTAGCGAGATGGATGGATGATTCGATTTGGTTTGGTTTGGAAGGGTTAGTTGGTATGTGTTGTTTTGTTGTGCTGGTGTTGGTGCATGCTTATGTGTACTCCGTATGTATATGTAAGTATATGCGGATTTGCGGGTTCGTAATTCAAGCGCGCGATTAGGTCGTAGAAGGGCATTGAGAAGAGGGGGAATGGGAGATGCGAGATGCGATAGGGAATGAATGAATGGAAGATGAATGGATAGATGAAGAGATAAATAAGTACATATATACATAAAGAACTATAAACCTCCCATTATACTATCCCTTCCTTCCCTTTGATTTCAAAATTAATCTTAATAGATATAATTTCCTCTTCTCTTCTCTTCTCTCTAATCATACAATATACCAAAAAATAAAACAATAAAACAATAATAAAGATAACTCGATGAGATATATGACTTGTAAGATTATTATTTTAACTTGAAAACTTTAGTTTTGATTGTAAGTTTATAAGTTTATAAGTTTATCTGTATATTGATATTGATATTGATATTGGTACTGTAGAGATTAAGATAAAGATATCTAATGAACTAAAGAGCTAGAGAGCTAGAGAGAAAGGAGTCCGGAGTTTGGAGTTTGGAGTTTAAAGTTCGGATGGTGGGATTTGTTTGATTATTTTGTTCTGTTCTGTTTTGTTTTATTTTGTTTAGTTTAGTTTTGTTTTGTTTTATATTAAGATATTATTAAGATATTATTAAGATTCTATATTTTTATATCGAGATTGAGATGCTTTGATAAGGTGGATGGGATAGGATGAGATGAGTGGTTTATATATAGATAAATATATTTCTTTAGGGCTTATTTTTATATATCTTTCATTTATTTATCTCATTAGTGAGTATATAAGTAAATTACAAAATCATATAAAAATTAAGATTTTTAAAAGAAATATTGAAAATTTAAAATAAAAAATTTATATATTTTAAATATTATCTTATCAATATATATATTATAAATAATTAAAAATTTGAGTTTTCATCTATAAATTATTATTTTTGGTTTAGATTTTGATTTTGAAATATTTATAAATAATTATTATTGTATATCTTAAGTATATATATGTTATGAGGTTTGCCGTCTAGATCACGTGGAAGTGCTCTAGGCTCCCGAGGTGGTTTATAATTAGGCGTAAAGCAGGGACTTAAGTAATGACAATAATGATATGCAATTCGTAACTAATAGTAGAGTATACTAAATGATTGATCTTGATCTTGAGCACGAAGCTCTATATAAAGGGAATCCATCTTGATTATATAGACCTTCGTATTCCAACATTGGAGCGATGGAGCTGGGGAGCGAGATTCAAATCTCGCTCCTTCGCTCCCTCGCTCCCTCACAAGACTATTCATGTGATCCTATAACACGTGATAATAGTTTATAATGTTACAACGTAACAATATATACTGTAGAATTAGTATACTTGAATGTGATTAATAGATTAATGATAGTGATGGATTGTCTTTTGTTGTATATTTAAAAGTATATATATACTATTGTATTTTAGTATAAGATTATATTAGATTTTGGCTATAAAGTTATATATCTCATGTGTATATACTGTGCGATCACTTCTTGTAATCTTTATATGTCTAAAGTAAGCTCTGATTCTATTGTTGTATAATTGTCTGGAATATACACATGCCATAGTATTATAATGATATATAATACTGAATTTGATTGTATATCTGATTTACACGTATTCTGGGACTCAGTCTATATATCTCGTGATTGAAGTTGATATTGAGATTTTTTTCGTATGTCTATACCATATACCTACCGCAGTATATATTATTATTGTTTATAATATGATCTTCTTTCATGGACTTAAATTGAAGAATAATTAATCTTTACAGTACATCTTAGTATACTTGATATAGAATGTAATCAGTAATGTTTAATGATCTAAAAGTCAACTAGATTCCGTTGAATATCTAAAAATACATACAAAACGAGAACTTCAATATAAGATCATAATTCCCAATGTATGACAATGACTAACTAGTTGCTACTTCTAGAGATATATAAACTATTTCATTTCTAGAATTAACTAGAAGATTTGTTACACATCTAAAAATTCTATACGTGCCGTAGTATACCACTCATATTAGAATATTCACTTTACACACCAATACATCTTTTTTTTTGCAAATCTACAGGATGCATACTTACCGCAGGAATGATAGGTAAGGGACGAAACTTTGGTCCCTATCTATAAAATCCATACAAATATATACGCATCGCATCTATGTCTATTGTCACTACGCAATAATCCATAATCACTAGATTAATTTGACATATGTATCTTTCGTTGCATATCTACATATTGAATACGTGCCGTGAACTTTGCAAGTATGGATATAATATTACAATCAGTCATATTTTTCAGCCTCTGGAGAGAATTGCATGTTCAGCACCGCAGTGTGTAGTAGGATGACAAAGACTGCAAGTAGTCCAAGAGATCTGAGGTCCTAATTATATGTTAATGAAGCATGGAATATCATGTTAGGAACTTCTTCTGTGTGCAGAATTTAGAAATTAGATAGTGACGTAATCTTATCTATGCTTCGAAAGGTGTAGGGCCGAAGGAAGAGATGTTTAGCTTGTGTGTCACGGTTAAGTTAGATTAGATTAATCAAACGCAGAGAGAGGGACATGAATGAGTGAAATGGGGAAATAAGATGGGAGTCAATGAGACTGGAGTGGTGCATTTTTTGATGTTTTAGAATTTACTAGATACAGGTTTGAGGATATTGAGTGAGAAATGAGGCATGCGCAAAAGGGAGGGATCATAGATGAACGAGATGTTTATAGAGATTTCCTTCATGACATCATTCATAATTTTAGCAGTGATTAATTTAATTATTATAGAGAGACCCGAAAACCAGAAACGAGAAGAGGTCAGAAGAAATGAAAAAAAGGGATTAGCGTGACAACGCTTGAAAAATCCCACTAGTTCTATTGCCCATCTTCAACACTACTCCCCGAACTTTCGAAACAATCCTCGTATTATCTGATTCCAAATAAACAATTAACACTATATCATCACATTTCAAGAAATAAAACATGTAGTCCATTTCGAAATCCCCTTTTTGCACATTTACAATGTAATCCTATTTTCTCAAACTCCAAAGAATGCCATTGGAAATTCTCGAGGAGAAAAGTACAATTGCCCATTTTCCTGATCTTTTTTTGATTCGAAGCTCTCATAATAAGTTCTATTTATATTGGATGGGGATCAGAGGATTGTTGAGTATGGGGATGGGGATGGGGATATGTAAGTACCTAGGTACCTATGGATGAGTATTGAAGAACTTTGAGTTTGAGAATAGAAGATATTAATATTATTATCCGTTCTCCTTTACAGCTGGATTATATATGGGTACGCCCTATCAGTTTTATGGATACTCTGAAGAAGTCACTTGAAATTTTCTTGTGGTGTTGTCACGCTTCCTACTTCTGATTTTTTTCTTGTAGACATACTGGATGTCATGTACTTATAATGATACTTCATAAGTTTTCACATGACTGCTTTCGAAGGTTGCCACAAGCATGAAACTTTGACTAATCGATGATAGTCCTATGGTAAATTACAATGTCTTGCTAAAATGTTGGTATACTGGTGATACTTTTGTATTGTACAAATACCTTCAAAGCTATTCCGTCCGATTCCCTAAGCGAAGTGACTTCTCGGTTATTCCTCCTTAATACCTCATGGATCTAAAACCCCACTCTCTTAGAGCTTTGAACTTTTATAATCTTCTCCAGAGCCCTTCCTCCATCCTGTGCCCACCCTGCCTCTCCATCTAACTTCAACACTCTCCCCATTCCTCTCTCGGTAACCCGCACTGGTATAAATCCGTCCCTAGTCCAGCATCTTCCAAATGCCCTAACTAACTCAAATATACCCACCGAAATCTTTCGCGTTCCTCTTCCAATGATATGCGTTCTATCATATTCCGCTAACTCTCTTTTCTTTTCTTCGGCTAGCTTATTCCATGCTCGTTCCTCGGCGCGTGTTCTAGCTTGATAGAGATGACTTGTAAGATGGAGAGAGGAGGGTGATAGAGTTAGGATGCGCGGAGGCATAAATGGAATAGGAATGATCTTTTTGAGAGCAACTTCTACATAGAGCGGTGCATCAACTTTTGGAGGATGAGCACATAATTTGGCAGGAACGGCGGTGATAGATTTTATAAGACCAGCGGGAGACAATATGACGTAGCCTCCACAAGCAGCTAGGAGAAAAGATATGCCAGCGAAAGCATAGGGGACCCATACGCCTATGTCGGCAGGGATATGAATGTAGTTATTCCAGACTATATGGGCAGAAGAGGGGTTAGCGGGGGTTCCTTGGAATGGAAATGTCGGGTCCCAATGGATTAGGAAAACTTACAAGTGAGTCCGGCGAACCCAAGGAGAAAGGTTCCAGCTAAGTAAGAGGTTACTATGTATCCGGTATGTGATGGTGCTTGGTAGAGGATTGTGGTATGTGGTTTTGCGGCCAAGATATCGGCATAGCTGTGATAATTGAGGAGTTTTGGAGAGCCCAATGTTGGTTCTGCGGCAAGCAATGTAGGAGGTTGGATTTGTGTTGCGACCTTTGATTTGACATTAAGCTGAGGTTTTTGCTGAGGTTTTTGTTTTGATTTTGTCTTCAATGTTGGAACTGCCATTGGCTTCCTCGCTGTGGAGCGACATAATGATGTCGAGGTAAAGAATCGAGGGTTTGGACATGATTTTTGGGTTTTGAAGAGGAAGGTTCGGGATGAGTTCAAGCTCATGGAATGTAATTTAATACACCCCCTTGAAAATGCAGACATCTGAAAAGTATTAGCAATACCTATTACTATCGCAGATATACAACTTCAAATAAAACATACCATACCTTAAGAATAAAGCTCATCAAATGGAATCGGGACCCAAAGCCTTCAAATTCGGGACGGGAAAAATTAATGATCGGAGATTCGGCGAAATTATTGATCCCTGTCAATTGACCTAGCGCGATACTCTCCCGAAATATCCCATTTGTTGATCTCAACGTCTCGAGAATATCTTCGCCTTTACCTATTTATTCATAAAACTTCCAATTGAATTTCGTATTTTCGAAGGTCGATATGGCATCTTTTGCGACGGCATGTCGTGTATCAGCTAGACTTACAGCTAGGGGATTGCGACAAGATGCGACTGCCAGAGGTCAGTATTTACTTTCGAGAAATTTTGGGTTGAGGATGGGACATTAATATTTGATGAGGATAGGACTCAGGACTTCTGCGGCATGCCTAGCTGCTCAGAACTTTACCATGCCAGCGCTTTCTCCTACAATGACTGAAGGAAATATCGCAAAGTGGAATGTTAAGGAAGGGGATTCATTTTCGGCCGGTGATGTCTTACTCGAGATCGAAACGGACAAGGCTTCAATGGATGTGGAAGCCCAGGATGATGGTATCATGGCAAAGATTACAATGGGAGATGGTAGTAAGGGAATCAAAGTTGGCACAAGAATTGGTGTTCTTGCCGAATCCGGAGATGATTTGAGTTCATTGGAAATACCAGCTGAAGATAGTGCTGCCCCTCCATCACCAAAAGAAGAGGTTTCAAAGCCAGACCCGGCAAAGTCCTCGGAATCACAAGCCGAAGCTCCTCCTACCTCGAAGCCTTCCGCGGAGACTGCTGCTCCCGCGAAGAAGTCTTCTGGAAAAGCAAAGAAACAAACATATCCTCTACTTCCTTCAGTCGAACATTTGATTCATGAACGTGGATTAAATGCATCTGATATTGAAAAGATGATTCCTAGTGGACCTAATAATCGCCTATTGAAAGGAGATGTCCTAGCATATTTGGGCTCAATATCTTCCTCATACCCCACCGAACTTTCGCAAAAGATTGCAAAACTCTCCCACCTCGACCTAAGCAATATCAAGATTGCCCCTCCCAAAGCAACTAAACCTGCCAAGAAGGATGCACCAGCACCAAAACCAATCACATTCCATCGTGTAGCCCACACAATCTCCATGAAGGCAGCCTTAGAGGTTCAACAGAGGATACAATCCACACTTGGCGTACATATCCCTCTCTCAACATTCATCGAACGCGCAGCAGATGTCGCCAATGATGACCTCCCCCGCCCAAAGAACTACACACCAACACCAGATGAACTTTTCGATTCTGTCCTCGGACTTGACAAAGTTAACCCAGTGAATGGAGTTAGAGGGAACTTCATACCTGAGAGTGGCGTCGCCCTTCGCCAAGTTATCCAGGCTTCACAATCATCCAAACAGAACAACGACGTCGATATTTACGATCTCTTATCTGGCGTCATGAAAAAGGCACCGCTCAAACGCTCGGTACCAAAGCCGGAGCCGGTTGAAGAAAACGAGTTTTGGGTAAATATCCCAGAAACTGATATGGAAACTGCATCAGTTTTCATGCAGAGATTTAAGCTCGTCTTGGAGAAGGAGCCAGGGAGGTTGATTCTGTAAAACATTGGCGTGTGTAGTTTACCTAGCTAGATGGAGAATAGATTGATGATACCATGAGGGGGGTTTTTTCGTTTGCCCATTAATTCCGGTTGTATGTATGCGGAGATGACAGAGATGTCGGTATGTTTTGAAATACCTTTAATGCACGCTACTTTCGGAAACGTACCTTTCCGTGGATCCGATATGTGCATGATTTTGGAGTGTTGTCATCAATACATGTCACGAAATATCGAGCCGTTGAATGCTGTGTGGTACGTTTTTTCTGTGCCGAATGCTGTAATGTCCCGTTAGACGGAGGTCGTTAATGCCGACCAAAGGATTGGCTAGGCAGGCAGCAGAAAGCATTTACTGCTTTAAGATATTTTGGGTGTGTCAAATTCTGTGATCTCCACCTATATGCAATTTGATGCCGTTGCAAACAAATTGATGAGGCTTGCAGCAGAGACCAGCATCCACAAAGCGTAAAGCTCTTTTCTCTTTTTTTTAGGTACTTTGGGACTTGAAAAACATATACGCCTCTCCTATCTAAACCGATCTTTCTCTCCTCATCCTCACTCATTTCTCTTCTTTGTAGAGTGGCTTCGCTATATATCGCCAAATTTATCAATTTTTGACATTATGACAACTTCTTTCCAGTGAACTAACTACCTTCTTTGCTTCGCTGTCACGATGGCAATGATTTTCTCGTCCATTTACTGATTGTCACCACGATCATAGGATTCTATGAGAACTCAATAGTGGTTGACAAGTGTGATTAGTGGTAAGTCTTAGCCTTGCTTGATATCATTTCATTTCGTAACCTTTGTTATTCTCTCGTGCGTCATAATATGCGCTTTAATGGTCTGACTTATCGATAGTAACATGAGAAGCTAGCGTATTTCAGAGTTTTTTTTACCGTGGAGAAACCATCTTCTTGGAATGCGCCAGTTGTTGGCTACGCTGGCTCGAGTAGTGTTGTGGTGCAGTTCGTGTTTCCCAATTTGTGGGCTTTTTGCAAATCACGTCATGCTATGAGCTCAAGAGTCAACCTCATATCGTCGGCCAGTTGCTCCCAACCACGACTCCGACAAGGCTCAACTTTGGAAAAAGATAATGTCGATTATGATAGGATTCTATTCATTCCCATTACGACTGGTTCTTTTTTTTTTTTTCAGCTACTCCTTGCCTTATCCTTCCGGAGCTCAGCCGCAGATAAGGATCTGTGTGGGATTTTCCATTAGACATGTGATGAGCTGCGGGCTCAACATCGATCAATGAAAGGACCAGTTCTGCACACCAGACAAGATAGCTACCTCAGACAGGCGTAGCAAACATATCCCAAGTCTGCCACTCATAGTGCACTGTCAAAAATCATTCCTTAGTCGATAGTCGAGTCATGGTTGTGGAATACAGTAGTGAGTAATGAACATCTCAAATATACTGCGTGCTGATGCTAACAAACGTTGGAACAGGACCTAATTTCGTATGAATGGTGACTAGAAAAGAATATTTAGCTGATGCTGGACCTACTTGCATATTATTTCATATCTGGTTTCACCGAACATACTCTCCCATCCATGTGTTCCTGCACCTCCCAGACGCAATACAGCGAATGTTTTTCAAGGAATGATGCTGGCCAGCCTCATGCATGATGTCTGGTTAAGCTGTGGCAGATTCATCGAAAGTTGCCATTAGGGAAGAAGAGAAGAAGCTTGGGAAGGTAGTATAAACAGACAGTTAATACCAGAAGAACCCGCCACAATGAAGGAATAGTTCACCCAACTTCCATGACGAGACAAGCGCGACAGCGAACTCTTGTTGAGCAAAGTGGCATTCCATGATGCATAATTTCATGGCAGGCGCCATGGGAACGATTTCAGTAGCTGCTGAAGCACTAGCTGGCGTGGTAATGAATAGCTAAAGGCAAGTAGCACTACCCTTTGACCTGTTTAGGCAGTCATGACATAGGCATATGATGAAGGGGTAATCATGAGTCTGATGACATTTAAGCACTGCGGAAGGAAGAAGAGAAAGTAGAGCTTAAGACGATTCCACTGGATATGTAGCTCCTGTGGAGCAAGGCGTGCGGATGCCTCTATTCTCTAACCTCCATATCGAACTTCCCCAGAAATAACTGGGAGAGAAGGACCAGATGCCGAACGCACTTGTGGGTCTGCCGCGCTATGGAAAGGATAACGGGACGAGTGCCTCCACCCAAAACCAGAGGCATGAGCTCAATAGATGAATTGAGCGACTAGGCTATGCCACTAAAAGTCCAATACATCCCGCTTATTTCACTACTACCTTGGAGAATCTGAAATCTCTGCACCAGGAATATGTATCCGTAAGTAATCCAGCCATTATCTCTTAAAACCATACCTGACCGTCAGTGACTAACTAGCGATGTCTCTAAGCAGTGGACCCTTAGCACCCCGTTCTTGAACCCCTGCTTCTGGTCAATCAAATTGCATGCGACCAGCCTCTATCTATTCTGTGGAGCTGGAACAAATTTTGCTCATCGCATCAGACTGGTGTTGACGGTGGATGCTGGTATTTCACTGCTTTGAGAAGCAAGAATACGAATTCAGCACCGTATCGGATACTACAATCGGGAATTGGTACCACCTTACCGTCTACACCACTACATACAAAGGAGAGAAAAGTTTTTGAATTGGGTCTAACTACACAAAAAGAATATGGATCAGATAGTGAATTAGATGCAATGCACTTATTTCACAGCGACATACGACAAGTCATGCCCAGTCGACGCTTCATGTCTTCATTTCGGAAGAACTTCCAGCGCCGCACAACATCAAAACGACGCCCCCAAATCATTCCTAGGTCCAGTCAACTTTGAGATGAAAACTTGAAGTCTTGCTTTGCTAGGAAGGAGGATACCAGGCGGACATCGCGAGCCATCAAGGCCATTCCAAAGAATATTCAAATGCTATGAAACCATTGAACTGGGTGACGATACAAGCCCGCAGGGCTACACCGTCATTCATTGCGGGGATCTGGGAATATTACCAGAATCTTTCCCAAAAAGGATCCTGTATGAATCAAAAAGCTGAAGATATTTGAAATTTAGTCCCACAGCCGCCAGCTAGAATACTGATTTTGGGAATCGCCCAAGGACGTCAGATACGCGGCATACTGTGAGCTGGGAAGAAAAGATCTATTTACGGGTGGTGGACTCGCGCAAGAGTGGTCTTACCCTATGAATTCATCTTGCTTCCAGATGAAATACTTATCTTCACGTTGCTTGAACTTGGCTTCAATGATGTTTATTCTCATCGACGTACTTCAAAATATTTGATGCTCTTCGTATCGATCCGCAAAAACAGGTTCTTCTACCTTACTCTCAAGCCCTTGGAACGCTATTATGGAAAATAGACTATGCTATGGCCGCGAAGTTTGAATTCCCGATGGCATACTGAGGTTAAGTTGTTGGGTTTGGATTTCTTGACCGAGGTTACGCGTATCTGTGTACAGCGTGAGATGACTTCCGTCTTTCGATACCGAGGTGTTCAAGTAGTCACTTGTGGATTTCAAAATCTTGGGAGAGCGATTCGAGATAACAACGGCATCACAGAACATTCCGAAGCAAATGATCTTGATGACGGGAAATTTTTGTTGGTTGGAACTCAGCCAAGCATTAATGCCGAAACAACATTGTTGGTCTTGATTTTGCTATCGCCACCTCGAAGAGAATATGGATTGTCGATGTCCATAGCCCGAGAGAGGGAAATTTCAAGAAAAATATTCCCCATTCAAGGAGATAACTGCAAAGTTCAGTTTCGATGCCATGTTCGGCAAGGTACTATACTCACTTTTTGGTGAGCATATAGAATTACAACTTTGCAGAAAGAACCCGGTGCCCAACCACAATTCTGGAAATGCCTATAAAATCAGATTCAGTGAAATGAGCATGGGAACACCTCCATATTTCGAACGGACCTGCGCGTGGAGGAAGCAACTATTGGGGAGCTCAAAAGCTATCTAAGCTAACTCCATATTGCTGAAAGATAGAGATGACTAGAGGAGGTTTGAGGGATTCCAGTCTATTTCTTTCTTATGAGTAAAGTTCGTTGACACAGTCGATCTCGCAGGAGCAGAGGTGTTCGTGTAAATTTGAATGCATCTATACCTTACACGGGAAGACTTGATCAGGAAAATGCTTGAAAGGACTAAGTATCAGATTGGACTACATTCTCTCAGCATACTAACTTGGTATTTCACGCAACTAATCGACGGCGAGATCATTGATAAAGTAATTAACGATCTGCAAGCTAAAGAAGATATACAGAGGGGTCCGTCACACTTGCTTCAGTAGAAGAAGTGCACAAACGTGTTTCCTCATGCATCCTCATGCATCCTCAACTACAGTGAAGCACTCAACGTAAAATTCGGGAGCAAAGAAGAGGGGCTAAGGCTGCGATCAGAGAATACCTGGCCAACGATCCAATAGTCCCAGTCAAGGTCAGCTGTGGTAATCCTTCGCATCTTACAAACCACGCTAGGAGGAGGACGTCAATGCCATGACGCAGTGGACCACTACAGAGATATATAGATTAGCGGAACGCAAGTGACTACCATCCTCTGAATATAGATCGATCTCAACCACTATTTGTACACCGACCTGGCGGACACAAGGAATTGGGAGGGTTGCTGGTCTCCAGGTTCTTGTGCGGGACTTGCATAGATACATCTTGAAGCTACAATAGATTGGAACTTGGGATGGTACTTTAGGTTGTTGAAGGTTTTCGTTATTGATGAACAAGCCACAGGAAAAGAAAGCATGCAAGTAGCTTACTTTCCAACGATCAAGATCAACAAACAATCGCCGCCACATTTCTAAGAAATAATTGTTGATGGTGGGGTGGGGGTAAAGGATATTGTCCGTAACAACATGCGATATGTGTCAATCGTTTTGTGTGGATGTGACCAAGCTTTTTATGCCGGTATTTCATTTTATTTTCAATCTAGGCGCCTTTGACTTTACACTTCAACTTTCTTAAAACTTTGCAAACGCATGCAGGCTCATCGTTTTGTCCCCAGACTGCCAGCGAGGCTATTGTTACTTGGCGACATTTGCAAGGCACTGTTGTGGGAAGCCTATTTGGGTACATGCCTCAGTTCCTTCCACAACATGTTAGCTTCGGAGAGTTGAAAAGGCAGTGATATCACCTACCCTGAAGCTACTCAACCAGACCGAAGTTCTTGGTGATTTCAATTTCAACGGCATTGACAGTCAACAGCTGTCGACGGTTGAGGTGTGCTCCCAGCTTTTGAGCATTGATAAAATCTCCACCAAGAACATGCCCTTCACCCAAATCTTGGTGTTGGAGCAGTTGAAGTATCACAACAAAGAGCCGAAATTGGTAGAACGCAAAATTTAGACTCTAACGGTAAAACAGATGAAGTTGATCATGGACATGGATGTTTTATATATTCCTATATCTCGTCTTCAATACTATGATTTCGCTTTCCAACAACGCCGAAAGCAGCTTCTTGCTATAATAACTGAAGATCGGATGCAGCTCGCCCTTCTCCACACTGGAAGGCCATATCGGAGGATGAGAACAAGTTCACTAGAACCAGCTAAAGGAATATACCGGCTATCTCTCAAGCTGCTGATTTAATTAAGGTTTGGGCTTAGCTTTGCGGAAATCCTCAATCAAATGCAACCAAGACTGAGTGGGGTATAGATTGGGAAATAGGCATCACAGTCTACCACACGAATTCAACTCACCAGTGCCTAGTGACAAGAACCATTTGTTCGTTTCAAATGTCACTAAACAAGATAGTTTCTCAACGAAAAATGCATGAGCTCAAAGTTGCTTACCATTGGGGTATCCCTAAAGCAGCATTAAGAATTTCGCTCCGGAAGAGGGAAAGAGAATACTTACTACTGATGAGCTCGAATATATCCGGAACAGCGAAATATTCATGCGTAACCGATTATCTATGATGATATAATACGGCTGTTGGGTCATTCTGCAGTACAACGAGACTAAACGGAGCCTGCCATTGATTTTAAACTTTTTCGCCAACCAAAGATTGTTATTCGTTCAGCTACGGAGACATCACTTTGCCGGTAAAACGAACTCTTTAATGGATTTAAGGCTTGACACATCAGACTTCTGTCCCTATTAGTGATGGACTTCGTGATCTTTTGATGGGATGATCAAGAATAGTTCGAAGATATTGAGCCATAGGAAAAGAAATTTACTTCCAGATGCCTTTACTTGATACTTGATATGCAATCAAAACCATTTCATCGGCACTCGGGTGTGGCAGCACCACGATAGCCCAATCAATCTTGGGTGCAGCTAACGGATATTCTATTGGAGCTTGATTCGACCCAATGTAGTGACGGTAGAACAGGTCTCGATTACATTTTCAAAGTTGCAATACCAGAGATGTGGACTTTCACATTCATTAACACAGGGGCAAATAAAGCAGAGATATCGACCAAAACTTGGCCGTTCAACACACTATTTAAGACCGCCAACAACAGTCTAAGATGGAAGAGAGCCAGTTTCTCCAGCAGTCCTCAAAATCAAAACGAGAACTTGCGAGTATGGAAGCTTACTACGGCAATAAGAAGATATTTGAGATCTTCGGGTACTGGACTGCATGCTTTGATTGTGTCGGAACATGGTCATATAATTTTACCCCGCATTCGTACATAACCTCTTCCTTCTATTCTAGTAGTAACCCAGCATCAATTACAATGCAATATTGTCCATTTGTTTTGGGTACTGTTTTTATCCCCACCACATCAACAAATTGGCATATCCAGTTCAAAAGACGAGGTTGCACGGAATACTCACCTCAAGCAGGTACGCCAAAAAACACTCTGTTAATGGTGGGAATCACAACTCGTATATGGCAAGCGGGTATTCACTCAAGGAGGAATCTTGGGTGCAAGCTCTTGGAATGATCCCGAAAGAGAATCGAATTATCCAAAGACACGCGACGATATCTCAGCCTTTATTGGAAAACATTTGACCGGACAAAGTGTCGAAAGGAGTTTCCGATACGGAATGAAATGCAAAATGAGGTTATGAACGAGACTGCAGCGTGTTCGCCACTCAAGAAATTCTAAGGGACACTAATCCTTTACGAGGCACCACTTGTCAAGGGTTGGAACGAATATTGACCTATCTCAGAATAATCGTTAATCCATACATCAGCTCCAGTTAGCCTATAGCACTATTTCAGGGTTCTCCAGTCAGGAAGTGAGGCACAGCGGGTTTATACTACTAGCACAGGATTTTCACGACTTGATTATATTCTGTTTTTGAAACCGAAGAAAGGCTGGTCGTAATGTATGGAATGATCACTAATGTCGTCCCAAAAATGTTGCATCCGCAGTTGTCATTTGTGATGGCTACTCAATAAAGTCGAACCATGTTGGTATCACCAGCTGCCGCAAAGTACTACACTAAGTCCATGTTGCAATGATCTAATCACTCCTCAGCAAAGATCTTAAGTTCTTGTACGGAGGCCAATATTGGAAGTTGAAGAAAGAGGTTATTGTCTATAAATGGTTTAGCTAACGGATATCTATACAAACATATCCTTGGAATTATCATCCTATCAAAGATATTTGAACTTCCCATAGCGCTACCAGCCAATCCCCAGGTCTTTCAATTGGTGGTTTTGTCAATTTTCAAGCTGAAGTACATCGCATCGAGAACTAATAGATAGCCTGATGCCTTTGTAGGCTGAGAGAGCATCATACACACGTATTACAAGGATAGGGATGGCATCATGGCCGGGATGGAATCTACGGCGTACACTTCTAGATTTTCAGGCAACCAATACAAAAACCACCAAATATTCTCGGTTGCACCAACTCTCTAGTAGGAAACGCAGTGTTTAGAAGCACAAAAGTGCCAAGTTCGAACAAAGGCAAAAAGATGGGGTGTTGAAATAGGACAAAATAATATTCCACGACCAGGATGAAGAAGGAACAATTCGAGCTAAGCCACGACTGAGAACATTCGCATTAGCATTCGTCATAGGGAGTACGAGGCTATGGATAACACGGTGAAAGAATTTGGGGGATCTCAGCGAAGCTTCATATTGGATGCTACAAAACTCAAAGTTCTTTACCAATATGAGGTAGCGCGCAGAATGTCACATGAAGAATTTGCAGCGTTCTGCGAGAATTAGCGAGCCTCCATACAAGCTGTGACGGCTCTTCTGACGCTTTTCATTCACAAAGGGATGGCCTCGTCGCGAGTTATTGTAGTTCTGATTTCAAAGAAGCAAATCAACAAGCCATTCATTACTCCTAAAATGGAACAAAACACGAGCGCAGCTGAACACGTCACGTTAGTATGTTCTCTTGATAAAGCTCTATATAATGACGAGGACTCGATATCTTGTCACAACCAGCCCATCAGTTTCTGTATGTCACATGCTAAGCGGAGCAATATCTATCGGATTTCTTGGAGCCAGATTATCATTTTTATACTGTCGTCCAAGGATCCATTTTTGAAGACTCAAGTTCAAGTATGTACTCTGGTTTTTCAAGCTTAAATTACAATTGTGTCTAGAACAAAATGCCCACTCGTTAGAAATCTCCAGGGTTTCAACAGAAGAGCAAGAGTATTTTTACAGCCATTAGTAAAGGAACATCATATTGCAATTATCCCGATGAACGGGGATAACATAGGCTACTAGAGATGTCAAAAAAAAGAATTGGAACGAAAAAGAATATGCCAACGGATGACAAAACCTTTGAGGGAGTGATTTTGGAGCAGTCTGAGTAACTACTATTATGGAGAGAGGTCTGCGCGCATGATTTAAAAGTCGTTCACCCAGACGTAGAAGATTCTAGAATCTTCACTTCCTTTGATGATGGTCGGGACTTCTTTGCAATCATTGTGCAGGAATCCTTCCGATGACCCTGGTGTGGGTTCATGCAAATCTCACGAATGCGAATTATTTCGGTAAATATACACCCACAGCATACGATTCCGCACAAAGTAGATTTGAGGAATGTGGATAGAGAGACATTCAAGTCAAATCGCGGAGTGGAATATATGGAAATTGATGCTGGGATATTACTTGCAAATCTCTCCTCGAAATAGCTAACAGCTGCTCACTATACCCATCGATACCTCTTTCGCTGCTCTTATCATTCTTGCATTTGAAAGGTGCTACACAGGATTGGCCCACCAGCAACTGAGCATCGAATACATTATTTTTCACTTTAAAGTCAAAGTCGGAAGTCATTTCCAGTGCGCCCTAAAATGCTGGACTTGCGATGGGAAGCCCATCAATTAGATCTACCCTACGACATTACACCGTTGAGATACTGAGAGATATTGTCAGTGTTTGGTAACATATGCAGGATAAGAAACACAAGCACTTGCAGCAAGCAAATGAACATTTTGTTGGGGTAATAAGCAACCCTCCATTGCCAATACGATATTCTATCGCATTACCTATTATCCTGGTATAGTTGCGATAAATAGTGAATGGTTGCATTGATGGGGACATGCGATTGTCTTTTAATGTTTGCTTACCTTACCAGCGTACTGCATCATCGTTTTATTCTGGGTTGGGTATGATTATTAAGATATCAAACTTGGTGCGATGTACGCTGGCTTTGTTGGTCAAAACATGTTGAAATTCGAGAGTAGCGGATTAGAGATGTTTCAACGAGGAACAAGTGATTAAATTCCATCAATCAAGAAGGGCGTGAAGGTCACAACAATAATGAAGTGCGTGATATGCAATCGTGTAGGATATAAGTCATTTCAAGAGCGGAAAGGAAGAAAGAATAACAAGGACAGAAAGGAAGGGAAGAATATAGTTAAGTGACGGAAAGGAATCAAAGTGAAAGGTTTCCACTTATGACACGCTCCTGTTAACTACAGCCAAACTCTGACACATGCAAAGGGCGTCACCATGTGGAAAATCCTCGTTGGGATGCTCAGCGGTTCGGGTTTGTGATCACATACACTTCATCAATTTCGATGTCCAAGGTAACCTTATTGAAGCGCGAAGATTTGAAGAAGCAAAGATTTATCCAATCAAAAAAGATAAATTGCAAAATCTACCAAATGCGGAGCTATAAGGGCCGAAGTTATTTGATGGGAAAAGAGATCTGATATTTATTAGTGCAATGATGAGTAGCTTTGAAGTTGAGGGAGGATGGTATTCATATGGTGAAGGTAAGGGGGTTGTTGCTGTATGGTCATTTTTCTAGACTTGAGATATTTCAGTTTGTACTGTGTCGAATATCAAGTCTAAACATCAAGTCTAAACATCAAGTCTAAATATCAAGTCTAAATGTCAAGTCCAAATCACATATTAAGAATATCTTATAAGATGTATTGTAATTCGTAAGAAGTGTAATTTAATTATACTCATAAATCATCCTTCATCACGTTGTTCCTTCGCTGCGAGATCTCACCATATAGACAAGAAACAACATCCATCATCATCATCCATCACTCCGGGGACATTTGACACTCTCCGATTTGTGAAGGATCTTATATCCCAGCAGAAATGAGGGATTGATAATGTTCAGATCGAAGTCTTAGCATGAGAACTCAATTTTCAGTATATTTTTACCCTTTAGCTCGCTGGGATGAGATAAAGTAATCTTATAAATTCTCCGACGACGTTCTATATACATCTGGAAGATTAATTACCCTAAAATTCTAAATTTTTTTGAACAGAACACTTTAGATTCCATTGCGCCGGCCGGATCTAACTGCACATCGATATACTACCCGGTAATCGCGTCTGCATAGCTACCGATGGCTGTATACTGCAAATACCAAAATATCATAAATAGAAAATGATAAATATCCCCAACAATCTATCCTTCGAAAACGCAGTATCTCACTAGTCTACGAATCACAGTTTCTAAACCTTTGACCAATACTGCGCGTCTCAAATGAGAGAAAATACTCATCTGTTCTGCATCTGGAGCAACTAAAAAGTCAATTTAGCCATACGCATTACTCAAATGATTGATTGGAGCTGAGATTTTGGCAACCCCAGGCTGTAAGTAGAAAAAGAAGTTACTCAATGATATTTTTGGAATAGCTGCGGGTTATATATCATATATTCCTTAGTCTGAAAAATAACAACTTTGCACAGGGCACTATGAGGGTGACCAATAGCTACAGCGTTGATGTGGGGCTTAATTCTCTTTTCGGATGGGGCTTTGCGTACTTAATGAGAGTGCGTCGCTCAGTATGAGCAAGTCATTGAGAATTCGTAAATACTAAATTGATATCAAAACGAATTCAGGACTACTAGGCACATATGTCGAGTTTTGCAAGAAATTATCCCTTGTGCAGTCCAATCCCCATCGTATTTCCTATCACGGCAAAGATATTACCTGCCATCTTTTGCATGCATCATACGATCACCAGATGAGATTAGTCAGGGACTCATATTCGATCTCGTAGTCCTATACACGATTATCCCGATAAGAAGATTGAGGAGACAATCCTAATTCGATATCTTCAGAGCTGGAGGAAATACAGCACAAATCGTGATTAAAGAAATAATAAGCCATCTGATAAAGTACGGGTAGGAAATCCCACAATCAAGTAATCTCTGTAAAAAAGCCTACACGATAATTTTCCAGAAATTTTTTACTACTCATCCAAACCCCTTAGGCGTTCAGGAACATTCTTCGTAAGATCTTACATACTTGATCGCATGGGGCTAGGGTAGCATCGAGCGTGCAATCACTCGGTGGATGCCAAAGAAAAGATTTAAGCATCTAATCCTCATCGCGATCGGATGTTAAGCCCAAGCCGCATCAATTTTACTACCGAGCTTAGAGGTAGCACGGGTGAATGTAATCGTTCCTATATGTGACGATTCAGCCATCGAATAATTCTCTACTGTTATCAAGCACGCAGTGAGCAAACACCAACACCATGTCTGTAACTAAGGGATGTAAGATCTTAGAAATTCCGCCATAATTCTGCAGGTGCTAAGTAATAGATACAAAGTCCAGAGCACATTCAAAGAAAGTTGCTCAGTTGCTCATCTCTAACACAAGGATTCGATATTCGAGGTCATGATTTATATTTAGCGGAAAGGCAGTATGCGTTTGAAGATTCTGACCTCTTAGAATCTACACAACCTTCTCGCTCGCGATTTTGATTTGCTTATTTCATTATCCTCCCAGGCTGGTATCTAAGGCAGCATATCCCAATCAAATCACACAGCAGGAAATATATTTCCAGACGCATTGAAAAATACCGCACTTCCCATGGCAAGGAGACAATATCTCTCAATCTTGGTGGATCCGAAAAATCGGCATCATGCCGAACATGAAGAATACCGAAAGATTCGTCAGAGCATGGCCGACATGGATGAAATCTGAGCAGAGGAACCCATTTACCTCCTCGAGATTTACTGCAATCCCGCATATTCATTCCTACATCCGTCAAAAAGCCCATTACTTGTGGGTGCTGCCACGCTACACCACGTGAATTTCAAGCCGAAAAAAGGGCCTGAAAGTACCAGAAACCACACAGCACCCATTATTTTCTAGTTTCTCATGATCCAGTAAAGCGGTACATGTGGCAGACGATTCCAAAAGCTGGATGTTACTGTGCTAATTCAACAGATCGAAACGAAAGAAGAAAAAGCACAAATTGTTGAGCGCGAAATGATTGTGAAGTTAGCTAGCTAGTTAGCTCGCTTTCTATCAATGCTACCTAATGACATCTACCCCTCCAAAAAGCTGATTAACTAAGAGTTGACTCACTTTATTTTGAATCGAGTTAGGCAATTCGATTGAAAAGGAGTTCGTGGCTGTGTGGCTGTCTGTCTTTGATATTATGAGGGAGGAGCATAAATAGCTGCAATCATATTATCTGTTTGCTAGTAACAAAAAAGAGTATGAAAGAGATCACCAAAAAAAAAAAGATAAGTTTAGGAGATTGGTCTTTGTTTTGATTTTCAAATTGTAAGATCTTGTTTTATGAGGAAATTTTTAGGTTTTAATACTCAAATATCAATATTAGCTGATATTTTGATAATTCCTGTCGCATCGCCCCCAGCTTTCAAAGGCATCCAAACCTCATCGGTGTCTTATTAAAATTCACTGGGATGACCGGGTAAGATTATACAACCATTAATTTTTAGATATTTTAGAGTAATTAGAAGAAAGATTATCACTACTGTAGGAGCAAAATTTGAATTACCACCGGGGGAAATGATTATTGTCGCGTCATCACATGATCCAACGTACTAACTTTATAAATAATCTTTACTCGTAGTTGACGGCTTGTATTCTAGATATATAACTTTTATAGTCTCAATCTATATCAACTGTAGTTGTTTTAACTATAGCAATTATGCATCACTAGGTATAGAGAGACCAATAACATAATAACTCCAGGAGCTTATGGAGAAATGACTACCTCCGGTTATGTTTTTAAATAGTCTAAGCAAAACATGCCTTAATGTTGTAGTATCAAACAATCAGTATCAATAGAACGAGGCCTCTGAGAACAACAGTCGGACCCAGATGTGAAGTGCTTCTGTTGTGTTTGACCACCATTGGTCGTCACGGCGGACTATAGCATCTCCCTCAACCATGGTGGTACTTGCGATCAGCAACTGATGTATTATCTCTTTGGAAGTTAAAGAGTTAGCCAACCCCAAAAATCGAATGTCGAAAATGGGATTAAAAAACTTAAGTGCCAAGAGACGAGCTTACTTGTCTTCCGGACGCGAAAGATGGTATGTCACTTCTATGTGAAACGAATAGTCTTACTGTAGTACAAATATCAGACAACCAAGAACGGAAGAGAACTCTCTACGACTGCAAAGATATAAAGGAATAAGGCTGACTCTCGCATGAATAGAAAGGCATGCACAAGCAACCTTAATAATCACACTAAACAGGACAGGACATGCCGTCAGCACGGGACATGAACTCACATCTCACCCCGCCTCACACACGGCATTAGAAATAGTGCCCAGCACAGCGAGCGACCAAACAAGTTCCAAGCCCAGTACCAGCCATGCGAAGCGGGGACCCGACGAAGATCATACATAGCATTATCAGACAGGCTTTTCCAGAAGCGATATCGGTAGATGCAAAGAATCAAAGGAAAGACAAGGTGCCAAGAACTCACATTGGTCACTTGATACCTGTGAAAGATCCCCGAGTATGTATCATATCGGCATTTGTAGAGTTGTATTACATGCACGAAGGAGATTACGTTGATACCGCCGTTCCTTAGCTGATATATAAATGTACGGATGGTAGGTACTGGTATCGTGTGTGATTAGGATTAGGTGCCGTATACTTATTTACCTTCATCGTGGATCTATCTGCGCGCGCATAAGAATATTCTCCGCATGCAGTAAAGAAGGAGAATAGAACGGAAACACACAGATAAGCAACAATATGCAGGAAAGCCGGATTATTCTCACTCGAGTGGCTACACGAGCACGTGATCTGATTCGAATTTTGGGATGAAGTGGATTGAACTGGATGAACCAAGCTGAGTTTGTGTTGCCCGGATACTGTCAATTTGAAGACGTTTATGGCGGAAATAAATGAGTTTGAAGAATGTAAGAGTCATCAGATTGAATGAAAGTCATGAAAAGAAAAAGGTTAGAGCATGCAGAAATTTACTAATAGAGGAAGATCTTCGTACTTTAGCTTCAAAAATTCTGTTTTGATCTCCACTTCTAATCAGTTATCAGTGATCACCTTTTTAACAGTGTGGCCTATGGATGTCGAATGAGTGGTTAAGGTTAAATCAGCGATTGAAGAATCTTGGAATCATTCATACAGCTGGCTAGGCGAGGTAGTTTTCATTCATCATCGCTTTCGAGTTGGATGGATGTATTATCGCTAAAGTTCATCGTGTAAAGGAAAGAGAGGAAATAGTCTCGATATATTCCCCCGAGTATTCCGGCATATACTTAGGTACTTATCTCTTAAATATATTCCCCAAATCATTCATGGCATTAAAAACATGCCACCTTGAACCCATTGTAACCCTCAAATTCATCCATCAACCAAACAGAATGATGCCCACATACTCCGTCCACAACATGGATGAAAAATAAGCCTTGTAAGCGCCGAAGCGATGGACTTTCCTCTTTATTTTGCATGTGGTGCAGGACGGACAGGGAATCCCCTCTATGGAGAAATAATTCATACATGCCATGCTCCGGGGAGGGTGTATGCGTAATGCGCATGAAGAAGATGTGATAGATACAAACGGGAGTTTGTACTTGTAGATTCGGGAGTTTTGGGTGGGAAGGTTCAGGGAGGAAGATACTCGAGTATGTGATGCCATTTTTGATAATGTGATTAATGATCGACGATGATATTATACCCAATATTATTGAATAAAGGAGTACTCTGTGAATACTCACAGAGGCCCCAAAGATATAAATACCAAAGATCTCCTATTGTAGAACCTTAGGATTTATTGAGGTGGGGGCGATTTTTCACCTCGGAATTGTCATTCGCATCTCGGTTTCCCTTTTCGCCCCCTTCATTACCTAGGTATTATTCACTGTCAGGTTTCTAACTACACTAAGTAGTATGGATGAATCTCGGAAATGGCCTAAAACAACGGTTTCGGTAGTAGTAAACTAGGGAGACTATAATTTATTAGACTATTACTATCAGACCAGGTAGTTAAAACTCTATTAACAACGGTTCCGCTAAAAATTGTTCCATTAAAACTTGCTCCATATTCTTCAACTTTTGCATAAAAATTCATATGTTAGACGCTGTGACTTGGAAATAGCCTTACACATGTAGCGTACCGCATTAATCATTAAACATAAGAAAATGAAAAGTTTGCACTAAAAGCTTACTTTTTAATGTCTTCTTCAACTCCCGTAAATCATGTACATTTCGTCAATCACTCTCGTGGTATCGTGGACACATGTCATCCATACAGAGATCATCATACTAATTTAGGGGGGAGTTTAAACCAAGGAAGAGGGACCTCGGGCGGGAAGGGAAACCGGGGGCGTACCTGAGTTAACAGCGGTTGGTTGGATGCTCGTGATAACCGGATACTTTACCATCGATCGATCAAACTCGGTGCCAAATAGGGCGAGGCCATTCAGGAGAAGATTTTATGAGGTGGTGAAGATTTTATGAGGGAGCGTAGCATTAGGTTAGTTGGAGGGAATAGGGTAGTACGGAGTGCTGGATAATGGATGGATGGATTTTATGTACGGTGTGCGTGTGTGTGCAAATCTGGATGACAGTGATGAATAATTTAATTTAATCAAAGCAATTGATTTCTTGCAGTTTGTAAGGGGAACTAATAACTGTATGATGCTCGAGTAGTTGGGGTCCGCATTGATGGTTGGGTTACACTGTTGTTGCATTGCCGAGTAAGAATATCTATACTCCGTAGTCTGCCTGCAGGAGCTGGATAAATATGAATTTCTTCAATGTCAAATTCAACAGTTGGTCTCATCACATACAGTTAATTGAAGCAAAGCAAAGCAATCGTGATCTTCATGTCTTTATATATAGAATTCACGTAAATTGTGCATTGTGCAGCCAGCCATTACACCCACATGGAACAATGGACAATCCCCAGAGATAAAACAAGCAATGTTCTATATATCTACTGGGTAACCATAAGGCTTAAGCAATAAATAGATCGATCTACTCGAGCATAGTCTTTTTCATACTAGATGCAAGTAACTTGAATAAAAACAAGAATTTTCATTGGTGAAAATCAAAGAAAAATTGATACTCGATTTTTATATTGCACCTGGGATTTTTAGTCATCATGTTCGCATAAATGAACGATGACACTGATGAATAATAGTAATAAAAATTGAAAAGGGCAAAGTCAGTCAGCCACTCAGAACACGCAAATTATCTCACTGGGTACACCTAGATCACTTTCCCACTACCGGTGTATGTATGTATTATTCTTACTAGGGGAAACCTTCCTATAACACACACATACCTTTCTGCAGTCTGTGAAGTGAAGAGTACTTGAAGTGAAGGATTGAAATCTCGCTCGTCTAAAGCAAAAGAGAGAAGAAAAAAAAAGGTCTAAGCACAAGGCACAAGGGAAAAAGGAAAACACAACCACCACTTAAAGGCATTATTACCTCTTCTATACAATAAACCCTATCCACAACCATCAAACACATCATCCAAATCATTCAAGTTGATCACTCTTTCAACTTCTTGAATGGTTTCAACACAGAAATATTAACCTTTTCGATCAACTTATGCCTGATCCAAGGTTAATTTATCATTTGCCTTAATCTTTTGGAGGGAGGAAGGAAGATTATACCCGTTTATTGCATTTAGGACGTTTCCGAAGCTTCCATTCAAGCTGGCTCGGATTATTCCTCTGGGTCAGCAATCCACCAGGTGGTCGCATGCCTCGTCCTCCACCCAACTCGAAGCGACAGCAAGGTGCTGCGAATGTGCGCGATACGAGACATGATAATGGGCTGGTAGGTCCAGGGAAGAGGGTACCTCGACAAAAGAGTAATGGACATATGAACGGTCATGCGAACTCCTCCGAATCCATCTCATCAACACCACCACCTTCGACCCCACCACCTACAAATGGACACGCAAAATTACCCGGACAAGCAGACAATACATCAGAAAATAAGTTGGGAGGGGAGATGGTGAGGAGGACTTCAGTGGGTGGCCATTCAGATTCATCTCAAGATGTTTACAATGTTCCCACGATTTCTTTCCCACAAGAAAATCATCGCCATATCAACGTAAATTCTGCCAAAAATCCCTCTGTCCATCGCGATTCCGGTCCGTTGCATTATGCGAAGACTGTCTTGACATCCTGCCCGATCTCTGATACCTTGGCCATCCTTATTGTCCTTCTCCAGGTCCCACCCGCTTTCTTGACGATTATCCAGTTACTGTTCGCCACCTTGACATTCGTTCCTCCATCCACAGCTGCTACTACTGGAATAAGCTTCATCGATATGTTCGAGGGAACAACTGGCACGCCATCATTGGCAACGATTTTGGTGGTTGATGCACTATTTCTCTTGACCTGGGTTTTCTTATATGGGCCTGTGCAAGAGTTTATTCTACAATTTGCTCAATCTGTGATCGCATTGACCTTGGGAGGAGGTATCAGTGGAAAGGAAGCTGGGATGAAGAACGTGTTTCTCTGTTTTGGTTACATAGGACTCTCGCATTATGCTTCTACTAACAACCTTAAACCTACTGGGCTTCGATCAATATTCTCATTTCCACGAAGTTTTTTCGGACCATTCAACCTTGAAGACCCTCTCGAATCGATACCAATACATAGCGCGAATTGGAAAGACCTGATACCGATTTGGGTTAGAAACATCCTTGCCGTTCATATCCTTGCACAGGGTGTTGTGCGGTATATTCGAGATTTATATTTTAGGAGTCAAAAACGCGATCATGCAGCATCTACTTTGGGTGACCCTGAAGCAGCTAAAGGATCCGCCGATGGAGGTAATGACTCTTCTAGTACAAACCCACAAACGCCGGATAACGAAGCTGTAACTTCACTACATGCTAGCAGTACAGCCATTACAACCAGGAAAAAGAGAAAACAAAGCGCACAAGTTCGTATACAACAGCCTCTATGGGCAGCCTTAGCAAGTACAAAAATTGTCATGGTCAAAGAGTACGAGACATCACACGCAGCTGCGGAATCGGCAGGTACCAATGCAACAGATGCTAGTAATCTCGGAAATGCACCTTTCAGTACCGAGCCAGAACGAATATGGATCACCAATGTTGGGTCCGATACAGTTTTATTCAGTACCAGTTATTTTCCCAAGTACATAATTCCGGAAGAGAACCAAGAGCATGGAGATGGGTCAGCTGTAAATTCGAGGATGCCTATCTTTGTTAGGGTTAATCAAGCACATTGGCAACCTACGAGGATGGAGCCTAGCGTTGATCCTAGCTTACCTGCTGGACCAAACACGTGTTGGGATGGTGAGATTTTCGGGCTTGCACCTTCGAGCAGCTATGAGATTGAATTTTTCAACAGTGTTAGCAGCAGAATCATTTTTTGTACCAGTGTCAAAACCCTTTCTACTCCTTCGGATACTACAGCTACCGCCTCCCTCTCACCTCTTCCTCCTCAAATATCAGGACGACCAGGGTCTCCAAGTACCACTATCAAACAATCAATCATCGCATCCGAGACCAAACTTCTCGAAGAACGCACTCGCCAAAAACGCGAACGTAAAGACCAACGCACTAAACTCAGTACGCTTCGTAAAGATATTGAGAAGCTCACCAATATCATAACCTCATCAGGTGGTAATGATGATCGTCAACGTCAAAAAATTCAACAAATCAATCTTCACATTAAACAGGCAGATGATGCCATTGCTGCCATCCAAGCTGAGATTGATATTGCCGATCGGTTACCATCCGCGTCAAGAGATTCTGATTATATTTCTGCAAAGCAAACGTATCGAATGCAGAAAGATCTTTACGAAAAAGCCAAATCCGACTTCATAAACAAAAAGAAGGAGAATGAAAAGCCAATCGCAGCTTTGAGCGCCGAACTTCTTAACAGAGAACGTCAATCTGAGAAATTGGAAGCCCGATCCATCAAACTTACTCATCAAGCAGATGATCTTCGCGAAGCTAACACCAAAGGGTTAAACGAAGTTCAACGTAAGGAAAAGCAAAGAAAGGATAAAGATGAGGAAAGGAAAATGGTCGAGGCGAGTTGGTCTGAGTATAACACAAAGGCACAACTTCAACTCCATCATCATACTGAGAGCCTTAATCTCATGTATCAATACATCGACCAATGGAGCTTTGCCTTACAACAACATCAACAAGAAACAAATCAAGTTTATTCCAATCCTAGTCCTTGGACTACCGCCCCTGACAGCTCAATGCCTGGATTTCCTGCATACGCTCCGATTTCAAATATGGTATCGGTTATGCCTCAAATGGGTGGATCAATGGCAATGCCACAGTCCACACGACCAAGAGGTAGAAGTTCAAGCATGCTAAGTAATGAGAGTGGTTTTACCCAAGGACCCGAATCCGATGAAGAACATACTCCATTCTATGGACCACATATTCAATCTCAATCTCAATATTCTCCATATCATCTCAATCAATCACCAAGTCCCTTTGCTTCTTTCCGCAATATAGCATCATCTCAATTCCAACAAAACGAATCATTAAACTGGCCTCCAACACGCAAGGGTTCTGGTTCAGGTGATGGATTAGGTTCCAGAAGTGGAAGTTCGAGAGGTAGTATTGGGGATCCTAAGAGTCCCACTCCAGGACATGCTCATTTACCTTTACCTATTGGTGCGGGATCTGGGTTAGGAGGTGGAAGTTTGAGGGGTTTGAGACATTTTTGGGATAATTGATTTGTAGGCATGATTTGATTTGCTGTGCTTGCTGGATTGTGAAGGATGTTCGCAAGGGAGATTCGATTGAACTGCTCAGATATAATATCAATGAACTAGATTGATTGATGGTTGTTGATGACGGAGTTTAAGTGATGTGTGGAAATTTTGATGTTGATCTGATGGACTGTAGTGAGAATGGCTGGACTGAATCGAGACTGGCTGATCGTGATGGACATAGAAGCGATATTGGCATAGCATAGCAGCAATAAAATGAAGCTTGCAAGTTTTTTATTTTCTCTATTTTGATTTGTCTGAGATTCTGAGACCGTGAACCGCCTCCTTAAAAATTAATCAGTAAATAAGCCAAGTAATCCGACCCTCATCCCCCTCCATCACCACATCACCACCACCTCTCACAAACTACTCTTCCCCCATCCATTGCCTCGACTCCTTGTCCTAGTCTTCGTCCCAGTTCTTGTATATACGAAGTAAATTCATCAGTTAAAGCAGGTGGTCCGCATATATATGTTATTGTTTGATTTTGATTTTCTTTTTGATTTTCACTTTCCTCTTCTTTTTCATCTTTTGGAACTTCTTTTCTTGTTATAGTTTTTGTAGGAGGAAAAGAAAGAGCAAGTTCGATATCTCTAAGAGAGATTCTGCGGGGGTGGGTGGTGATATTTTTGTATGAAGGGTTGAAGGTAGATGAGGGTGAGGAGGAGGGAAAGGGTCTGGTGATGAAGAGCTGAAAATCCCAATTTTTATGAGCGGAGAATAGTGTGAGGAGGCGGGGGAGGAAGAGGATTTCTTCTTCTTTTTCTTCTCTTCCTTCGTGCTCTTCTTCTTCTCTGATAGAAAAGGGTGCTTTAGTACCTTTAGTACTATAAAGAAATTTAACTTCTAGATTCTCCAGACAATTTTTTCGTCTGGTTGTTCGTTCTATTCTTGAAATTTCGTCTTCTTCATCTATGATATTACTAGGAGTGAGGTTTTCCGTCGTGTTTGATTCTGAGATTCGGGAGATTTCGGTGTGGATGTAAGTGACCATGCTTATGAGGGGGTTTATACCCATTCCGCCTGCTATGAATATGATTTTTTTTATTTCGGTTGGGGTTTTGGTTTCGGTTTCTTTTTCGGGATTTGGATTTGGATTTGGATTTGTAGGATTGAATTGGTGTTTGAGAGATGTTTCTTGGAGTGGGGTTTTAGAGCTGGGGTTGTTGGAGGATGAATGTAAAGGCGGGTTGGATGAAGATGGTGAAGGAGAAATAAAAGGGAATGAAGGAGGTAGGGTAAAAGATCCACCAATTCTAACTTTTACTTCTTGGTTGAGGATTAAAGTAGGAGGTTGAAATAACCAAGATACTTGTTTGCTGATTTTTTCCTGCTGGATGGGTTTTTGAATCGCTAGTTCTATACCTGCTTCTTCGACTTCGACTTCGTTCGTATTTCTTGGGAATGTTTGTGAATGGGAAGAATATGGTGAGGAAGTGGATGGAGAATGAGGAGGGATATTAGTTATGCTAAATCCTCCGGGTTTTTCGATACCGGGAAGATAGAGATCTACCCATTGGCCGGGTTTCCAGGTGAGTTTTGATGGGGATTGGATGGATGGGGTGGGTGATCTTGATGTGGATGTGGATTTAGAAGATGTGGATGCTGAAGGAGGTGAAGGCCTAGGGGAGAGATAAAAGAGCCGCGTCGTAGAATTTACAGGTGTTGTTGAGGTGAGGAAGAGGTTATGTAGCGACTAGTGGGTTGTTAGTTGTTAGGTTATTTTGGTATTTTGTGGGTTGGAGGAGTGAGTCTGTTGATGTTTGTGGATGAGGAGATATTCTTGAGGAGGATAGAAAAGTATATGGGAAAAGAAGGAAGAGCGAAAATTATGGATATAGATAAATAAATGAGCATATGCATACCTCATCCCTCGGTTCGATCGCCGTTCGTTCGATATGACTTAGATATCCTTTTCCTTCCTTTTCCACTTCAGTTCCTCCATTTTCATTCTCCTTTTCTTTCTTTCGCTCCAGATCACAAGGAGGAGCAGGAGCAAGACTCTCCTCCCTCAGAATTTCAGACCTAGACGCCATCATCCGACGGAAATCTACACTATCCTTTGATTGTAATCTTACAACCCGTGCTCTAGAGCCCCAAAATATCCGTCGTGTCAATGATTGAATGCGTTGATAATGAGACAGCAAAGAGCTCATTTATCTAAAAGCTGTTAAAAAGTTTTTAAGGCGATTTCGTAGTGTTGGTTGGTTCTTGATATTCATTGAATGTGCATGAGAAGGGGGAGGAAAGCATGCATGATGATATACATGGATTGAGGTGAGGTTCATGATGGCGCTTAGTAAGCAGATAAAAGGGCAAGGTTGTTGAAGCCTTGGTTGGTTAAGTTGTAGTGTTGACAGAAAGATATGAGCGTTTTTCTTTTTGATTATTTTGACCAAATTGCTATACTGATAATTGGAACACGTGTGTAATGTGATGAAATATAGTAGCTCATCACCGGCACGAATAGGTGGTCGAGAACTGTGGCTGTGGCATCGTGGCTCTAGCTGTGGCTGGTAAGGTTACCGTGACCTCATCTGAATATTTGTATAATCTTACAATATTATGCCTCGTCGTGTCTTTTTACAATATATATATTTTTCAGTATTTCTTGCTTGATACATTTGTATCCTCTCAGATAATAGATGAAGGAGTTTCTTGGTCTCTTACCTCGTTCGTTGGGCACATTGAACATATGGCCAGTAGTATTCAAAGTGTCTTGTCGTACAGGCAGCACATCAGATGTAGACAGCCACAAAGCCAGGAACACTGACATCAACTACCTTATCCTTTGAATAGCTAGATTCATAGCTGTATAGGTCTGGTGTAACTCATATCATGTGAACGGGATATGCAACTCAATCCGCCATACATACGAATAATGAGGCTGAGCTGAGTTGTGTATCTTGGACAACCAAATTTTTATTCAAGTTTCTGTTCTATTCCATAATCATAGCGTGACAATTGCTAATTTATATTAAAACCATACAGTCTCAAAACATATTGTCGTGAACTTCTGACACCAGCACCCGAGCCCTGTTCGGACATGTCTCCATCATGGCACAATCCAGTCCCACATTTATTGCAATGAATAACCTTGGGACTTCTGCTTCAACATCAGCTGTTACACCTACCCAACAGAAATTTAATTCCTCAACTGCAAGGCTGAATCTTCCTACACAAGGAGTTGCACCCTGCCCTCAAGGACAACCACAACTATGGGCAATTCCAGCTGGTATCCCAAGTAATAAGGCTCTTGCTCAAGGCCAAAGACCGAATCAGCCTGTACGACAAAGCTTACAAGCTCAAGGTCAGCCATTACATGCGCAACCCATAGTATCTCAAGTCGTTCAATGTGGATGTCTACCCGGAAATCTATGTTCACAGCATACACCCGTCCCGAGTCCTAATCCTATTGTTAGGTGTATGAAGTTTCTTGTCTGTTGGGATTGCGGACCTCTTGGAGCTACAATTGCCATTATCGCTTTTGCGGTTGGTACCATCATATCCTACTTTGGTATAAAGCTGGCTATTTGGACTGCTACTGAGGACTATATTGAACATTGTCAGGCAGATGAGGTGTGTCTTCATTAACCAATTCGCAGATTATCCAACTTCGTACTAAAAAATCTCTAGGAAGCACAGCGAGCGACGCTCCAATGTAAAAAGGCAGCTGGTCAAGCTCTACCTCCACCACCATTTTTCGAGTATGATCCTACAAACAATACTGTTGTTCGTCGAACATTGGGTGGAATGCTATTAGGTTCTACTAAGTCAATCTCTTACAACAACAATTACGTTTGGGCATACGCGCTCCTGTGTTGTACATTTTGCTGGTTAATTCTGTCCATGACATGCTATTTGGCATGGAAATTACCAGGTACTCGACGCATATGGGCTGGATATTCCCGAAAAATAGCCGCGGATTCCTCAAATAAAGTTTGGCATCCCTCATCAATTTCCGATCCAAATCGAAGATTCAGTCGTACGCCTAGGCGTACCGCTTGCCTGCAAGCCATTGAGATTAGTGGTGTAGGGAGCGAGTCAGGATGTGAGCCTTATGGGATCACAAGTGCCTCATCATATGCAATAATAGCAAATGAAGACAACACTAGTAATGTGAGGCGTCGTGGCTAAAATCGCCTCACTTGGAACCAAAATCCTAGATTCTCGCGACTTGAAGAAAACGAAGGCTGTCGAATGAAAAAAGACGAAGAATTTATACGAGAGTCATTGGTAGCTCGAGGTGTTACGTTTCCCACGAAAATAAAGCTTTCAAATAATGGAAATCAAGAGATCACTTACTTTGGGGACGAACACGCCATCGATCATTTTCGTCGACTGGCAGAAAATTCATGTAATTTCACAAAAATAATTCGGCTTCGACTTCGTTCTTTTGCGCATTGCGAAATCCTAGGTCTCCTTGGACTTTATGGTTTGGAGATCTCTGCATGTACTGGGAATGCAAGATGTATCTCTTTAATTGATATGCTATCCATTCCCCCATTGAACAGTATTTTAACATCTTTTCCGTGGATGGACCCTAATATCAGACGAGCAATTACGAGAGTAGCGAACAGCAAGAACGCAGAAACGTTCTTGAAAGTTTATATAGAAAATCCAGCTTGGCAAGAAGAGATTAAAAAAGCCATCATAATTTGCCTAGATCTTCTCAAACCTACAGGAATCGACAGTGGAGGTAACCTTGTCGCTCTGTACCATGGCCAAGGCAGCTTAACAACTGTTAAATTCCCCAAAGAGTTTTTTAGTTGGGATAAGACTCTAGGAGAAATGTCAGGAAATTTTACTGTTGCTGTTGTTACAGATATGTGCCTCTCTTCGCAATCTCCGGTGCACGGGAAGAGATGCCAAAATGGCGTACACAATGATGAAGACTCGGGATCTCTAAACTCAAATCTCAATCGTGGCACGAAATCCAGGTTCATCTATCTATCAAAGGCTTATCATGAGGAAGCCGAGGCGGTGAAAAATATTAGACGGTAGATGCAGGTGCTGCCGACCAACGACTTATTTTGTGAAAATAGGATATTTTATTGTAAAAGAGCCAGTATTGGAACTGAGGGATCACACCTTTCCAAAATTGTTAGCCGCAGATTGGACTACAAGCCCAATTCCAACTTCGTATCATTTGAACCAAGACTTGCATGATAAGCCCACCTTTGTCGACTGTGCGGGTAGAATCAACAAAGAGTACGGAATCCGACACATCACAACGTACATACTTGGCCGTACGCCGAATGAATTCAGGAGACTAAAGAGAAAAAGGATGGATAATTTTTTTACGTACGACTTTCACAGGCCGATGATGGCATAGCTTGTAATTCATTCCAATATCTTACCGGTCAAAACGAAACTTGAGGCTTTCGAAGGCATTTGGCCATTCATGAATCATTGTCTTCGCATGGCCACTTCCGTTTCAAAGAATTTTTGGCTAAAAATGTGGACGAAATATAATGTTACTAGAATTAGGTAATATTCGACCCAAGTTGCAAATTCTAAGAGCATCTAATGACCAAGGCTATTTAGTAGATGATCTTTCAGCATGAATTTTCAGTTGTTACGGAGTGAGATTCGGATTCTGCTTGTCTGGTGAAGATATAATGGCTCATGTATTGGAGGTCTTGCTTTTGCGATCATGTCCATGTGTTACGTTCATAGCTAAAACGCTTTCATTACCACACGACGGAAAGATTTGGGGACTTTTAATGCACAGTAAAACGGGCTTGAATATGAAAATTAGGGATTGATATTATATAAAGAGAAATTTTTTTAGGAAAGATATTTTTTGAAGACGAAAAGTGCGATGTGACAAGAGTAACATCTAAAATGAGCATAAACTTGCCTATGCTGTATGATATCTCTTTCTACCCATGGCCCTAGGAGTGATAGGGAAAGGTCTCGCAATGTGTCAATGCCAGTTATCTAGAATATCGATCTTTGACTTAAAATTTGAGGTCTCGGGAAGCATTTATTTGTAGTGAGATTTACAATAGTCGGGGATGTGGATGAAGAAACGGGAGTACAAATTGAAGTGTTTATGTATGAATTCAGGGAATAAAAGAAGGAAATGAAATGAAAAACACTAAAATGAATTCAAGAGAAATTGGATGAGGGAAGCGGATTAGGGTTTCTACCCATGCTCGGCTCGTCTATTGAGAAGGGATGACTTCGGTTTCATTGATTTACCCCCTCGCTTAACGATGAGGTGGATCCAAATTTTATTCATGATTGACCTCTACACTAATGACTTTCATCACTACTCAATCCTTTCTGCTATCATTTAAAATTATCAAATTTTTATTCAACCGATTCATTGAACTGCCTTTACCAAAATAGACGTCGCATCGACAATAAATACACTTCTTGAACCACTGTCACTTTTTTACGTTAATTAAATAATGACATCATTACAACCCAAAGTAGACTGTCTGGTGGTATTAACATATTAAAAATGGATGAATGAAGTAAGATTAATTCTCATACCCAAGAAAATGTAATTAATCCTATAGAACTTCGCATTATTGATATTATATATCTTTATCATTTAAACAAACCTCAAACCACACATCAAAATAATCGACCCCACTTCCAACACTCAAGTATTTAATAATTACATGATAATTATCCCACTCTTCTCGTCTAGACCAAACTCCTGGATTCCGTTTCTAATTTCCAGTTTTCAGCATTCGGGAAACTAGTCTTAAATCAAATTATAGAAAAAACTTCAACTAAAACATCGGCTTAGTATATTGGATACCCACCCAAGAAAAAACCATGATTAGACGCTGGAATACAGTTAGCGCGCCGAGGCAGAGGCGCGATCTGATTAATCAAGATAATAGATAATTGATTTTGTGATTAGGCCTAGAGAGTAATATTTACAGAACTTGGTACGATTGAGTGAGGGTAATTATGTTTTATTAACATAAGCGTATTTACTATGACTGACGGTTTTTTTTCACTATTCTAATAGATGAGATTAGATGGCTATAAGAGAATTTAGTTGTGATTCCTTGTAATTATAATTCCTCTTTTATTAATTATTAATTATTCATAATCAATATCTAATTGGTGTTGTTCTATTACCAACTACTCTCTCCCACCATCCCATGCGACCATACGAATGCTACCCATACAACTAATTATCACTATCCCCACTCCTCCATCCTTAATTATCTGTCCCTCTATTTTCTCCCTTATTACCCGAGCCTCTATAATCTCCACCCACTCTCATCTAATTTAATCATCACCACCCAAATTCATCGGAACTAATTCCACCTTCCCACCCCTACTAGCACCCACTCCTCCTCTACCACTCGTAACCCCTCTAATCATCAACAAAGCCAATCTCCCCTTCAACCTCTCCCTATTTTCACTTATCAAATTTCCCGAGCCATCCGTACTATCCGTGCCGCCCCTTGTTCCCCTCGCATGAAAATGATTCATCATTGCCGTTTGACCTTCTTTATGAGGTCGAGGTCTATTTACATGACCACTCCGAGTCGAATTTATGTACGAAGGACGTGGCACATCTGAGTTTTCCTGTTCTATCTTGATGACCTCATCAGTATTTTCCTCCCCGCTGCTATTTTTCGATCTACATGTAACGTAGCTTGAGTCTTTAGTTTCATCGTGTTTTGGATCCGTGATATGAACCTCATCTTCTTCTTTATCTTCCACGCGAAAACAATTACTCGCAAGAGCCCTCTTCAAACACATCAACTTTATCTCCTTCTCCTTCTCACCCTCACCCTCACCCTCACCCTCACTCTCACTCTCGCAAGATATGCTGTTGGAGAATTCAAGAGCTTTAGCATCAGCTAAATCCGCTTCGTCTAGCACGCACTCCATACTGCCTAATGGCAATATCACCTGTCGCACACTCTTGCTTTTGTATCCAAATGATGAACCAGATCTTCTATCAATCCTGACGCCAAGCAAAGTGCTCACTGGAGATCTAGCTCTCATGGTATTTTCTGACGCAGTATCAGAATCGTCAGATGGGGAATTATTCGACATCATCGATATAGGTCCAGCATCTGATGGATTTGGATCATTGATTGCCGGTTCGGGTAATTTGAAAAGACCAAAAGGGATAGAAGCTGAGCTACGAGCTCTTCGAAGTGCTTTTTTAACTGTGTTACTATATGCAAATTGATCTGAAGCTGCTCCCTCGGTACTCTGGCTTCCGCTATGATGCGCAGATGAAAATCTTCTCCTTAGAGATTGTTTCGATACTGAATGAACAAGTGGTTTGAGTTTCTGTTTGATGCGGTTAATGGTGGGAAAACGTGGAATTTCGGAATCGCTCCCATCGCTAAGTGGGAAGGAAAATGTCGTCCCAGACGTTTTGGTCTGTCTTGCTCCACGTTTAGAGGCTGTTGTAGATGATTTGTGATGAGTTCGATCGTTATTATGAGATGTTGGGTCAACACGATCTGAGGTAGTAGGATGATTTGACATGGAATGTACAATGGTCTGTTCTGCTACAACCTCTGATTCTCTGCGTCGTGAGCCAAACAAGGACTTTGTGGCAGACCAAGTTGGCTTCCACCTCTCCTCTGTTTGCTTGAAACTAGTGATAGCACCAGTACGTATGAAATCATCCCCTGTACCAGAGCCTCCACGCAAGCTGACCTTGCCGCTTCGAACGCTAGCTTGGGGGTTTGCTGTAACGTATTCGTGAGTAAAGGCAGGATTGGTGTTGGAAAAGTCGCAATGCGAGGGTTTCAATGGAAGATGCTGCAATTCAATCTCATCGATAATGATAGAATCATGACCTTCTTCACAAGTTTTGATTGTAATTTTGGTAAAAGGATTTGGAGGTTTGGTAGAAGAACTAGGAGAATCACTTCCCACCACCGGTTGAAGCATGGAAAGTCGGAGAGGAGAACTGCTAACAGCAGAATAACTTCTCGAGGCTCTATCGCTTCTGCCTGTATCGTTTGCTCCATCCATAAACCGCAAAGTTCCGGGCCACACGGGAGCAGCTTGTACTGTTGCACCAGTATTATTGCGATTAGATTTCATGTAGCGTCCGATATCATCAGTGCAACAACAGAAACTCATCAAAATCACAAAACATACGCATGCTGCGACGATATACATAAGTTGATATGGAGTTACTGCGAGATTTCCAAATTCGGGAAAGTGTGAATGCACATTCGTAGATGGCTCGCTGATGGAACTGGCGGGTCTCGTGATTGCAGTCGCGGCTGTGCTATCTGAAGGCCCTTTATACAGAAAAGATGTTACCAATGTCTGGATAGGTGAAAAGGTTGAAGTTCTGGTTGTGATGATAGCTGGCAAGGTGAGTAAATTGCTTGTCCTGCTTGTAGAAATCGATGTCGCCGAAGGGCGATTCTGTAGGAGCCCCAGCCTTGCCGTGCTAGTAAGGTTCACGAAGCCTGCAGTTACACCTAGAGGATCCTGTATTGATTGGCTAAAAGCCATGATATCTTTGATTATTGATCGGAGCTATGCGTGAAAGAATGTCGTAGTCAATATACGATATGTCAGTTATTTGTTGTAGTCGAAATCAATGAAGAAGCAATGTCTGATCATAAATTTGTAACAGTAACGATGCGCAGGCTTGAGAAATACCAGTATCCAAATGTGTAGATTCCTTTGAGATCAAAGGAAGGGAAATGTATTGAGATGTATCCATCATAACTGATAATTCCGATTTTGATGGAAAGAGCGACGCTGGCTAGGATTAAATTGGCCATGACGGAAGGGGAAGCTGCCACACGAACCTTAGCTTACTTCCAGAGCTCTATCAACACTACCTTTATGCATCAAGTATGTCAGAAACGAAAGAAGAAGCGGTAATAAAAGACGTAGCATACTATGCAGAGGCTACGGGATTGAGGCTCATTGTCAGAACAACCCGTTCTAGAACAGGATCATAATTCTTGCACAAGTTTGATGTAACACTGATTACCGTCGTGCCGCTTCTCTCCTCGAAGATTCTCACTGGAATATTGATGGCCTTGCAATGTTGAAGTAATGTTGCAAATCGGGTCTTTCAGTCCTTATCCAAGAAAGGGGCAACTGTGCAGTTTCGCTTACTGTTGCCCCCATGACTTTGAAAGATAAAAACCTAGATACCATTCATTCAACCCAAGCATTTCGAGACCATTTAACACATAATCAAGCATCGGAAGAGCCATGCCCCATTTAACCACACGCTTGAGACGAATATGAAGCGTTTGCACGTTCAAGGCAGATATCTATTGCGCATGCTTGACTCTCTCCCGTTGTTAACAGCTCCTTCATATCAGGGTCAATAGGGTCAATGATCAAATGATACTTAAAGATAGTATAAGCAATTATAGATCTAATACTTTGATGCAGCCGAAAAATTAACGCATTTAAATAAAATTTCCGTAATGTTGAAATACAAGAGTTTTGAGTGGCTAGATTAGTGGATTTGCTATTGATCGCCATCATGGCCGCTAAAACTCCCCGTAATAAATTTGGCGCGTCGCGACTTTTCCACTTTAGAACGCGTTACCCCAATCTGTAAATCCGAAGCAGAGAGGAACATTCTAACTAAACATCGAATTCGAAATACACCTTTGAAAATACAACAAAATGATACGTCAAGACCCGAACAGATTCTCCAAGAGACAAAAACCAGACTATAGAAAAACTCAATTTGCAGAAAAACCTGCCTATAAAGATCTTAGCTACCCGCACCGTTTGAATTTCTACTCGATTCCCCCAACCGCCGATATAACTCTGGAACAATTTGAGCAATGGGCTATTGATCGGTTGCGAGGTATATACGAAAACTTTCAAATTCTGTGAATGTTCAATAACATGAAAAATAGTTCTCGCAGAGCTCGAAGCATGTTCTTTCAGAAACAGATCACCCGCCGAAACAGCTGACCATATGAAACCTCTCCTCGATAAATACCTACCACTTTCTACCTCTTCCTCCGGCTCCAGTGCACTGCAGGCTGAAAGGCAGAAGGATCATTATAGTCATTTCATACTGCGGCTTGCATTTGCTTCCACAGAAGACTTGCGAAGACGGTTTTCTCGGGTTGAGTCGATGTTATTCCGCTTGCGGTTTCAGGTAGACGATTTGAAGGGACGACAAGCATTTGTGGAAGGCCTAAATCTAGATTGGGAAACAGTGAGTGAGGAAGAAAAGAGGGAGAATTGGGAACAATTGAAAGGCGCGGCTGGCTGGGATAAAATGCGAATAGAAGAAGAGAGTTGGTTCAAGGTAGACTGGGAGAGAGTACCCGAATTAGTAGAGAGTCGGAGAGTATTCTTGAGGGGTGGAAAGGCATACGTACATTCCAGAGAACAACTATCCATGGTTGTGGCGGAGTTTACCAATAGGCTGGATAAAGCTTTAGAGGTTTGTTTGTTCATTTGTGACTCCTCATTGTGATATGTCCTAATAATTTTCTCAGATTACTTCTCGCGCACTTCCTCGACTTGACGAAGACGATCGATTAACGCCAATCCTTACACATCTCTCCCAAAACTTCACCACGCCCGATGCAAATTATTCTGGCTCAGCTACTGCGGTGGATGGAGCCGACATATCCGCCCGCAATATCGATGTACTGTCATCTTCATTCCCTCTTTGCATGCAAAACCTCCACAGATCTCTTCGCCGCGATGCTCACCTTAAACATTACGGTCGTCTGCAATACACTCTTTTTCTTAAAGGTATTGGTTTAAACCTAGAAGAATGTCTTGTATTTTGGCGATCTTCTTTCAGCAAAATTACCGACGACGTCTTCAATAAAGAATATAGATATAATGTTCGTCACGCATATGGTGATGTGGGAGGAGATTCCAACCGTAGAGGAAATGGATACTCTCCGTTTAGTTGTCAGAAGATTTTAACGGAACATCCTCCAGGTCCAGGAGAATCACATGGTTGTCCTTACAGACATTTTAGTGTGGATAACCTGACATCATTATTGCGTGCAGTAGGCGTTAATGATCAAGAGGTCTTGCGAGGGGTAAAAGAGGATAAAGAGAAACAGAAATTTCATCTTGCTTGTAATCGGTATGTAGTTCGGAATCCACCTCCTGGAGCAAATGCTAATCTATTTAGGGTCTTCGAATATGCACATAAACAGGAGATCAAGAAAGTCAAAGACAATGGTACATGGGAAGCGGCACAATTAGAAACGATTGTCCACCCTAACGAGTACTTCAAACGAAGTTACCTACTTAAAAATATGGACAAAAATCCCGCCGTAGAGGAGGATGTCAGGATGGACGGTTAAATAATGTATGAATTATACGACATAGGTTAGTGGCGTTGCGATGGGAAGGATAGACGTTCTATGGGTTTGTTATTATAGATATCATGATTAAGACTTGATGTATCTTCATGAGTGAGGAGAGTAGTTGAATATATTGAGTTTGCGCTTTCATTCTATTCACTATTATCGCTTCTGAGAGTTCTCATTCGTCTGACTTCCGTCTGTTTCTTTTGAGCACACAATAGCTATCATACCTTCCAAACAATTGTTTATCTTTTAGGCAGTTTAGTGAGTCTTTTCCAACTCTTCCAATTAATTATATACTGGTCTAGGAACAACAAGAGCTCCTTCTTGTTGTTTCTCGACATTTCTCAAGCATCTGCAGATCGATCTATCAATAAAAAGATTTCCGCCAACTTCGTTCCTTGTCATTCACAGTATCCACTATCCATCTACGACTTCGATCTATACACACCAATTCAACGCACCACCAACAGTGTGCCGATCCCCACCCAGCCTACCTATCAAACTCCAAAACACGAAGCCTCACCCTAGTACCGATAGCCCACACTCTTAAACTTTCCTAGCACCCAAGCATTAACAAAAAATGGCCGCCAACCTGAACAAAAATGAGTCTGTCGATCTTACCACTTTTATCAACTCTGATGTCGTAAGGGAATTGTTTGCCTTCGGCTTAGGTGGAGTATTGGGATTAATCGCTTGGTATTTTACGTATTTCTATATGGTTGAGTTGGTATTTAAGAGGATTGATAGAGCGCAGGGGAATAGATTTGTCGAGAGGGATCGTAGGAATTTTAGAGTTTATGGTTAGGGGGGTTTTGTTGGCGTGGAGGGTATGGTTTGAGGAGTGCGTTAGGTACAACGGCGGAATGGATTAAAACTGTTGAATCGGCTGGAGGAATATTGGTGTTGGAGACTTGAGACTTGAGGGAGGCTGTGGTTGGATGAGCTGGTTGTGAAGGACTGTTATATACAATGGGATGGGGGTTGCATATGCTCTGACTTCAGCGACTTTGAACTCCGACGCAGGATAACAATGACCAAAATATGTCGATTCGACATATAGTTGCCATGCGGAACAATGTTTTGAACTGCATCAGTGTACTGCGGTGGATGCTGGGAGGAGAAGGATGGAGTTTGGAATCAGTGGTAATACAAAATGGACTTTCCTAGGTACAATGCATCCTCAAAACTTCACTCTATCACCATCATTAGCTAATCACCCATCTATTAGACTATAAAACTCATTTAATACACACCGCATGCAGCGAAAGCGAAACCTTATATGTGAATGCTCGTGAGTCGTGATTGGCATCCATACCACTCAATGAATGCAATAAGTCGAAACCACTAATAATTTCGCAACCATCAATTGAATATTCCATTTCTGTTTCCCACCTACCCCTCAAAGAAAAATGTTTTCATTTACAAAATCATCTACAACTACTTTTCAAACCCCCAAAACATAAAAAACTCCAAAATTTATCTCCCACATTCAAACAATCCCGTGCACATTCCACCATTCCACCCCCCAAAATAACCGAAACCGGCAAATTCCACCTTCCTTCCTAATTAGGTAATTTTGCTACACATCTCCCAAATTTTCTTCTTTATTCACCATACATACTATGTACTTATAATAAATACCTAGCTAACTACTTTATAATGAATGCTCATTGCTTATTTCCTTTTCCACGTTTGGATGATGGGGAATATGTGATTTTCGTGGACGAAGAAATAGGAATATGTTGAGTCTTCATCATGTAAGCCCAGCGACGGTTGTGTGTGGATTATTCTTGGGGGTTATGGTGGCTTTTATTGCGTTTGTTGTTACGTTTCGGATGGCGGTGGATAGGGTAAGGGAATTGGACGGGCCGGGGATTGTTTAGGGGGTATTGGTTGTGGGGGTGGGAAGATTGCTTTGCTTAAGATGATGGGCAATTCTTATAGAGGGGTTCCAGGAAAACCCGATGTCTCGGTTAGGAGGAGGGAGAGAGATGGGAGAGAATGTTTAGGGACAACTGAAGGTGAATATGGAATCCTAGAGATGTAAGTATCAAATTTATCAATACGTGGAGAGTGTACCTAGTTACTGACGACATCCGTGAGAGATACAGAATAAATCCACAATTACTATGGTATTAATCAATATTCAATATACCGCAACTGCGAATTCACACACACACACACAGAGATATCCAATTTCATTTTCCATGATATTCAATCAACCTATTCACTTTCGACAAGAATTTAGTACGGATAGCAGATTACAAGGCTGAAGAATCTAGTCTTACCATGACGAAAGAATTTCTCACACTTTCAAGAATCAACACACCAATATACCCTCAACATTCCCATCTTCTCGATATCATCTTCCTGTTTATAAAGCTTATAAATATTCTTCACGCCCTGCGGCAAATTATATGGATGACAGATTGATTACAAAGCTAAAATCTAGCTATTGTGAATCTATCGTCACTATATCCCGCTCGATTCGTCTTTTCTACTTATACAACCCCAGGACGCAGTATTTTCTAGCTATACAATTAGTAGAGTATGTATTTACCTGTCTCTCGTTCTGTTCTTGCATTAGCTGATCGTCACCAGCTAGACTTTCATGTTTGGCGTCACGGTCTCGCAGAAAGAGAGTGCATAGTCAACGTTGGAACTTTTTGATGGATAGGAGATTTGTTTGTTTACATATACACATATACGATCTTTACAAATTCTACCCCCGCGGTCCAATTCTCCTCTTATAACCTCAATCTCAAGCAACAGATATATCACAGATCTAGACGAATGCAACAATCCCAAAATCATCAGCAGCGAAACATCCCATTCATCCACTCATCCATTCACCAATCCAAATCCCTCAACTCCTCAACTCCTCAACCCCAATACTCAATATCCAAACCCCCTCAAACACCGAAAAATGCCTTCATCCACCACCCCCACATTCGTCCACTCAGAAACCATCCACATCGGCAACTGGCTTATACAGCGAGGTGAAGCAATTTTTATGTTTATCGTAGGAATGTTTCTCGGATTATTTTTCTTCCTTTTTACTTTTAGGGTTTTTGATGAGTTTATTCGGCCGGTTTATTTTGCTGGGTTGCCGGGTTTGAGGGATAGGAATGTGGATGTGGATGTGGGTTTGGGTTTGGGTTTGGATAGGATGGGAGGGAGGGGTGGGATGGATGGGAATTTGAGAGGGGGGAGGGGGGGTAGTGATGCGGTGCCGGTGCCGGTGGATAGGTTTAGAGGGGTGGTTTGATTTGTGGGGTGGAGGGAAGGGGATGGAGAGGGAGAGGGAGATGTGAATATATAGGGTAATTTTATGTTCATAGGCGGGGTTTGAAATACTTACTAAAGGCAAAATATCCACTCTCCGAAATCATAGGTTCAGTACCTTGAATCCAAAGTCTCCCGGTTCATTTAGCAGTCATTTAACTATATCCATTCAAAATACGAATTTAAATGATATAAATAACAATGAAAATTTTCATCTTCATCTTCATCTTTGATTTATGTACTTCCTACAACTTAATCTTACATTATATTGTGTTGTATTGTATCTTTATACATTTATCTACTATTTGAGATTCATTTCTATCTCTCTCTCTATTCACTTTCTTATAAGATCTATGACTCGCGATTGGTATAAGGAATTATCAAAACTTGAGGTTATTAACTAGGTAATCTTATTTAGATATAGAATTTTGGGGGATAAGTGATTATGTAGTGATGTTTTTTCATTGATTAGGTAATTAATTAATTACAATTATAATTATAATTATAGCGGTAGGTGGATGGGATTTAGTTTCGGGAATTATTATGGTATATTAGTTAGTGCACTTTTACATAGGCGATGCGGAAAAGGGGATTAGGGTTTTGCGAGTTGAGTGGTGGATCTTGTTGATATAAGATTATATCTACGACTAATTTTTGAACGATAGTATTGCGGTGTTCGTTTTATGGGATATTATTGGGTTTATTGAGACTAGAAAGAGCATCAGATTGAATTGATTGATTCTCTAGCTAAGCAGTTAAGCTGCGAGTATATATTCAAAAAAATGAAGGAATAGGGTTAGGTATTCGGCCTTCGGAATTAAAGTGCTTTGAAATCAAAATATTGAAAGCAAACAAACAGTATACCAAAAAGGAAAGAATGAATTAAAAGTTGAGTTTGGTTTGCTCCTTATATGCATCATGCAATATATATGCATATGCTGCCAAGATCCCAGGAGGTCAACAGATATAGTGATGTGGTTGTGGGTTGTATGATGTGGTTTTTCTTTATTTATTGATATATTGCTGTTGATAAATGAAGGTTCGATATTGCTATAGATTAATTAATCAATGATTTATATGAATATATACCAAAAGAGAACTATTCGATGAATACTAAGGAGACGAGGATGTGTACTTTCGATATTTCCTAGCAATGATACTAGTCATCAAGCGAGACTAATTTAGCAGAAGAAAGAACTTAGACGAAAGTATGTGTAAGTCTATAGTAGTAAATAGAGCCTTAGAGTATAAATTATTGATTTAGATTGTTTCTTTATGAGGCTTTTATATTCTGGATTGCTATTGAACCTAAAAGCTATTTTCAACCTTGGCGGGATTTAGCTATCATAATTGTATATAGTATTATTAAATTATTGCTGAAATCAAATTTACTACCAGAGGATTAGACATAGATACATGAACTACAAGTTTGTGGAGGTTACCCGTATATTAGTACATCATATCCAATACCCGTAACGATCCACAGCATTACAGAATCAGAGTTCCTGGAATCTTTGTGTACAGGTGTAAGTATCCATATCATGAACATCGATATAACCATATATACCTTCAAATTCATGATCTAATTACTCATAGAATATAAATATAATCATAAACCCACGCATACAAGTCCTAAGATTACGGGAATATGGCAGCGGCATGATGATATATATGATGTATAAATAGCGCCTAAAGACCATAAGGATATCGATACTACTCCTCGCATTTCGCTAAAATCATAAAAAGCACTTTCACAATGCATATCCCTATATCAAAAGTATCCGTATACTTATACATGAGAAGCCGTCGAAAAATCACCATTCTCGATACATACCAAAAGTTCGTCTCATGATCTGGTGGTGGATTTCTGCTGTTAAACCTTATTCTGGCCTTGATTCAGAGGAAGTCTCTCGTCTGTTCACTTGGGATATATTGAGCACTACCTTATTACCTCACAATCCAGAAAAAAAAAACAAAGCGACTCGCAATCATCAAGTCATTAGTATGTGAAATCGGCAATGGTGTTATATAGAATGTATAATATAGACAACCCGGGGAAAAAACGCTAGATCGGCTTCCTGTCAAAGATCTCTTTCATTGGGCCAGCTAAATGCATAGCTAAGTGTAAATATTGATAAAGTCAATCATATTGCTTTAGTATCAGTACCAAGGTCCTGAGAGATAGAAAGTAAGTTTGGTTCTATCATTTTTGCAATTGATGATATTATTTTAACTATACTTGAGCTCTCGAGTGAAACAAGAAGTGTTACCGCGCATTTATAAGTTAATCCATCGGGACCAGTTGTAGGGGTTTGCGGGATCATTTGGGCTAATGTCAAGTAACCTATGAGGACAGCGTAAGTGAGGGTTCGTAAAAGAATATAATGCAGAAAAGAGTTGTGATAGCAATAAAGGTAGTGTTTGTAACGAGGTAAGGATCTTCTCGAGCTTCTTGAGTGACTATTAAGTTCCATCTTTGTCTCTACAGCGCCGATATTTTGGGCAGACGTGTTCTCTGACTCGTTCTCTAAGAAGGTTAGAGTGATTTCCTGTAATTGACGGTCTACAGTTAGAGTAGAGACATATGTATATTTTTTAATTAGCTCTCGCGAGTGAAAAATCAAACTAAAATATTATTATATGAAGTTTAACTTGAGAAATTGGTTTTAAATTTTTTTTTAAAAATAAATAAATTAAAAGAATATTTAATTGAAAAATAATTTAAAAATAAAAATGAAACTATTTAGATTTTTGATTATTAATCTAATATAAGAAAAGATTATTTGATTTTTATTTATCTTTAATTTGATTTCTTGTTTAAATGAAATATACATATAATTGATTTATAATCTTATAAAGATTTTATTTTTATCATTAAAATTATCTATTAAAATATAAAATATAAAATAAATATATAATAATTAAATTTTTTTTAAAATTATTATTATACCATGACCATCACTAATATACCAGCAAACAAATTGATGAAGTGATGATATAATGATTTTGAAAAGAAAATACACTTGTATGTATAGAATAAACTTTAGTATACTTCGAATTCTAATTTGATGCAATCTTCATATACCTAGATACAGACTTGTATATTGGGATATTGGAATATCAATACATCGAATCGAATCGAATATATTATAATATAAGATATCAAAAAGTAAACATCAATCAATACAGCAGACAGACAGACAGACAGACAGACAGACAGACAGACAGGCAGGCAGGCAGGCAGGCAGGTAGGCAGACAGGCAGGCAGGCAGGCAGGCAGGCAGGCAGGCAGACAGGCAGACAGTACACAAACTCACTCGATACCACAGAAACTCCCTTTGATTCTCTAATTAATACATACCTCACCACCTCTATAGGTATATAAACTTCTACCTTATAAAGTCTTATTAAAAAAAATCAGATCTTTACTTACCTACTTACTTACTTACTGAATATCACACCTATATACTAGTATATATCTATCTCATATACACCAATCCAATCCAAACCTCAAATACCTAGGTATCAATCAATCAACCTGTCACGATTCATTAATTCACGTGACCTTGAGGACCTTTTGGACCTTAGGGTCCCAAGGGTCCTCAAAAGATGATATAGGGTATATAAACATTCATTTAGTCTCGTGGTTAAGGAGCTTCGTGCTCAACTTAGTTATCAATTAGTTTACCTACATTCTACTTGATCTAGTAACGACTTCACTTCCAAGTGAAGACCAGTGATAAAGCCTTTACCCACAACTACCAACCAGACGAAACCTTAGGCAGCCGCTGCCTCCAGTATAGTATCGTTACACAACCCAATAAATCCAATCAATACTAAATAAAATATCAGAAATAAAGAGGAAAGTATACCCGGATCTCGGATCAGATCTTTATATCTACTGTAATATGTATGTACTCAGAAAGTTAAGGTTATAAGGTTATCGGATTACGATTACCCAGTAGACAAAGGATGGAATGTTTTATGTTCGGGTATTTTGCCGTTTTGAGGATGATGGGATGGGATTGTGGTGGTTGTTTGGAGAGTTAGGGTTAGAGTTAGGATTAGGATTAGAGCTGGATGATGCTAGAAGATTGTAGGAGAAAGGAAATAGAAATGATTAGGATGGATAATTTGGTGAAATGATTGATATGTTATGTTTGTTATGTCTATGGTGATTTGAATGGTTATTCGGAAGGTTATATAAGGGTGGGATAATACTCAGTAGGTGAATAGTAAGATTATCAAGTATCTATGAAAAAAAAACTCTATAAAATCAACAAAGAATAACAGAATTAACTATATACCCCATAAGGAAAAGTATAAAATACCAATAATAAAAGATTGAATAGCTCCGTCCTTCCATCACAGAAGAAAACCTAGTGCTACCCTTAATGAAGCAATGCATACGAAATATCTACCTATATATTAGAATATGCAATGCATCGCATCTCATCGCAACACACCTCCCCCTCAAAGATTCCCGATATTGGCAGGTCCCATTTGTTGAGGGATAAGCTTTGCATTTGCGGAAGGTAATACCGGAAAGATGGCTTTTTTGCCTACAACCAATAGGAATTTGAGGATGAAGTGAAAAAAGCTGAAGCAAGTTGCTTATAAATGAAGGTTGTTGAGGATTTAACTATTTGATTGGGGAGATGGATAGTATATCAATAGCTAACTAGCTAGCTACCTGGCTAGGTTATCAATATATGGATGAATAAGCTCCTTGTAGCTATGACTTTAGATTGGGCAGAGAAGTTTCTTTGTTGGTTAGGTGCTTTAAGTTGTTGGAGGCATGGAGGCTTGTAAGATCTTGAACTTGACACTTTTTGTTGGGTTTGGTAACTCGGCAGGTGTACGCACAGATGTGGAGTTGAACCTTGAGACTGGAGGTCCGTTTGAGGAAAGGGCAACCGATGGAGAAAAAGGTCCAGCCAGCCCTAGATGATGATGATCATGATAAGGAAAGAACAGGTGATAAATGATGAGTACCTAGGTAGCCTTCTCCTTCTTCGCATTCTTATAAAGGTATTTATTTATTTATTTATTTTGGTACCGAGACTAAACCTCAAGAGTCCAAGACTTAAACATATCTTAATAACAATCCCCTTTCCTTGGGAATCGTACCTAGATATTAATAGAGTTGGTAACCTATTGCTTGAATTCTCGGAGAAAAGCAAAGCAGCCCAAGGAAAAGTAGAGATAACCATATCTTGACTACCGATGTATGAGATATTGACATCGATATAGCTATCCCAATATAGGTATGGATTATACATCTTATACCCCTCGGCATTCGCAATTCTCCAGCTCTCACGTTCTTTTGATCATGTGGTTGGCTGCACAAAATACTTTATCTATACAGTGAATGAATGTCTCAATTGTGGCATCAAAGGTCACCGTGTGACTTGACGTACATTAAATAGTTAGAGGTCCCCATTGGCTGTAGAATTATTCTTGAGGGCATACCTCCGTAAGTCAGAAACCCATCTTCAAGGGTTTCTTTCTTTCATTAAAATCTTAAAAATCCGCAAAAAAGGTCGATCAATCATCAGTGCGGATGTAGATCTCGAACATGGCATTAACCAATGATAATTGAATGATGCCGAAAATTGTATCCTTTCTCCATACTCGGATTTGATTTGATAGGAGATGATCTTCTAGAACATTTCGAAATGCTTCTCTCAATGTGAGTGAAGTGATGAAGGAGGAAGTGAGTGAAGTGTGAGTTCAACTGTTTGTTGTTTCATTCGTTCTCTTTTTCATGATTCGTTTCGTTTATCAGCTGGTTTTTTTGCTGACTTGGGTGGTATATACCCATTTTTATCTTGGCCTCATGATAGGTTATTTTGAGACGTGTTTGTGGAGAAGATATTTTGTTCCAAATTTATTCTCTGCTTGTTCTCTGCATCGAAGCTTTCTAAACCCCGTCGTATCGTTTCTTCGCTGCTTCCATGCCACGCCATGCCATGCCATGCCAGACCACTCACACACACCTCTACGGCATCTGAAAAGTTTAAATCAATTTGGGGACCATTCGACACTTTTGCATTTCCGCCGCCAAAAAGGTGTCTAACGAATGAAATCATCAAACTGGTAAACTCCTCTCAAGGTATAATTAATTCATTGGTTTCATCCAATCAATTCATTTAAAACAATCAATTTATCCACTCAATCTTGCGAGGCCCTTCCCATATGGCTTATTCCTCTTTAGTATTTAAATCATCTCTTCATTCCTCCATTCCTTCCATAACTCTTCTAGATGTTAGCCTTATTTGTAAAAATGTAAAATTTGACCAATGACGATTGAATATTGGAAGAGATAGGTAATTTAGCAGCCCATGTCAACTTCTCTTTCAACTTCTTCAATTCCACATCTAAATCTCTCATTCCCCCTTCCCTTTTTCTCCATTTCAATTTCTTTTTCTTCCAAAAAGGGAACACCTTTCTACTTTCTGCCTTCACTTAACCCATTTCCAATTTCCAATTCGATTAAAGTATTATATATCTACTAGCTATAGGTAACACAGCTGAAAAGGTTTCATCAAAACTCAAGACACTTATACACACACACGCACACACTTTTCACTACACACTTCACTACACACCACACTTCACTACACACCACACTTCACTACACAATAAGTACAATCAGTCTTTTCTGTCGTAGACGAACGAACAAGAACAAAATCTACAGCCAGCGACAACATCAACAACAACAACAACAACAACAACAACAACAACAACAACATCAACCACCACCACCAGTACATACATACTCGACTCGAAATCAATTCAGGGATTTTCCTTGAGACCCGAAGCCACAACAAATTCACTTCTTTATAACCTGCCAATATCACTTTGGGCACTTTCCTTTTTAGTATCTTATACCGTATATCCCATTCTACATTCTACATTCTATATCCTATATCTTTCATCGCGACAACGAAATACCTGTCAAAAATAATGACCTTCTTTTGATATTTTTTTTTTTTGATATTTTCCCGCTTTCCCTTGGCGACATTGTTCGACCTATTTAAAAGAGAGGAATCCCGTGAGAAGGAGGGATGAGAACTCCATGGTTCTCGACCAATAAGCCAATTTGTACAATACAATACTACCTACCTACCTACCTACCTACTACACAATACCAATAACCGCAAAATATAAGTGCTGCTTCGGTCTTTGAGATACCAAGCCCAAGCCCAAGACCGAAGAGCAAGATCAATTTCAACAAAGCCCCTCTTTTCACATCCTCTCCACTCTTCGACAGATATTCCACATTCATCACCATCTGAAGTCCAATTAGTCGAATTTCCACTTCCGTTACACCACAGAGTCCAGAACTACCTCGAATTTCTATTACGGGTACAGGGCTTCCCTGTCATTGCGAAACACTTCCAATCTACTGTATTCTTTTTACGAGACTCGATTGCATTTTCTTTCATACCAATTTGCATTTTTCCCTCGGACTTTTCGACTAAGACGTCGTGAACAATATCGTCATCGTCTTTTTTTTTCAACGGAAAACCGAATCCCCGAAAACAAAGACATTGAAGCCAAATCGGAAAAGGGCTTGAATTTTAGAGAACGGACTCGGTCGATCGAAAAAAAAAAGGCCCAGCGCTCGAGCCAGCTTGCCCCCGTGCGACGCGGTAATTTGAGTTGACTGTCGAGAGCTCAATCAATTGGTTTCTCAATTAATTTTTTCTTTTTACTCCTATACTATACTACCAGTTAATATTGGTCAAGGCCCGCGGATATTGGTGGTGAGCGGGTATATAGATTTTGGTGTTGTGGTGTGCGAAAGATAGTGGCAGTAATGGACTACGCCGCATGCAATATTGTCTACGTGGATCGCACAGCTCTCGAGGACAAATTGGTGCGGAGAGAAGATGTGGTCACAAATGTTTCGACCTTGGAGAATTCAGCTACTGCCACCGATGGCGCGATAACACCACGAGCCATCAGTGCCGTCGACAGTAATGTGAATATTTTATTGGGCTCTTTTACTGAAGGTAGGTGCAATTGAATTAAGTGGCTTGATTATTTATTCCTGAATGGGGCTGCTTTGATGATGAAATTGACATGGAATTAGTTCACGTTTGTACCTCGGGCAGGTCTTGCATATCGAAAATCTCTGAACTAAATCGCGCATCGACCGCCGATTTGATACCTACCCTCGTTTTAATAGATATCCCGTATGATGATCAAGTAACTGAGCGACCTGCGAGGGAAGTCCGGACACCTTCGCCCAGTTCCAAACCACAGATTGATGGTATCCTCGATGAAGATATTGTGGAGGCATACGGGATAAAACTACTACAATGGATTGCATCCGAACTGCAACAGCACCGCCTATCGAAACTCATAGTTCCAGTGGCCATGGTTGCTTCGGCGTCGGAGCCGGGTCTCTCGGTGAATTCATCATCAAAAAATCGAATGAGTTCGAGATCGGAACCCGCTCCTGCTGGATATGAAATTGGCAGGCAAAATCGGAAATCGAGCGGCATCTACATACCACTGGATCAGAGAAGGACAATGAGGTTTTTAGACATCGGAGCAGTGGATGTCATAACGAATCCGCTCCTCCTCGAACGATTACCCAGTTTGGCAGTACATGCGTATCGAGCGCATAAAGACGCGTCCAAGGATCACAGGGCATTTATGGAGTTGAAGAGGGGAAGAAAGCGATCGTGGGTTGGTGTCGAGGATCAAAAACCTTATGCATATTTGAGAGAAGCAATGGTATCTAGATTGATGGAAGGAATCTGCACGCTAAACAGTGAAGAAGTAGAAGAGTATGGCCAATGGAGAGTGTCTGTTCCATTAGATCGAAGGGAAACGATAGTTCATGCCATTAGCTCGTGGCAATTCTCGGCGCATGATTTTGAGGATGATGAACTTTTGTATGCATCATCATTAATGTTTCAACATGCACTCTCTTTACCGGAATTGGAGAAGTGGCGGATATCCACAGGTAAGTGTTAAAATCCAATGGTTCGGGTAATAAACGGCCCCGGCCATGCTGACATCCGTTGCAGAAAACCTCACAGCCTTTCTCATCACAAGTCGAGAAGCGTACAATAGTTTCGTACCGTATCATAATTTTCGTCACGTCGTCGACGTTCTTCAAGCTATATTTCACTTTCTCGTACGATTGGGGAATCTCCCCGAATACCCTCCGAGGCCAGATGGGACAACAAGTCAAAGATCATCACCAATCGCCGAGCTTATCAGACCCTTTGATGCTCTTACATTGATGATTACCGCCATCGGTCATGATGTCGGTCATCCTGGTGTCAACAATGCATTTCTTGTTCATCTAAATGCACCACTAGCTCAACTTTATAACGATCGATCTGTTCTCGAATCATTCCATTGCGCTGCTTACTCTCAGATATTGCGTCGTCATTGGCTAGCAGCTTTCGAGGAGCGTGGCATGCGACAATTAATGATAAGCACAATCTTGGCAACAGATATGGGTTTACATTTCGATTACATGAAGAAGCTTGGCTATCTGCAAGAAAAGCTACATGAGAATGGTGGTGTCACTGATGGTTGGAATGGTAGAACGATTGAGGATCAACGAACACTTGCTTGCTCTTTACTTATTAAATGTGCAGATATAAGCAACGTGGTACGTTAGATGAAGGCTTTCAAAGAAAATCGGATGCTGACTCCAATACAGGCACGAAGATTTGATACCGCTACTCGATGGACCGAAATATTGACTGATGAATTTGCTCGTCAAGCTTCCATGGAACAGGATTTGGGTATACCGACGGCTTTATATGCGCCCCCTGTTCGAGAAATCATTGAACTTGGCAAATCTCAAATAGGTTTCATGAATATGTTTGCCATACCATTGTTTGGTGGCGTAACCGATGTCATGCCTAGTATGGCATTTTGCGTCGAAGAATTGGAGAGAAATAAAGCTGCTTGGGAAAACAGGATAGCTATAGAGCAGGAGAAAATGAGGCAAGACGGATTCTTGGGGCCCCCTGATAGCGTTCAGTCAGGCATGCGCTCTCCCCGTACAATGAGTATTGCACAACCTACTCAGGATGGATCTGGTAGCCCGGATGCTACTTCTAGACACGGTGATCCTTCCAACAACCGTATCCAACCAAGGCTTAACAGAAATCCGTTCATGATAAGACAAGGTTCCAACGATGAATCGCCCAAAGGTACTAAACAAGGCATAGAATTTCCTCTGTCGTCTGATCGGAGACCATCAAAGCCTAGTCAACTTCAACTGAGTTACGCAACTTCAAGTGCACCGGGACTTCTCAATCACCCGAACCAGGACGTAGAAATTCTGGCAAATGGCGATCGACGAGTTAATGGAGTACATGTTCAGCCGTCTCTCTCCACAGATGTTGTAGTGGTAGGCCCGCCTACACCTAAAGAACTCTCACTACCACATCACCAAAGAAGTAGCGAAACTACAACTGAGGGTAGTAATTCTGGTTCTGCCGGAGAATGGTCCGCAGGCGCAACGACAAATAACAAAAGCCCCCTTGCACCTAGTACCCAGGCGACCAGCTTTGCAAGCGAAGATTCGAACAATGATAGAGCTGTCACTCCTACTTACGCATCTCCGCTAGTCAATAGTACGAGTCATTCTTCGGTGAACTATGATAGATCAAGTCATTCTACAAATGATGGATCGACTGCACCGGAAGCGGGATCGGATCTTAAAGTGTTGGCGGAGACGGGGAGAAATTTGAAAAAGAAGCCCAGCCGGTTCAGGATGAATGGATTGCATTTCTGGAAAAGGAAAAATGGCAATCCACCAATGCCAGCTGGGACACCCGACAAGCGTGATTCTGACGGCACCGAAGGGTGATGCGAAAGAATAGAGGAGAGGTAATACGAGAATGAAACACAACTCGACGAATTCACTGACGATAATGTTTTGAGATGAAATTAAGATTTCGGTACGGCAATCGGGGATGTTTTGCTCAGGTTCCTGTTTGTATGATTATTATTTTTTTTGTACATTGTACACGATGCGGCCATTTGTTTTTGAGGTATCTCATTCGTTATACCTGAGAAGGTCAAACGAGAAATAATACCTCTGTGTTTATGGGATATTCAAAACAAAGACGGAATTGGCGTTATTATTCTTCTTCTTCTGGCATGGGGATGGAAGATGGATGGATCGATTGCTTTAGATCTAATGGTGTGGATGGCGTTTCTATTTTATGGATGGACTGGTGCTGGATGCATGTAAGCATGGGTGCTATTGGGGAAATTGGAAGTGGGCGGGAGAGGGGATGCTGGGGAACGTTTTATATCCAAGTTGGTTGGCAGGTCAAGGCAGAAGTTTAGAGCTTTAAAGCGGGAGAAGAATTTCAATGGAATGGAAAGGGAAGGGAAGGTAGGGATGGGATTGTGTGCTTGCTTGCAGCTGAAGTCTGTATGGTTTGGTGCTTGCTTACTTGGCTCGATTTGGCTTGGTATACTTTTTTTTTTTTTTTTCCCCTCTTCTTCTGGAGTGCACCTACCTAGCTAGCTCATGGATTAGGAAGGGAAGGGATCGATCGATCGATTAATTCAATAGGAATCAATCTTATAGCGAAAATTCGGGGTTGGTATACGCGATTGCATGGGCTGTCAGCGAGTATATTATTTATAGGAAATATGGAGAGATGGAATGGGTGGTGGGTGGAAAGAGAGATGGAAGATGAGAGGAGGAAGTGGAGGAGGGAAAGAAGAATGAAGAGAAGAAAGAAAAATAATTGATTAATTTTAAATCAAATACTTATCTTTTAATACCTAGGTATCTATCTACTTGACCTTTTGATTTAAAAGTGAGTGGGTGTATAGTTAATCAGTTGAGTAGAGGAATTAAATGTATAAATGAATTATATATATCAAATAAGTTTTTTTTTAGTAAATTTGTTTATTTTTATTGCCACTCAACTCATTTATTCTTATTACACTCATTCAATCTTATTCATTAATGCTAATAATAATACTAATAACACCAATGTATTTCATTTCGTCTCATTTCATCTCATCTCCTTTCATCTCATTTCATCCATCTTAATCCATCTCAATTCATTCCATTCCATCATTCAATCAATCATACATAAGCAAGCAAAAAAGCCAAACCCAACGCCAGCGAGAAATCATCTCTCCTCCCCTTCTTCCATCCCCCCACCCTCACCAACTCACCAACTCTCCTGAATAATATTGCAAATCAACCAAGAGAGAGAGGCGAGAAGAGAAAAAAAGAACCATAAAAACACAATCTCGACCCCCCTCCTTTCCCAAACCTAAACAACAAACCTTTTACTTCCCTCGACCAACCCATCCATCAACTTAACCACACTAGTCCACTGTGGACTAAATCTCTGCGCCTCATCCAACGCTGGAATAACACCCCTCTTGTTAGCATCACTCCATAAACAAACCACTCTCCCACTTCTGCCTTCATCTCCTGGTTTCATATCTTCTCCTACCGCCCACTCAACATCAACTACCCATTCTTTATTCCAGTCTCGATGCCAGAGTTTGATTTGATCACTTCCACTATCAGGAACATCATCCCATCTTTCTTCGCTTTTGGCTCCACCGTGGACTTTGAATTCAGAAAAGGGGTCGTCGAATCGAAGGATACAGGCACGGGTTTCTACACCTGAAATATGGAATGTGGCTTTATTTTCGTTGGGTACGCGTGAAACGTTAAAGCTGAGCCAGTCACTATAGCCTTTTTCGGGTGGAACACCTTCAACTACATTATCGACAACTTGAGGAGGTATGCCTTCATAAGAGCAAAAAGAGAGACCGGAGCGAATTCGTGGATTTGCCTCGCAATTTATACTTTGTCCTGCCGCACTTGGGATATTTGTAATAATATTGCGGATATATTGTTCGATTCCTACGAGTGTGACTCTATTAACGCCAGTGTCGAGATCGACAGTTTGTTGAAAATATGCTTTATATCGATTATTAGGCGAAAATGGGAAAGCAACAAGATTGTAGATGAGAGTTCCGATGAAAACCAAGAAGAAGAAAGTCGGCATATGATGCGTTAATCGGTGTATGAATGGTGTCACTGGTAGAAGAAGTAGGATGGAGAATATAGCGACAATAAGATATGGTAGAAAAAGTGGACTGCCATCCGTTCCAGTTTGGTGCAAAGCAGCTACGAGGAATAGACCAACTTGCCCAAGAATAACTAGTATGAATGGACCAACAAGGAGGTACTGAACTAGCCAAGTCCAAATAGGTAATTTAGCGGACCACTCCTGTTCACCTCCGTATGGATGCTTCTTGTGACCCTTTTTATCATCATGATCAGCTGGTCCATCGTATGATTCAGGGACAACTTGACGATAACGATTAGCAAAACTGGTGCTGACCGAAGCGCGATGACTCGGCTGGCCACCTCCAATTAGTGGAGTTGTTTCGTGAGGAAATGCTGTTGCGTTCACAGTTTCTTCTTGATCTTCTTCTGCTGCTTCATCATCGGCATTAGGTTCATCGGCCCCATTTGCTCCATCCGTACCCATCACGGCTTGATGATGGTGATCCTGATTATCACTATGGTCATTTTGAGAATCCTCGATATAAGTGGATTTTCGAGGTAAGGCAAATTGTTCACAGATAGCGATCAAGGTCGCAAGGAAGATTGCAGCTTCGTAAAACACAAACAAGTAACCGCCACTTATCTTGAAACGATCCTCGTATACTGTAGCAACGACAAGAAGAATCCAACCGAATACGAACATCCACATAAATGCATATCCTCTTTGAAGTGCGGAAGGCCTGACGAAATTGCAACCTGCCATGATGAACCAAAATACGGAAAAGAATAGAGTTGCCGACATACTCCATACTGCGTATGGAGAAGAGTAGATAATCATAGGATTGATCTTATTAATTAGCGATGCGCAAGCAAAGGTGATGGCACTAGTAATGAAAAGAGTGATAGGGAAGCGAAAAGCTCCACGCCATCCACCAAGAGAAATAGGCTCGTCTTCAGGATTTTTAGACTTGATAGATCCGGCGAAGAAGTAAAACTTTTCTTGTCGGTTAAGAAGATATGAGACGGCAAAGAGAATTAACGGGGAGGCAATGAGTAAAGTTAGTGACCAAGCGAAGAGAGTCCTCAATCTGAACACTGCAAAAACGGTGCCAAATATATCAAACCAAACGCCATCTGAACCTTTCCCATTGCTAACCTTTCCAATTTTATCGTCACTACGTGGTCCGACAAATGTATTGCTAGTATCCCGAGTGAGCGATCGAGTGGTGGCTACAGAAGCAGATAACATGTGCCACAGTGAGTCTATCGAGGTATGTTTAGCATCATCTTGATCGGTATGATATTGAGATCTAGGTTGCCAAAAAGCAACGTCTAGTCCACGATAGCCCTCCGCTCGAAACACGACATAATCGGTCTCACTTCTAACAAATCCTGATGAGAATCCGTCCGAACTGACAACGGTTCCAAAAGGATGTTTGGCATGAGCGTAAGCTCGGGTGACCTCGGTATCTGTACTTCGGAACAAAGTAGCTCTACCACCAGCTCCAGCGCCTTCCAAATTAAGGAAGGTGTGAACAAATTTCGCCATTGGATGAGACAAAAATGCCTTTGCACCGTATAAACCATCCTCTTCACCATTATTGAATAGTGCGACAAAGCCCTTTTGTGGTCGGTTCTCCGGTGTTGTGAAATAACGGATCAACTGAAGGGCGGTAACAACTCCTACCCCATCGTCTGTAGCTCCAAAACCCGTCGAGACACTATCGAAATGGGCATTGACCATTACACCGCCTCTGCCATGCATTTTCCCTTTTGAATTAACTGAACCAGTTTTCCACCATTCGCCTTCTTCATCGTCGTTTCCTCGGACATAGCATATGATATTATTTCCTTCGAAGTATGTGCTTATTCCAAGCCTTCGACCTTTGACACCAATGCTGGTGAGGGCATTGCTCGAATAATTTGAACGTAAATCGTTGAAAACTGTAACAGCAGGCGATACTTTACGTGTTCGCAGATCCTCATGGTATTCTACAGAATCATCATTAAAGTTGTTGGGGCCTGACATCGACTCTGGAACGTCCTTGTCGAAATCAGACTCGAGCTGAACGTCGGAAGTATCAGCAGTCTCATTCTCTGTGGTATACTGAATCTGATTATGATCGAGGATCTCGTCAATTCTTTTCAATAGCCAATTTCGCACATCGTCATTCTTGCGACTATTGAAAGGGTGGTAGCCATCGCTCAAGCTTTGAAGGTCAAGCCATGCTTCCGTAAGATTGAGCCCATTGTAAAGAGTAGGATCATCAGGAGCAGAAGGGACAGTCTCGTGAATAATGAGTAGAGGTATGAAAACGCCCAGGTAAATTACGACGGTTACCAATGTAACCGCCATGGGAACAAACGCCGATGGATTGTAGCATTTCATGGTGAGTGTTATCAAGAAGATTGATAGGTTTTAGGATCGTTATATATTAAGAATTAAACAGAACCATCTAAACAGCCATGTTAGGGTATCGCAATTGAGGATTTGAGATGTAGGTAAGGTATGTACAGATGTTCTGTGACTTGTCGCTCATGTAGAGAAAGGGAACGAGGGAGAGAGAGAAAGAGAAAGAGTGAAGACTGAAGACTGAAGACTGACAATGTGCGATGATGTGAATGACCGAATTGATTCGTTCCAAGCTTACGGAGTGTACCTGAGTACCTGGGTACCTACTTTCATGTGCCTGTGGTAGGTGCGGGGCGGAACGGACCAGAGATTTACCGGCATGTCATCCATTTTTACAGCCAGAAATGCCTGAACCACAACCATCAACCTACTCGACTGTTTATTCCTTGATCATCGCAACTTCCAGATATCATAATATACCACACAGCTTTAATACATATAGAATAAAGTTATTCTTATTTGTAATCTTTATATTACTCTGCTCTGTTACTACACATGTTCTTACTACAACAAGAAGAAATGGGTCTTTGTCATTCATTTGCGATAATCGTTGAGCATCATCATGATTTCGAGGAGCATGGATAGAATAAGCCATCTGTACTCAAGTCGATAGATTTAATTCTCTCCTATGCCTCAAGTAAGGTATATACAAAGATGGATCATGGTATGCATGGCTCTTGTTACATTTCTGCTTAAGTCTAGTCTGCTATTTCCTTGCCTCCTTCCCATTGTCTACCTGCGTTGCCAAACTCCTCGTTCCCTCATCTATAGCGTGGCACTATATCTATCTTCAGGACGGCTCCTCACGTGATGTGGAACAGCCATCTACGACTTGCATCAAAGTGGTTTTTCTATTTGATCAAGAAGCTATAATTCATTCTTCATACATGAGCGAGAAACTTTTCCGAAGTTCGATGTAGTCCCAGTCTTCCACCTTATCTTCACAACGACTTTGTTCCGATGAAATCCCACATTTCCATATGAACACCCGAGAGAAATTTACTCGACTTCTTCAAACAGACGCCAAACATGCCTCCCAAACCACTGCTTCCCATAATCCCGCCAATCCATCTTCACATCCCCTATCGTCCTCCCAGAATTCACAAAATGGAAATCTTGAACCTTTTCATACACCCCAGGCCCCAGTTCTTCACTCGGCCAATGTCCCCAATGCGTCTTCCCGTTCTTCCTCGTCTCAACCAAATACCACACTTTTCCATCCTCCTCCCTCGAATCCCACACTGCTTCCACAGGCCATTTATGTTCCTCATTTAGCGGTATTTCATCCTTCCAAAAAGTCCTCCCGATCCAATGCAATACCATATCAAAATAAATCAACAAAGGTAAATTTTTAACAAGCCATTGCCACCACGACACATTCTTCACTTTCCATTTCCTCTGCATTTTATCCAAATTATATATATCCCCTGAGATATTAAGAGGTCCAGGAAGCTTGTGCCATGTCATTGGTCTATACCACCCCTGCATAGGTCTCACTCTCTCTTTTGTCGAATCCGACATACTTCGATAGTAAAACTTATAATGCATTAATATCTCACTCATAAGCAACTCGGTACCTTCCCTCGTGTCCAGATCTTTCCCAAGTCGTTTTTGTTCGTCAGGAGGAAGAGAGGTTATATTTACAAGAGGACCGAGTTTTCTACCGTTTACTTCACCTAAGTAATGCCGGAATATAAGTTGAGTCCTATTAGGAGTCAGTATATAAGTATATCCACTATATCCACGCATTGCAAATACATCATCAACCTTCCATCATACTCTTAAATCTTCACGAGAAAACTTACCGACGAGAATAACTCTCCCAATACCCATTTACCTCCAATGGCGCCAAAATAGACATAAAAGGAGTCGCCGAAGTCAACAACTCTTTATGCCAATATTTAACATGTTTACCCATTCCAAAGAGAAATGTTTCGGGTGCCATTATTTCCGGCAGCTGTTCATAGTCTTCAACGATATTATCTCCATATCCTAGACCTTGCATGAAGAGTTCTTCGATTGTATTTAGGCCATCGGGAAAATAAAAGTATATAGCGCCATCATCGATGTTGCGTTTTTCTCCTGGAAAGGGTATTAGTTTAGTTCTTTTCCGTACAACTATCCAATCGATATCCCTAACGAACCACTTAAACTCGACTCCATCAAAACAAGCAAACAAAATCAAACTCAGCATCGGCCCCAAAACTCCCCCAAATCAAACCCCCCCTTTTTTTCTAAAAAGAAAAAAAAAACCAATAAGAAAAAGGGCAACCAACTCAAAAACTCCACCCAACACTGAAACAAAACTAACTGACACAACCCCTTCAACCCCTTCCCATCATACGATTCATCCAAACCCCACCTCTTCCTCTTCCCGCCCTTAAAATTCCTATTCCCCAACGCTCCAATCCCAATACAAATCGCCCGTTCAATATCCCATCCCTGAAATCCCTGCATAAATTCTTCCTGGCGAGTATATAACCCGGATGATCTCCAGTTTATGCTTAGTTGGCCCCATATTCGCATCATTTGGCGGACGCGTTGCATGTCTGAGCGAGGGGGGGGATAGAGGAGAGTGGGTGGTTGTTGTGGTTGTTGTTGTTGCATGGTGGTTTGAATGGATGGTGGATGGTGGGTTTGGTTTTGGATTTGAATGCTTGTGTTTATACTTGTATTCAGAGGCTCAAAACAAATCTAAGGCTACCAGATCGATATAATCTAAATTACCACCCCGCGAGATTCAAAGATCAAAGATCAAATCCACACAAGACCCCAAACCACCACCCCAAATCTAACAACCCATTCACCCCCCCCCCAAACAACAAAAAAACCCATAAAAATGATATAAAAAAAACCCAATGCATCTAGCTATAACAAAGACATCCATCTATACTCATTCTACACCAAGTACACTCACATCTAGCACTTCTTTATCTATCTAAATCATAATAAAGTAATAAGTCTTAATCTTATAAAGAATTGAAGAGGAGAAAGCCTAGAATTAGACGAAAACAGAAAATGAACAATTCACACAATAAGATCTCGTTGATGAGAAATGAGAAATGAGAAATAAAAAATAAAAAATAAAAAATACTCGGATTAGTGAACTAGAGATGTTAAAGATCTTGTTAGTACCTAGTACCAAGAATTATGTCTCTAAACAAACAAACAACTAATGGACTATGAATATCACAATGTGACATAAAATATTCACAAAATTTTGTTTTTTGTTTCTCTGAATTGTAATGCAGTTGATAGCTTCACTCGGAATAAGAACCAAAACTCGACATCAGTACACGTAAATCACCAATAGTTAAGCTGTAGGAATAATTTGAAAAAGGAGCAAAACAAGTTTATCATGTTGTTCTATACACTAACATATATCTTGTTTTGTGTGCATATATCCCATCTCATCTCTATTCACTTATTCACCTCCGACTAACGCTATTCACCCAATCTCCACGCTGCTCGCTCACCTCCCATCCATGCCTATTCACTTCATCCACCCCACACCACTCTGAAACCTAATCATTACACGAAAACAAAACCCGAAAAGACAACCGCAAAGGAGAGTGAAAAAGACGGTTCGAAAATGCATACAACGCTCCACGCCCGCCAGTAGCCTGCCAAACCACCAATTTCCAAGCCCATGGAATAAACACAAGAAAGAAAAATAAACTCCTCCCCTTTCCGTTCATTGAAATCCATCCGTCCAGTCCCGAGGTTAAGAAGCTGAAGCCTTTGCTTATGCTCCATGTACATTTCTAATCTCTTCGTCGATCATGATGGCTCGACGAACCGAAATCTGGTGGGTCTTGATGAGGTTTCTTGGCTTTTGGCGTCTTGACATTGAACCGGGCTAGAAGTGCTAAGTGATCACTGGGAAAATGGTAGTGTGGTAAACCGGGCACCGTTCTCATGTACTCTTCGTCTACAGGACCTAACAAGTCCGTGTTCTCGAGGGCATTGGTGGAGTACCAGATATGATCAATGTGGTCGGTAAAGCCGGGCGTATAATTGGTCCATGTTAATTCTTGTGGACCATCGGCTAGGTTTGTATAGGCGGATCGAAGAGAGAAAGGATGCTCAATTCCATCTCTCGTGAAATTTCCATATTGATAATTACCGAGATCTGGATGATCAGGGGCAACTCGTCCCGTGGCCAATAACTCGTACACACTGGAGTCTGCCGTAGAATTCAAATCACCACAAACTATTAGCGGTATTTGGGTCTTGTTTGTGTATTCCATGGATGGTGCAGGTTCTGGGGCAACTTCCACAGGGGCATCCGAATTTGAATCGTCCGTAATGGTATATGCTTTTTTGTCTTTACATGGCGGGAACCGTTGATATTTCTCGGCGAATTTGCTTATGCTTTCCATCAAGATTGCGATTTGAATTAATTTAACATCAGCATACGCTGGATCCCAGAATATGTGTGCATTGGCAACAATAACGCGTGATCCGGTTAGGCGGTTCTCGAAGAAACCCAGCACAGCAATATGATCCCTAGGCATGACACGATTGAAAATGTCATGTTGGTTTTTCATATCCGGTCTATTGATTGCGATATTGGCAAAATCGATAAGTTGCTTGTCAAGGAGAATGTATTTGTTGTTCTTATAAAATGTAGCGCAGCCATCGACAGCCTTGGCAGCCGACTCGGACATAGTCTTGGCTCTTGACTTCGGCCACCATACACCTTTGTAGTCTTTGTATGCAAGTTTCACACTGAAAAATTCTCGGAAATTTTCAGCATCCACCTCTTGAAGGCACACAAAATCAGAATCCCGCTCTTCGATCTCGCGTAAAATCTCGTGACGCCGATGCTCCCAGTCTAAAGCTTTGGACGGGACATAACCGTACTGGCCGGGACCCACGTAGTTATCACACAAGATGTTATAAGAGAACACAGTGAACCTCTCGACATCTGGGGCAACAGTTGTACCATTGAGTAGATCAATCATTTCTCTAGGAGCGGGAGGAGGGGGTACTTGGATGTGTTAGTAACGAGATACAGAGTTTAGATTTATAAACTTACTTGGTGCTTCTTCTTTGAGTGTATGGATCAGGGCCTTAGTTCCCTTCTCCATGATCTCACTCTTGATAGCGGGGTCCATTTGTTTATTGCCCTCAATGCCTAACATCTCTAATTGGTAGAGTGAACCAAATGAACAAGGCAGAGTAGTGAGTTGGTTATCAAACAGTAGTAAATTCTTCAAATAAACACACATGCCTAGCTCAGGGGGTAGAGTCTGCAAGGCATTGTTTGAGGCATCTAAATGGCGCAAGTGTCGCAATTGACCGATAGCTGCAGGCAAAGAGGTGAGAGCGTTGGACGCTACGTATAACTCTTGGAGAAAAGTATACTGGAATACTTCGACCGATAATGCTCGAAGCCCAAGCCCACTCATGTCCAAATTATGCCAATCCTGACGTTTAATAGAACTGTCCGTATTCGAAGGTCTGTTTCGACTGGCATTCTCCGACTCTTCTTCAGCTGATGTCGTTGTTGGCTTGTCAACAGTATTCTGAGTGGCTTTGGTTCTAGCAAAGTAATGCGGGCCATGTTGCTTTGCTTTCTTTACTTCTGTGTACAATTCCATTTGCTTCTGCCAATGCTCATTGATTGGCGTTGCCTGACCACCATGTGTACCTGTCGTATGCCCATTTTGTAGGTTTGAAGTGAAAGCGGACGTCGAATTTTGCATGCCGACGGTGGGGAAATTCGCATGATGGTTGACCCCGTTGGAATTGTGTGCATTGTGGTCTTGTTGAATATTGGCGTGGTGCTGAGTATGCTGAGACTGATGCGAGGGAAAGTGAGGATATTGTAGCATGCTTGCTATGGCACCCCGTCCTGCGCCATTGACGCGGCCATGTTGCCCTTGCTGATGGTTGAACATATTGTAAAGACCGTGAGCTGGAGATTGAGGATCAGGGGTTCGAGTGGGGGACGGGGTATTGGTGTTGAAGGCAGATCGAATGTTATTTGGGGGTGTCCCAGTACGGATCAAATGTCTCGGATGGTGTGTATTTTGAGGGTAATAATAGTTCCCAGCGCTCTGCTGTGCAAATCTGTAACCATCTGCCATTAAAACCACCGCAGATAGAAATCTAGCGGAGGCGTCGACTCAGCTTTGTGAGCGCAGGCCGTGTAGGGAGACGGAATAAACCGAGGATCGGTTGAACTGGTGGTTTCGAAGCTGGAGATCGGTTTCTTCTTCGTTGGCACATAGGTCTCTTGGAAATATGTTCTAGCATAAACCACGATCGCAAAGTCACCTGTGGTATGGTGCGCTATTGTGCGCGAAGCAATTGATGTTGAATTCAAGTAGATACAGTGGTTTTCAAAGTTTCGACACAGTGGATTCTGGAAGGCGCGTAATTGGAGTGTCTACTCGGCCTGCGGGCCTTCGTGAAAGATCTTGCAGATATTAAGAGTAATTCGTTCGAGTTTTAAGTGTTGGGCCTATTATCTTGTAAATGGTAAGTGGTTATATCAAGAAGTGAACACTGTTGAAAGAAAAAGAATTCGTCGTTCCTGTTGGGAAGAAAAAGAAAGTACTACCTTGTAAACAGGAGAGAAAGACTTCTCATATGTTATGACGCTGTCGATAAAAGAATCTCGTAGATGGAATTTGTTGTATTGATGTTATCGTCAACTTCCTGCTCAGATGTGGTTCACCCACCAAGCTCCAACTAGAACTCAGCGGAACATCAACATGGATGAGAGCTTAGCGCCAAAAATTCAAAATCACGTGAAAACATAAGCGAGTCACTTTACAAGAATGTCAATTGATTAGGACTTCAATCTATGGAATCATATGGCAATGCGGCTTTCTAGATTTCCTAAAATTTCTCACAATGACTGCCATTTCTTTGAGACGTCGAGGTGTTGTTCCAGGTTTCAACAATGAGTACTATGTATGACAAGACCAGTACTTCTACGCAGTATCAGCCGCATGAATACAGTTTGCTCTCGGGTTATTCGCCGTCTTCATTGTTTCATGTTTCATGTTTCCCATTATCCATTAACCCACACTGTGATTTTGCTTGGAAGTTACTTGAAACAGGTAAATAATCAAAGTTTGCATGGTTCGTCCGACTGGATTCTGATGAGGTAACATCCGGCCTCATCCAAGTTGGTGCAATGTGAAGTACATCCATCTTGTGCAACAGCATATGCAAGAAGCCTTTTGTCCTATGCTTGCTGCTCAAGTCCCAACATCTGCAAGGCTTCGATTTGGATTCGTCCAATATCGAGTTTCGATTGGCGCAATTAGATGCATCCTTTCAGCATTTCTCACAATAAATTGCGATTGGCAAAGTCTATAGGATTTACGCACAACTGGATCAAACAGTTGTTTTTAGACGGCTTGGGGAAGGTTCCTATGTCTATCTAGATGCACCCCGACGAATCCGAAAGGACAATGTCAGTTATTAATTTACTATTATTCTTTGGGTGAAACCTAGGGTACGACGACGCGGGAACATAACTGATTGAAAGCTAACCAAAGTTCCTAAACCGATTGTATCTCGGCGAAAGGCCGCGAGACTCCCCCAAAGTGCGGGTTTGTATCACCAATCGGATCACATTAAAGCTTTTCGGTGTTTATTATGGTTTCCCATAAGCAGGGGATATCTGCAAGTGAAGGCGGGGAAAGCATATTACTTAGCAGTGCTGAAGTTGGAGAGAAGCCTCGCTTCCCATGTACGGACCTCACATAGTCCTATGGCATGCTCAATTCATCAATTCTGTGAATGAATTGATCTTTTTGAAACCTCAGCATTTTGAAACATGTTCATGGCACGGAATAGAACCTAAATGAGTTCCAAAAAAGCTGTAGGATCATCCCCAACGATTTAACTACCGTATACCATTCGATTTTCAAAGTGACCTGATGAACGCATGATTTGTCTAGACCTAGCTTCTATATATATTATAAAGCTAGAGTTCCCCATCCTTTCCCCAGATTCTCCAAGTAGGCAAATATCATTTTGCCATTATTACTCACAACCGTTTGTATTAACATATCATTATCACCATATTACGAAATACCAATTAGATCATCGAGGTCCCCTATCCTGCAGTATACGACGCGGGAAGATAATGATCGACAACCCTGATGCCTAATGCCACCATCTCTTCGCTCACCCCGATATACTTCTTGGATCTGCTTGTCTTTGTCTTTAGATCAATGCAGAGGAAACATCTATCTACAATTACATGTGCTATAGACTCATCATCTAATATACGAACTTTTGAGTTTCCAGCTAAAGAAATTAACCTCACTGCCGCGCATGGTCAAAGGATCACCTGCAATGCGGAGGATTATAACTCTTACCTTATCTGCTTGTACTTCGCCCAGCACAGCATTCACGAATCGCGAATATCTTAAAGCGCCACATAACGGTACATAATCACTACTTTCCCAACTTTAATTTAGAGTTCTATTCGCTGCCAAGGAGACGAATTGTCCCAGTACTCACGAATACACACAAATATCAGTGGCGTTCAATTAGGCAAAACACCCTACGGCAAATCTCCAGACACTATACTCGAGGACAAGTAGCCATAGCCATGATTTACTAGTTATATAAGCATAAGAAGGAAGGAAGGCCCATCATCATCCCATCATGGCTGAAGCGGCTTTTTTCTATAGCACAACGCTCCAGAAACCTAACCGTTCAAAAGCACCATCAACACATACAAACTTATCCATACTTTCGCAAGCCCTACCCATCCGACCATTTTGCAGGAGCAAAATCCCTCGATCAAGAGCACCATCAAAATCAAGCTCAGAAGGAAACGACTTACAAGAAATAGAACCCGAGCCTCCAGTTGCACTACATAATCTCCAACAAATCCTCTCATTCCCAAGCAGTCTCGTGGGAAGTCCGATTTTCAAAAGCGATAAGAGTACCGCTAACGGTTCTTTTTCCTTTTCCGAGGCATTGATAAACACCACTAGCTCGACACCGGATGTGGGTATGCTTTCAACCCCTTTAGTCAATCACAAACACTCCGTAAATCAAAGCAATAAAGCCCGGGCCGCAGCAGAAGCAGAAGCGAAAGCGAAGCGCAAATCATCATCGACCTCGGGCCATTCAACTCACTACTTCAAAAATGCAAGCGGAGTGGAACGGTATGCCTCCACCAATTCCGCCGCCCACCAGCAGCAAAGAGGAGATTCAGATTCCGCAGACAGAGCAGGTAGTATTTCTAGCACAACAGGTTCGAGTCAAATCTCGAAAATAAATTCGCGAGATCGAGATCAAGGTCGTGACCCGTCAGGGTCATCAACAGAAGCTTCCATGGCGCAACCATTCACCAAACGGCATGGTCGCCGATATCTGCGAGATCCCTCGTTGGCATATCCCCTACCATGCGATCTTCCCGAAATCCATCGCCAGACTTTACGAACGATGTTATTATGTCAGGTCTTCAATGGCCCGACATGTTCATCAGCTTTCAACAGCAGACCCCCGAAACGAGTACTCGAGGTTGCTTGCGGCACAGGCTTTTGGAGTGTGATGTGCCACAAACATTTTGCGCATAAAGGTCACTCCTCGATACAATTTACGGGTATAGATATTGCACCGCTGGCTCCTCGCATGGATGCCGATGATGATATGAATTGGCGTTTCGTTCAGCACGATTTGCGAAAGACGCCCCTCCCCTTTCGCGACGAAGAATTCTCACTTATCATGGTTAAGGACATGAGCATGATATTATCTACAAAGGATAATGAACGCTCACAGGCTTTGATGGACGAATATTTACGGATATTAAAACCTGGAGGAGTCCTGGAGGTTTGGGATGGCGATCATACTATTCGAATGCTTTTATCACACGCACCACCTGCCACGCAAGACGAAGACAATTCTAATCAAGCTCACAAACAAATATACACTAATGCCATGGGCGCATACACTATTACACCACAAACACCTTTAGCAACGCCACAAAATCAATATCTTATCGACTACAATACATGGATATCCAAAGCCCTCGAAACTCGAGGTTTACCCCCTATGCCTTGTACAAGTATCCGAGCTATGCTGCTTCAAGAAGCCGAAGTCCTTGAACAAATCGAAAGTCGAAGACTAGCAATCCCGCTTGGTGAAGTACGTTGGGAGCGTGAAGGAGTCGGCGGACCCGCCACCTCCACTAATGGACTTGACGGATCGAGAGGCAAAGCCAAGGAAGCTGATCGAAAGCATCTTACACCAGGACAAGCTGCTCTTCGCAGAACCGCATTGATGAGCATCATACAACTGGTCCAGAGTCTGGAACCACTATTGAAGGAAGCGAGTGGAAAAAATATGGACGAATGGGATCGTTGGCACGGAAACTTGATGACGGATTTATTGAAGAATAATGGAACATCTTGGGGAGAATGCCTTGAAGTCGGTGCTTGGTGGGCGAAGAAAAAAGACCCGAAGTCTGATTCGAGTAATTGAAGTAGTCGCCCAATTGTCTTCGAGTTTACCCAATTTTCTCTAGCGATTCTCCTCCTTCATGTTTATATTATCACCTTAATTATTCCGTCCTATATTCGCCTCCACCAATATCACATTCACCACTTCCCGTACATATTCACCGCCTCTCATATACGCCTCCTCTTATATACGCCTCGCACTCGAAAGAAGTCCTACAGCACCTCGAAGCCAGGAATCGAGTCTTCTTTTGGGATTCACCATCGCTATAATATCCCGTCCATAAGGACTTCATATATCTATCTGCCTCCGAATTGGCGCATAGTATTCATCGTTTGGATATAAATGCCAGGAGGCTTCATCATCATTCTTCATCCTTCTTTGTATCTTTGTCGCAGCGCTCGATACCTTTTAAGATAGTACCTGGATATACCCAATACATATTTAATCAGCCCATGTCTCTATTTCTGTGTGATACTTATACGCGCATTCTGTGAATCGTCCCCTCTCTAATGCACCTGGTGGATTTCAGGAGATATAAAGGTGACATACAATGCTTCAATCTCTACTCCGCAATAAATAATTAGCACATCTTCAACTAGACCCAATATATTCCCCTCCTTCTCTTCACAAATACAACAAAGTGATAGCATAGCACAACACATACCCTTCCTAACAAACTCCGCGCGCTCAATCCCTTTCCGTATATCGCTCTCATTTTCCATAGACGCATTCGCCATAAATGCCTTGTGTAATCGTGTCCGAAAATATGTATATCCGAGCGGATATTCTCGTCCTAGATTGAGGAGTTCTGTTTTATATGTTAATATTAGGGGAGAGAGTTGGTAAAAAGTAGATTGGATATTGTAGAGGGAAGGGGAGGATAATGTGTTGGTGGTTGGTGGTTGTTAAGGAAGTGGGATTGTTGAGGAGGGATAGGGATGTTGGTATTGATATGGATGTATAAGAGGGAGGGGGCTTGATGTGACGAGGGGGTTGAGAGATGAGGGCTTGAGGGAGGGGAAAGGAAGGAGGAAAGGGAATACCTTTATAGATTGAAATTACTTCTTTTCTGAGTGCTGGGGTGGGCATTGTTTTAATGTTTTTGAGGGGTTTGATTCTTAGTTCTTGAATCTGGGTTGTTAATTCTTATTTATTTTGTGTTATGTTACATTAAGAAACTCGGGATAGATGGATAGAATATTGAGGTGAAAATATAGAGACTATAAGTGAGCAAAGGGTAATTAACTGGAAATGGAATGAAAATGATAGTTTGCAATTGTAATTGAGAGTAGTGGATATCTTGAAAAACGCTCGCTCGATGACGATTTAGAAGCTCTGATGCCGAGGGTTAAATTGGAGCTAGCGGCCGCGATGGAGTGTGGGGAAATATTTACTGGTGAGTTTTCCCGGAGCTAGCTCATATGGAGTATATGGGTAATGGATTATTTGCTGGTTGTTTGAAACGACTTTGCTTGTTTAAGAAATGAGTTGCGTGCGATTCACCCTTGTGCATGGAGCATGTGTTTTTGTTGACTTGAGGGCTGGGGAGTTCTATCAAGCTCCGCGTATCTATTTAAATCTACATTCGCATGACTTCTAGTACTCGCTTGTCACGCTACGGAATAGCTTTGCTAGACTCGGTATTTATCATGACTAGAGTTGATCCTCGGCCTCGAGACTAATCGTGCCGAAGAATGCGTCACCATATCATCTACTGGTGTACCTAGTATTTACTTGCTTCATCTTCCTCTCAAATCCTGTTAGCGGTACCCATATCCTCTACCGCATCCTCCCTATCCCAGGTCTCAATCTCCAATCTCCTGACTTTCTCTTCTATATTCTCAATTTTCTTTCGTGCATTTGCCATTGCTATATTTTGCTCTTCCCAAGTCTTCGCAAAAGCATCCAAAAGCCATGGTTGCAGCCCCTCCTTCTTTCCATTTTTATAATCATATGTCACAATATCTTCCACACATCTAGCAGCCGATCTTTGATGTAATTCCGACATGATTAGTACGTCTAATTTGAAAGAAAACTCGGCTTCACTTTTGGGTTGATGGCTAAGTTTATGATACACGGAAATGTGATCCGGCCATGTCATAGGCTGCGCTTGTCAGTAAATGTACGACAAAATACATGTGAGTATATGAGAGGATGGAATTCGAGGAAACTTACGAAGAGGTACGTCGTATGTATGCTTCGTAGTATCATTCCATAACCCTCTGGCGTACACAATTGTCTCCATTTATCTTTATTTTGGGGATCGATATGAATGGCATAATTTTGAGTCCAATTTACTCTTGCACTCTCGGCATATCGTATGTACATGACATTATTAACGTGTTTCTGTAGTAAACTCAAGATTAGCTTTACGATTACTTCAACATATGTCAGGAAAACATAGCCCGTCCATCCTTCCACATAGAAGGGAAAATACCATACAATCCATTTCCCCCCAAACAACCTTATGCCTTGTCAAACCCGCTCTGTTTTTATCCACCAGGTATCCAAGTCTCCCAGCTACTAATTCCCTCCAATCTCGCCCCAAAATCTCTAATATATTTCCCGCATCTCGTGCTTGTTCTCGGCTCATCCCAAACATAATACATTTCCCAATCCTAGCTTTAATCGTGCTCAGCCATCGAGAATTCGAGTTGCTATCTGGTTGACGTTCTACTGTGCTTTCGAAACGTTTTAACACAGGGCTACGCACACTTGTGAATGGCCGCGTAGGTAAATGATGTAGTCTAGGAGGCATATTGCTTTAAAAGAAAGGAACAATTGTTGGAAAAGTGCGTTTGATCCGAGGTCTCGGGCTAATCAGTTTATTGTCAAGCTGTCACAGCTCCCCGCATTTTCGGAATTGCGGCCGCGCGGGAGTGGATTTAGCGTGTTACGGACACCCCACTTCGAGTCACAAGTGTGGGCAGTGAGACGAAATAACTTTGGATGCAAAGACAACTATCGGATATGCAAGAATGGACTTTTAACATATCAAGTCAAAATCTTTCGGATGAAGTTTCGCATCAAACGTTAGAAACCAGCGTCTAAAAGTCTTTGTCCTTATAGACCTTAGGGACCTCTCGATAAGAAGATGGAAGCCGACGAGCGTACTCCATTGATCGCGACGGTCACTGTTGGCCCACCGCGCCAAAGATATGAGCATGACACGATTCGTCGATTCTTCACTATAGCCGCAATTTGTTGCTTGATAATCGCAGCCTTCATTTTTGCTTTTGTTCTTCCTCTACTTGAATAGTTTCGAAGGGCTTGAGTCTTCAATATCAATTAAAAATACTAACATCTAAACTGAGAGAGTGGTGCTCTTTCCCATACCAATACGCTGCTCCCTTGAACTTCGAGCAGTTCATCGAGGTATTCATATCAGCCCCATTATGGATACATCAAAGTTAGCCAATAAATTCATCTTCAGATCTCCCCACTTCCTCCCGCATGTGCTACCTCCACCAATCTTGACAACAACTCTAATAATAAACATCAGCACCAAATCATGAGTTCCCTAACCCACAAAATCTATAAAATCCAATGGCATCTCGAATTCAAGATCCTCTCATGCCTCAGACTACACGCTACCACACCAACCTCTTCATGAAATCTCTTCAGATGGCTCTGGTACAATTACGAAGTCAATGGAGATATTGTCTCGATCAACGGAATGTCCTATTTCCAATTTCCTTCACCACCACCTAAATCCGTCGAGTCATTTTATCGAAGAACTCTTGATATGGATTGAGTGACAGAAGTCCTGAAAAGTATTCGGCGCCTCCAAGACAGAGATGGTTTAATCCGAGCAGTATGAAGATGGAAGCTTGTAAGGTGGATGGAACGCCGTATGGAGGGGGAGAAGAGGTACCGGGGTTTTGGAAGTGTGCTGAGTGGACGAATAGGAAGGCTATACCTGCTTTGTGGGGAAATGGGCTGATCAAAATGGTTAATGGAGGAGAGGTTATTGGGAATGATACGGTATAGAATGGTCCTGTTGTATGTAAAGGAGATGAATATCATTGCAAACATCACCTGCTGGGAATAGATGAACTCAGCGGGTAGAAAACTCTTCGAGATGACTGAAGCGGAATAATTGAAGTCATTGTATTTTTGGGCGGGATGGGGTTTGTGAGGAATATGAAATATTACATTAAAAGCTCTCAATAAAACCGCTGATGGGCCTTTCAACTTCCCATAAATAAATAAACCATCAAGATCAAAAACAAACATTGTTCCTCGTGTCCCCTCAACTTCCTCTCAACTACCTACCCAGTGCCCGCAATAGTTACCAAAATATTTATTACTCTATATCAAGTAATAATCCTCCTTTCATTACCCGACTAGATCTTCAGGCTTAGATTTATGATTTCTAGTCGCTACTTCTTATTATATCTAAGAATTATGTAGATATGATGTTCTAGAAACATTGGTAGGTAATTAAGTAGCGTTAAGGGTTGTTGTGTTACAGGTATGAGAATAGATGGTAATGAGATATTTAATTCTGGTATGATTTTAATTCCTCTTCTTTATGGGGATTGCTTTGATGCTTTTTTATTTTTGGATATATGTGTATTTACATACATATATGTATACATGTATGCCCATACATGTATAGGCACTCGAACGGTGTTTTCATAGATAGATGGGTGAATTTGAAAATATAGGGATTTATAAAATATTAATTGTACTAGAGACCTGATAAAACGACAATGAAGCTGTCAAGTCCTTATTTTTCTAGAAGAAATAAGCTATAATTATATACAGCCAAAACAAAGGAACGCTGTATAATCGTCTGATATATAGAAAGAATTATATAAGATTAGTTTTCGGTTAACGTGTTTCATCACCCCGTGCACCATATCACCTCGTGCACCACTTTCACCTCAATTCACATCAATCACTTCAATACGCGATTTATCAATAAATAATTATGGTATCGACATTAAATGAACGCGATATCGTTATGGCGATGGAGGCAATGGCTAAAGATAAAAATTTAAGCCTCCGGAAAGCTGCCAAGATTTACAATATTACTCATACGACACTCATACGTAGAATGAAAGGGATCACTCCTGCCTCCGAATATCGTCAAAAACAGCATAAAATTACTAAAATTGAAGAGGAGGTTATTATTCAGCATATAATCGATATGGATGAGCGAGGATTTAGTCCTAAATTCATAAGTGTTGAAAGTATGGCGAATCACATTCTTGAATCGAGGAGTGGAAAGCGTATTGGTAAACAATAGGCATATCGATTCGTGAATCGATACAATATTCTAAAAACGCGTTTTAATCGTGCCTACGACTTCCAAAGGGCTCTCTGCGAGGATCCTAAACTTATTAATAAGTGGTTTCAACTATTCAAAAATATAAAGGCAAAATATGGAATACAAAAGTGCGATATATGGAATTTTGATGAAACAGGCTTTATGATGAGAGTGATATCCTCTAGTATGGTTATTACTAGTGTAGATAGATGTGGCAAAAGTAAAGGAATACAGCCAGGCAATAGAGAATGGTCGACAGCGATTGTATGTGGTAATGCGACGGGGGAGAACATACCTCCATATCTCCTTGTTCAAGGACAAATGCACCTAGCCAATTGGTACAGCGAGACGGATATGCCTCCCGAATGGGTGGTTAAAACTACTATAAATGGATGAACGAATAATGAGACAGGTTTAGAATGACTAAAGCATTTTGATAAGTATACGAAACTCCGAACGAAGGGTACATATCGAATGCTAGTCTTAGATGGATATGAAAGCCATGAATCAGGCCCTTTTCAGAACTATTGTATAGAACATAAGATTAAAGCCGTCGGATTACCACCTCATTCGAGTCGTCTCACCCAACCTCTTGATGTTAGTTGTTTTAGTGTGCTAAAACGTATATATAGCAAGCAAATTGAGGGGTATATACGGATGCATATCAATCATATCTCCAAAATCGAATTCTTTATAGCATTCAATGCTGCATACGAACAAGCAATTACAATGGAGAATATGAAAGCAGGCTTTAGAGGAGCAGGATTAGTCCCTTTTAATCCCGATGCTGTACTCTCTAGAATGGATATTCGAATCCGTACACCTACTCCTCCTTCGCTTCCTCCGAGTCATATGCCCGATTGGGTCTCACAAACACCTCACAATGCCACCGAAGCTCTTTCACAAGCATTTTTAGTACGATCTATTATTGCTCGGCATCATTCTAGCTCTCCTACACCTATATTTAAGGCTACAGATCCTTTAATTAAGGGTGTAGAATACCTAGCTAGTATTGTCACGATTTTAGCTTTTGAGAATCACGATCTTCGATTGGCAAATACGGGATTAAGTAAACGTCAACGTGCTAAAAAGACTCAATTACATTTAGGAGGAGCTCTCACTATTCAAGAGGCTAATGATATTATATCACAAAAAGAGGTGGATGTTCAGATTAAACGCGATAGACAACAAAATGGGCGGAATTCTAATAGAGAGGCATCGACTAATCGATGCTGTAGTAAATGTGGAATAACAGGTCATAATGCAAGAACATGTTCTAATGATAATATAGATCCTAAATTATTAGATAGTGCTTAGTTTAAATCAATTGATCAAGTAATTGTTGAATTATATATGATTATAAATAGGAATTGAGGTGAAAGTGGTGCACGAGGTGATATGGTGCACGGGGTGATGAAACACGTTATGAGATCTGGTGGATTATCTTTCGCAGTGCGTATTTGTCGAGACACTTTGTGCTTATGTACCTACCTAGGTACTGATATATATATCTTACCCTTGACTTTAAGCATTCTTCACTAGCGTTAAATAGGTAAAAATAACTAGATTGTGATTAAAAGTGTGAAAATGCAACTAACCTATTCAGCTGTATCAAGAGAAGAAGAAAGAATAGGTTCCCCAGTCGCGAGTAATTTTGCTATACCTAGGTAGTATAGAGGATTTTTTTGTGGGGAAACTATATAAATAATTACTTTTAAAATACTATGAGCTACCTGCCTAGGTATCTACAGATGAATATCTAAATTATGTTGCGGAAAAAATACACACACTGCTTTCCCCTTCACCAGCCTAAGTTTCTACGCAATCTAAACGCCATATCCCGCAAAATTATCATCGTCAAATATCGCATTCGCGTCGATTTGGTGCACTAGGCTGCCCAGTTTGCTGTTAGTATTTGATAGAGTAGGTGGGATGTTTGATCAGTGATCGTTTCAACGTTGTCACTATATCGGAGGGTACATCTGCAATGAAATCTTATATCGGAGAACTTTTTCCAGCTGGTTATCCTTGCTTTTTGCTGTTTTGGTAGGGCTTCGTCTTAGGTTAGGGTTTGGATTTGGATTTGGATTTGAGTGATGGTGGGTGAGATATGCGATGTGTGATTATTGGTTTGGGCGTTACGGATGTTTTTCATAGTCTGTGATTCATTTCTATCTGAGGGGGAATATCTCAAGGGGTTATTCTGGCCTGGTTTTAGATGTCCTTATTCTTTTTGGTAGAGTGTATACTAAGACTCGGAGAGATGAAGGTTGTCGTCCGGTGATGATGGTGGATCAATTCATATGAGGTGAGGTTAAAGGGGAGTTAACTGGCCTGTAGCGAATTCGTTCTTGGATACATTTTCTCTGCTAGTCTTTTACAGCCGGAGTCTAGGGACGGCAGTGGCACAGCAGTAGACTGACACCCTTCATAAGCTTAAGAGATATTTCCATTTAATAATTAATGCTTCTCCGACTACCTACATCTATTCAATAACAGCCAAACTACCATTTCTTTACCATTTGCATGGAGCTGGTGAGGGATATCTAATATGGATGCCATGATTAATGATTATTCCAATGGTAGTCTGAAGCTCCCAAACTGGGAGTCTGAATGAAATTTTCGATCAAGAGCACTTTCCCTATGTGATTATCTTGTGCTGTTTTGAGATGCAACCTGCTTGTATCAGAGCACAAGCAATGCATATATGCTCCAGTTGCGCCAGTTGCGCCAGTATGATTGTGGTACATGGTTTTTAAGGCATACATTTCGACACTTGTCTGATTCTATAGGACTTAGAGTCCAAGGAATGACATGCAGACCTGTCGTAATTAAGAAATCGAGAACGGAGCAATCCCTGGAGCTTTCCTATTTCTCAAATCATCTCCATTTGAACCTCGTGATGGCGATTATGTAGGTAATGAGGCAGTGAAACACATCTACAGTCCATTACATCTCAAAAGTTTATATGGACCTAAAAGTCACTTTCTAGCATTTGTGGTATTCTTCCACCCTGACATCGAATTCCATCAGTGTGCGGGACTTTCACTTGATATTTCGCGCACAAGCAGACAGTACTTGGGGCTATCCAATTGCATAGTAGAACATGTGTGCATATGCCAACTCCTGGCCACTTCAATTGAAAACTCGCAGTCGGTGAGGATTAATGATGTGGTTGTTGTAAAATCTTACATCGTAAAAGTCACATGGAATTTCCGATGCAGGACTTGCGCTTGGAGCGTCTTTTGATTACCGTAGCCCCAATATATGCATACCCTTCTCACCATGGCTGGCTCACTGCCAAAAGAATTCATTTCCATCCGACAATTCCACTTTTTGAGGAGCCCTTTTCCTAATACGGATCTTGAATTGCGTGCGAATCAGCCATCAAGGTAAATAGGTCAGATAAGACCTGTTATTGCTGTAAGCAACTGTAACAAGATAAACAAACCCGGATCATAAGTACTGAATACACGATACAAAGACTACGTACATCCTTAGTCAAAAAGGTAAGACTTACAAGATACTCAACATGGAGTTTAGCTATGGGGTATCCTCCTTGCTGCGTCTTGTCCTCATAGCATGTGTTACCTTCGTGATTTGGCAGGTTTTCTCCAAGTCATCACGACACCCATATCCACCAAGTCCTCCAGGAGAACCAATTCTGGGACACATACGATTAGTGCCCACGGACGACCCTCATCTTTACTATCAAAAATTGTCACAAGAATACAGTATGTACGAATGGACCTTTCAAAATCCCTTCGATATGCTCAGATGCGCCCTTAGATTCAGATATATTATTCTTCAAACAGTTCCTTACTCCAGTTTTGGTCTTGAATACTGTTAAAGCTGCAGATGAGCTTCTATCCAGGAGTGGAGCTAACTATTGCGATCGACCTCGGTTTGTTTTATTTGAGGCGTAAGTTAGATAGATGTTGCGTCCTGGCCTTGCATAGCTGATGTAAACAGTATGGGATGGGGTCGCACATTGACATTTCTTCCGTGGGGACCGCATTTCAAAGCACATAGAACTCACTTACAAACAGCGTTTACGAAGAATAGTGTGGTTAAATACCGTAGTATACAAGAGCAAGAAGCACGGCAGGCTCTCTACACAATTACTCAACGACCTAAAGACTGGGAAGTTGCTTTGAGCAGGTAAGTACCTCGGTGAGACTCTTCTTACCCTTTTAGACAACCATGCTTACCTTGGTGTAGGTTTGCCACTGCTATCGTGTTGAGAGTAGCATTTGGTATTACTTTAGAAAACGATGACGATGAATACATCAAGATTGCAGCGGATGCGATGACTGCCACAGGAAATGGGGGGTCTCCAGGAGCAACTGTTATCGATTATTTTCCCTTCCTAAGCAATGTTCCCTACTGGCTTGTCCCCTCACAAGCCATAAAGCATGCAAAAAAATGGGGTCCCGCGATCCAGCGTCTTCACGACGCGCCATATGCTGCCGCACTGAAGGATTTTGTACGTCATTATGCGCCCCCTCACATCGTCGTTTAGTCCTGATCTATCACAGAAAGACGGCGTAGCTCAAAAGTCTTCATACATATATCCTCTGCTTGAAAAGTTTTTAGAAAATGATTCGCGGGGTCTACCAAACGATTTCTCCTTGAGAGATATCAATGGCTCGGCTGCCGCAATATTTATTGCAGGGTCAGACACTACCTTCGCAACAACGATGGTGGGTATACTGAATTTATTACTCCACCCTATCATATTTCACAAAGCACGAAATATGCTTGATGAGACTATTGGGACAGATCGGCTTCCTACATTAAAAGATAGAGACAACCCAAAACTCTTATATCTAGAGTATATCATTCAAGAAATCATTAGATGGAGGCCTCTATCTCCTCTTGGTGTTCCCCACAAATCACTTAAAGATGATGTCTACAACGAGATGTTTATTCCTCGAGGTACAAATGTCTATTTCAATACATGGGCGATGGGTCGCGACGAAGCGATTTACAAAGATCCTGATCTATTTAATCCAGATCGATACATTCCAGTCGAAGAAGGTGGCTCTGGTGAGCCATATCTCAAAGGACCTTTCGGTTTCGGTCGCCGAATATGCGTCGGCCGCCATTTAGCATTGGCAAGTGTCTGGATTGTTTTGGCTACTTTAATCTCTACAGTCAATATGTCGAAGGCTACTGATTCAGAAGGAAAAGAAATTGAACCAGTTGTTCGATTCACAACGGGTTTATCAAGGTTTGAATGACATTTTAAGTGGCCTATGTACTTTAGAGGCTGACCATGGATTTTTACAGTCACCCTCTTCACTTTGATTGCGAATTCAAATCTCGTTCACCGATGGCGGAATCTTTACTAGAGTCGTCATTATCAAAGGCGAATGCAAATACGGCTTGAATGGGCTACCAATCGCTTTCATGCTGAGTGGATGAGATGGGTTTTTCTTCACTATACTTGATCGAGAGTGGCTTATTACTTCTAACCTCTTAATTTACCTCCATCTCATGCTCAACATATCTTGCAATGCTTCCTTCATGCTCTGGCCACCTCTTCTGTTTTGTTCTGATGCCATACTTTCTTTGGATATATCAAATAGCTCAGTGAAGTCGGTAAGCCGGATGCGCCTGATACAGCTTCCGGGACACACTCATTAAACTGAGGGTATTCGTCGTGAATATTTCCTGCTTCGACTTCAACCATAAAGGGTTCGGGAATATACAAAACTCAGCTATATTGTTCTGCAGGGCTTTCAGATGAATGGTATGCCAATCGTGAACGTGCCTTTCGATAGTCGGTTTACAACTCCTCGTTTAATTTCAGCGGAGGTACATACATGATCCAAGAAACATAAAGCCCGCAGCTAACTTATGGAGTATTCGTTTGAATGACTGTCCCATTTACCTAATTCATTACAGTTAGGTACAAAGTCCTGTCAAGTATATCTTCGGTGAAAATGGTGCCACGAGGATCACTAAGTCAAATTCGACTTTTCCGTCTTTATAAACTTTCATACCACTTTTTCAGGTTTCATTTTCTAAATAAGAGTATGTATCATTGACGGACTGTGCGGCTTCATTGTGTGAAATGAAATTCCAGTACTCGCTTCGTAGCAGGCGTCTTCCCTAGCGACCCGTCCATCCACCTGGACTCCTGCATCCCGCCCTGTGATATCCAGAAGCGAAAACGAACTTATTATAATTGATTTCGCTCTGTTGGGCTTTCTTACTGTTGCGAAGGCATTAGTGTTAATGGACAACTACTACTTCATCACTTTCTTAAAGCAATCGGAGTGTGTAAGGGGTGTAGAGTCACAGATGATATGTCATGGGTATTTTGACCGGAAAACTGCCCATCACCCTCGATGAGTAGTAAGCACCGCGGATGTGCAAATATTTTTCCGATATAGATGGGACTGGAATCCTCGGTATCATTGGTCTAGCTCCGGGTGTGGCTTACATGACAGAATTGCTGTTGGTTTATTATCTTTCCTGATACCTGAAGGATGAAATGGTTCATGGAAAACTGTTATCCTATGCAGGATAAACAGTTGTTTGGTTTAGTTCAGGTAATAGTCAGTCGGAAAAGCATATCTTTCCGGCTGCCCATCAAAAGGATCTTCTTTGTGCAATAGTCTCACAGCTCAAATCGCTACTAGGCTTTCATTAATATCTATCACAATGCTCTAATGATGGGAAAGCACAGATATCAAATCATGATATGAAATGATGCCATCCGGTCACAGGTAAGTGAACAAGATGTGAAACCTACACTCAAGTTCTTGTGATATTGAGCGTAGGAATACCACGTGATCATTCATGTGAAAGGCCTCACTTCCGAGGTGAGGTCCATACCTTCCTATTTTGGATTCCGGCTAATATTCAGAGGATAGTTCGGTATTATGACAAAATCACACCTGGAAAGGTCCTATCCTCTTACTTCTTTCGTACCACTCTCGTTTTTCTCTCGGCGCGCCAAGTAATGTCGCTTAGTGTCGTTTCTCTTAATTGAAGCTTTCAAGGACGAATAACATTGTCTCCACGATCAATCACCGGTGACACGACATTAATCTCATCTTCTATCAGATTGTGTCCAACTGCCATACTCTGGGCCTCAATTCTGGGGTTTACACCTTGCCTCTGCTATGCTTATCTCAATATGTTTTCTGCCAAGCCAGATTTCGCCAAGATGATTAGGAAAAGATGGTGTGCGGGAAAAAATATTGTAGAACCATAGCAAGGGGCCGGTACAGTTGATCTTTTTGTGGCAGGAGATAAGCCTTTCAACTAGACTGTCGAATATATCGGCATTGAAGACTTCACCAACAATAATTCAAAGTCATCGCCAAGATAATTTCATCATCACGAGATTCTTTCGAGAATTGAAATCCGGCAAGCTTCAATAGCTGATTTTTCTCAAAAAGGGAGGTTGATATTGATAATAGTGAGATGAAGCCATCTCCAAAGTTATTGTACAATCATATGCTCACTTCGATTGGCGCTTGTGCGTCTCTTGATATCTGAAAGTGTCATCAAGTTTCTGATTGCTGCTACGAGCGCTTGGCTACACGCTTGGCAATCCTACATAAACCCCAGGCTCTGTGCCAATCGCAACTCGCATTTATAAATATCGATAAGGAAAACCTCACAACTTCCCAATTCGATATATAAATCCCAGGAGAGCATGACATACACAACTATGATAGGCGTTTAGCCTGAGATTCATATAGATTTTATGTCGTTTGTGTCGGCTCGTGGTAGGTTGTAGTTGACGGAATTCCCGATGGTGTTATACTAGTGCCGGCTTGCTTCATTGTTCAAGCACCCCATACATATATGGGTTGCTGAATAGCATCTCGACAAACTCTACACCCCCTGACAAGTGCGGGTGGCTAAGTCGGGCCTTAGGGAGTTATTTCTTGTCAAATGCTTGACAGCTTCCACAAATGTGATAGAACAACGCCTGATATTGAGGATAAAACTCATTTGTAGAAGGTGGCCATGAGCTATGGAGTTTATGTTGAAGATATTCACCTGCAATTATGTCTTGGCCTCTAGTTTACTGTAATCTTATCTTCCCCTGAGCTCGGAAGGTTCGCCGATGATAACCATTATATTTCACAGTAGAAGAGCCTCAACGATTGTTATTTAAATACTGCCTTTGTTTCCTTCAAACAGTCTCTCTCCAGGGAAACATCTTCTTCATTAACTTCACTTCAAGAAATTGTTTGACCACAAATTCACCATGGCCTCCTATCTCACAATTCTTACCGCTTTGGCGGCTGTCTTTGCTCCTGTCTTCGCCGCACCAGCAGCAATACCTCACCCAAAGATCAAGACTCCAACCGCTGCCAAAGAAATTGTCGCTGATAGCTATATCGTTGTTTACAACACTGATATCACGACAGAGGTAACCGCTAGCCATGTTGACTTTGTCAACTCCATTGTTGCAAAGCGTGACAATGCTGTATCAGTTGGCGCAACTTACAAAATCAAAGACTTCGCTGGATACCATATTTCAGCGGATGAGGCCACCATTGTTGAGATCGCCAACAAGCCAGAAGTATGTATAATCGATCAGCACTATTTGATCATATCTGACAACTGATCTAGGTTGCATACATTGAGAAAGACCAAAAGGTCTACGCCTCAACATTGACAACCCAGTCTGGAGCAACTTGGGGTCTTGGTCGCATTTCTCACCGTGCAAAATCCACCACAAGCTATATCTATGACAGTACGGCCGGAAGTGGTACAACGGTCTATGTTGTTGATACTGGTGTCTACGCTGCACACTCTCAATTTGGTGGTCGTGCCAGTATGGGAGCTAACTTCGTTTCTGGGTCCGCTGTATGTATATATCAACTCAAATCTAGAGCTTAACATGCTAACAAGATGACAGAACACTGATGAGAACGGCCACGGAACTCATTGCTCAGGTACCATTGCTGGTAGTACCTACGGTGTTGCCAAGGCAGCAAAGATTGTCGGTGTCAAGGTTCTAGATGCCTCCGGATCTGGAACAACTGCTGGTGTTATCTCTGGTATTCAATGGGTTGCTACTAACCACGTTTCCAAATCTGTTCTTAGCATGTCTCTTGGTGGTGGCTTTTCAACCAGTTTGAACAGTGCAGTTACAAGCACAGTTGCCTCCGGTGTAACCGTAGTTGTAGCTGCCGGAAACGATAACGTAAGGCCAATCCTTCATACATATTTACTTTCCACACAGGAAAATAAAAGTATACTAACAATTCATCTAGGCAAACGCGGCTAACACTTCACCTGCTTCTACTCCCAATGCCATCACAGTCGGTGCCATCGACACAAATGATGCCCGTGCCTCCTTCTCCAACTACGGTTCCGTCCTCGATGTCTTTGCTCCAGGTGTCAACGTCCTCAGCTCATGGATCGGCTCTACCAGCGCTACCAACACCATCAGTGGAACTTCCATGGCTACACCCCACGTTGCAGGTCTCGCTGCTTACTTGATTGCCCTTGAGGGTTTGAGCACACCTGCTGCTGTAGAGGCTAGAATTAAGGCTTTGGCAACTAGTGGTTCCATCACTAATGCCGGAAGTGGAAGCCCAAATCTCATCGCCTATAATGGTGATGGTGCATAAATGCATATATTAGAGAGGTGGGAGGGAAAGGGGGTTATCAGGGGTTGATGTTATTGGTTCGGGTAACATTGACTTGGCAATTTTGTCTCTTTCTCTTTGGGTGAAGGAAAATCCTTTTTGTAGAATCGATGTAGACTTTTGTTCTTGAAATGGAGGAATGGCTTGTGAGGGAGGATATGTATCCCAGTTAGGAAGCTTAAGTTGATTCAATTAAAACTTTGTTGCTGGTATTGTTTTTTGTATGCCATGTGATATCATGTAGACCTTCTCTGTCCACCTCCAATTTATACTAAAAAGAAATGGAATAAACTTGAGAATTGTCAATATACATGTAAATTTCCCAAGCGCAAATCCCAAGTTAAATAATCCACAACCAAGTTAGATCGATAAAAACCATAAGTAATTATTCATCTATATCTATATCCAACATATGAAATGATAACTATATACTACATACTACATAGAAATGAATTAGACTACTCCCTCACAAGGAGCCTCGAATTCGAATCTTTATCTATTATTGATTCGTAGAAAGTGATACAAAATCGATGTGTATATCTCGTCTGCTTACGGTCTATTATTGAAATCATGCGGGCAATCAATCCCTGTAGTATTTTATGTGATATGTTTGAATATTCAAATTCTTTATGGAAAAAGATACAGAATTACAGAAGTAGAGAGCTACGATTGGGAAGTTGGTGATGGGATTGATAGGATATTAGTATCAGTGTTTTTTGGGGGTTGGGGGGGCAGGGGTTTCTTTTACTTTTTTTTTGAAATTAATAGGGAAAAATAAAATGAAGAGAAAGATATAAATAAATATAATAAAATACATTTATACAAGATTATAAACTTTAAAACGGAAGAGGATATTGATAAAGCCCCGGATTGTAAAAGATAGGATAATATTGTATGTACAATAGGGTAAAATTGCATTTGAGAATATAGTTCTTGTCGTTTTGTTTCTTTAACAGTGAGATTTTATTTGAGGGATTAAATAGGGTGATTTTTGTTTATATGAGTTTATATATTAGGGGAAGGGGGTTGGGGGGTTGTTCGTGGTGTGGTTTTTATATATAAGATTCTTTAATAAGTTTGAATCACTTAATAATATTAGCCGAATTAATAATTAACTACAACAAACATACTCTAATCTAATCTCATCACATCTAATTGTAACGATACTGTACTGAAGGCAGCGACTGCCTAAGGTTTCGTTTGGTTGGTAGTTATGGGTTAAGGCTTTATCACTGGTATTGTCACACTCAAGAATACTGGGTAAAGTATCTTGTATTAGAAAATACTAAGCTAAGGAGAAAAGAAGAAGGAAAACAAGAGTAGAGATTGATTGTGTTTATCGTCATAGGCCGTAGGCCGCGCGTGCCTTGGCACGTGACAACCTTAGCCATCTATTCCAGTTTTGGACAAATGACGCTCAGAGGAGAAGCCTCTGAATGGTTTACTAACTAGCTAGGGGGAGTATTTATATACAATTTAAAGGGGGCTAGGGCAGGGTTTACATGATTGCCTTCGCAGGGGGGGTTCGGGCCGGTAGGCCTTTTGGGGTTGTAATTGTGGTCATCCTCGTCCACTAGATCACTACCTCTTGATCTCTCTCCCTGTCTCCTCGTACTTGTTTTGGTTGTTCGTATGCATACTGAACAAGAGTAGAGATTGATTGATTGATTGATTGTGTTTATCGTCATAGGCCGTAGGCCCACGCGCCTTGGCGCGTGATAACCTTAGCCATCTATTCCAGTTTTGGACAAATGACGCTCAGAGGAGAAGCCTCTGAATGGTTTACTAACTAGCTAGGGGGAGTATTTATATACAATTTAAAGGGGGCTAGGGCAGGGTTTACATGATTGCCTTCGCAGGGGGGGTTCGGGCCGGTAGGCCTTTTGGGGTTGTAATTGTGGTCATCCTCGTCCACTAGATCACTGGCTCTTGATCTCTCTCCCTTCCCCTCATACTATTAAAACATTGTACTCGAAAACCCTTCATCCCTGATCCCCTTCCCGATACCATCAATCCAATTACTCCTTATATACCAGAACGTACTGTAATCGCCCACCGTCAGGATTGCCTCGTCCTCATTCTGATCATCCTGCCAATAGAAAGCTTATGAAGGAGCACCAATCCTCATATAGCGTAACTATAGCATGCACAGGTAGTGGCTTGTACGGGTGTCCCGATTCCGTAAGTAGCATACCTCCGCTGAATGAGAGCAGAGTAAGTTTCGTCATCAGCTCAGGTCCTTCAACAGTACTCCTCCGGTGTTCCCGTATGGAAGGTATATAAATTGTTGTCGTTTCAGTCGTGTCGATCATGGGAGGTATACAGTATATAACATATACGCGTCAAAGATGTCGAGTTGTACTATATGTTCCAGAGGAGTCTCACTTTTAAGAAGTGAGATGATTTCGTGGCGTATTGTCGTAGATGATGGTGTTGTCCTCTGTTTCGTAATAAAGGTAGTGTTGTAGAGAGCGCATTTCGATAATGCAACTGTCAAAAAACCGCAAACGGGTAAAAACGTCGTGATCGGGCGCCTCTTCCTCTTCCAATTACCACGACTCCATCAAATAACTCAAACTTAGCTCTGCAGACTCTCATAAGAGAGCTGGAGGTTCGTAGGATGCACCGCGTACAGGTGTTGAGTCTTCGCATCCCGAACAAGAGTAGAGAGTTTTCCTGTGATTAAATACAAACGGGGCATGCCACGTGACCCGGAGGTGTGAGGCGTCACAGGTATTCACTTGGAAGTGAATTCGTTGCTAGATCAAGTAGAATTTAGGTAGAATAATTGATAACTAAGTTGAGCACGAAGCTCCTATACTATAAAAATAATGAATGTTTATATACTGGTCCTTTCCAGGAGCCTGGAGGAGCCTACGCTCCTGGGGGCTCTATCACGTGATCCCTACTTGTCCCACGTGATGGTGAATCGTGACAATTATCTTACAAGATTCAAATTAAATTAATTTCATTTATAAGTAATTATAAAACATATTAAAATTTTATTATAAATTATAAATATAAAGCTTTTCTTCAAAGAATTCTTTGACACATCAAATAAAAAAAACAATACAATGTTACGATGGTAACAGCTGACTGTTACGAGGGTTGCCGTCTGTGACCAAAAGGGTGTTTATAGACCAGCAATTGTATTTAACTTAGAATCTACAGGTGAAGAGCACCTGTAGATGGGGATAGCTACTCTATATATACACAAATGAATGGCCTAGCCGCAATGGCTAGGCAAAAAGAAGTCATATTTATTCCTCCAATGATCTTACTTTACCGATAACCATTGATACCTAGTACTTGTCCGGATCTGATCCTCAGGTCACCTAAATCGTATACTAATCTCGAGTAATCGTATCATGTGTGGACATGGTTAATGTACCTGAGGTTTCTTATATAATAAGGGTGGGAGGAAAGCAGGGATTTCCGTCACACCGTCTAGATCATGTGGAAGTGCTCTAGGCTCTCGAGGTGGTTTATAACTAGGCGTCAAGCAGGGACTTAAGTAATGACAATGATGCAATTCAAATGAATGGTTCCTGCGTAGCACGTGCACAGGGCACTAGTCCTATTAGGACTAGATTGAGAAGCTCTCTGTAGGAGAGCTTCGCACTTCCGTAGAACTTAGATGAAGTGTGATTAATACACTAGACCAATATTACCTCAGTTCTGCCCTATCAGCTTCCCACTATTCCCTGTGTAAGGTCATTCCTTTTAACAAATTCTAAGAAATTTTATAATTTATTTTTAATTATTTTTGTTCAAAAATTACAAATATTTGAAATTATAAAATTTCAAAATTTTGATTATATAATATTCTTTCTATATAAAATAAACAAAAATTTTATAAATTTTATAAATTTTTTTTTTTTCAATTTTATATAATTCTTTAATAAAAATTAGTAAAAATAAATAAATTGATTTTTTATAAATTTTAATTGATTATTTTTGAGTTTTTTTGAATAAATTTTTTTTTATATATAGAATTAACAAGGATTTAAAAAAAAAAATTCAAGATTTTAGATGAAAAGTATTATATTATACAATAAGTAGAGTTCAGACTCTTAGGTTTGAAGAGGGTTGTCTTATTATTGGTACTACGAATCATGATTATACAGTAGTCCCACAATCACCGTACTTGCCATATTAGGCCTAACAACGGGTTTATTTCTCTTGTAATTTAGGAAATCTGGGAGTATGTGTATATAGAGTATAGAGATTCGAGGTTTTAAAATTATATATTTTTACTGTGAGGATACCATATCATATCCATATCATATCATAAAAAGCTCCGTGTAATTATTTGGAAATCTACATCTCGCTCTGGAAATAATTCAGCTCTGAAAGTATTATAATTGTCCTCGTAGATATAAGGAGTGTTCGGTTATCTCATCATCGAAGCTATAATTCCTAACCACATAGATCTACCATCGTAGTCTTACTTGTCACTTTGTCATATTGAGTCAAACAGGTTAACAGTGTAGAAGAAACTCTTTAATTCAGAGAATATAGTGGTAGATAGTGTGTTTGTAGTCATGAAGTTTAGCCAAGAGATCTTGAATACTGACTTGTGCGTGGTTGGGGTGATCTGTGTTGGGGGTTCTGAAGTGGGCTAGAGAGGAAGGGCGGTTGAGGGGGAGATATCGAGGAGTGTGGTTTGAGGGCCAAGTTATGGATGGGTGGTGGTTGTACTTTGAGTTTGGGCGCTGGGGTTAGGTGTGTTATAGAGTGTTTTAGGGAGGGGATAGATGGTTTATGAGTCGGAGTAATTTCTTGGAATTGCGGGATTTTGAATGGGGATGGGGATTATTTGGATAGGTGGTGGTGATGGGAGAGAATGGGGAGGGAATAGTAAGGGAATGGAGATAGAATGGGAAGTAAATGGGAAGGGAGGAAATTTACACCCAAAACATCATCGCTCCTTTCAGAGGAAGTTTTCTCTGACAAATTGAAGAAATAATATGAATAAGAAACCGATTGCACTTGGTAGTTGAACAATTTCAGAAATCTTAAAATATCTCAAAACAAGATATCGTGTACATCTGCTGGGGAAAGTTCATAGATAGCGCTAGGGATCGATCCAGATCGCAGATCATGGTGTACACAGTGTCATGTTGGTTCACCAAGAATAATCAGCACCTCTCCACCCTATAACCAAAAACCTGGTGATGATAGGAAAACTGACTCGTGCTAAGAAGATGTTGATATCTGGTTTGGAGTAATGGTACGCCGTATTGTTCGTATTGATCGTTGTTAGACTTATTATGGCAAGTAAATAGTGTGTTTATACAGTCATTAATCTTTGCTCTATTAATAAGACAATCCTTTTCATACCTCCAGTATAGAAACATTCATCGTACTGGGAAGTAGTTGATTGATGACTAGTTGATCAATGAAGTTTTGATTGCAAAACACAAGTTCTGCGTAACTATTACTTCATGCAAACAACACAATCGACTTTTCTCTTGTACCATTGTGACATATCCTGATTGCTGTCAAGAGATGCCAAGATTGCAGTTTAGCGACCGTTGATTTTAGGGGGGAGCTTACCCCAATTGTGGAGTAAAAACAGTCAAAGCAACCAATAAGAGCCACTCATGTACAAAAACAAAATGCTTGGTCAACATCAAGGAGAACTCTAAACTCCTGACATAGGGAAAGCCGTGAGCTGACAGTGTCGAATTAGTAGTACGGTCGATCAATACGGTAGAATACATGACGAAGAGATGAAGTATAGTTTCCAGTTTCCCGCTGTTTCTTGAATTTTTGTTTTTATTTACTCTTCTCCAATATACACTGCATATCTACTCATCATTTTTAAAACTGGATGTAATACACCATAAAAAACCCCAACGTCTGCACAATCTCCGCCATTTATACACACATCTTGATCCAGCTCAGAATATCAAATTTACTCGTTTTCCCGTCGTTAGAGCTCTGCTTGTAAGAACTGCAAGCCGAGCCGTAAAGTTTTGAGATATATCGACGTCTTTTTGGATATTCGATCTATCTGTCTGGATATTTAATCGAGGTGGAACATTGGCCATTTTCGAAGTATTACTTGCTGTTTTTCAATCCTATCATATCTAACTGGAAATATCGAATCGACTCGAAAATTGCACTTCTACGAAGTTTGGAGGTGTTTTTAAATATCTAATCAGCGTGACACATTAGCTGAATTGGGGATTCTACGGACTTATTCTATTGAGATATCATATCGCACATATTCAGGGTTCTACATGTCCCCAAATATCGAACTGGCAAAATGGTCGGATTTCGAAAATCATCATCAAGCGGAAGCGCCAAAGCTCTCGACACCCCGAAGATGAAGGATGATACCTTGTCTTCTCAACCACCTTTTTTGTTCAATGCGGTAGACACTGATTATCCCATTTCCAGGGAAAGAAATGAAATGGCGCAACAGGAGGGACATGATTTGTTCCCTCGGTTTTCGCAAAGCGAGGCCGATAGATGGAGAGTTCAAGACGTTACCGTTCGGAATTATCTTTCAAAAACTCCTGTTGATGAATTTAGGGAGTTTAATGAACATCACATCGACACTAATGGCGAGGTCTATGATCACAGAAAGTATGCCGAGGGAAAATTCATCGAAAAAGAAAATGAAAATGGGGAGAAGCAAAATAAAAAAGAAAGGGCCCGTCTGACAGTTCTTAACAATTCTCAAAGCTTGGTCGACAACATGAAAGCCAGTGATAGCTACGGGGCCTACCAATGCAAAGATTCTATGATAAGCCAGAGAGCGTTGAAATGGTTCAAGGAGAGATATCATATCAATGAAAAGGAGAAGGATAAAGTTAAGGGGGAAAAAAGTGAAGTCTTTCCAAACTTTTTTCACGGTTCCGAGGATCCTTACAAGGATCTTGATGAATACAATATCGAAACGGACGAGGAGAATGATAAAAACGATAAATCTTGGTACAAGCTGTCAGGCCCTAGCCTCCTAAGAAGGGGGAGAACTAAAGAGGCCGATGAGCCTCAGGTGTTTCCTTTCTTTGATCTAACTGCTTCGGGAAATGTTCCCACCGAGAAAGTAAGCGACGTTAGAGGAAACCCAAACTCCCCCCTTGCGACTGATATGAAGGGAGGTAGGGCAAATGGGTTCAGGGAGGAAAGGAGAGGGTTTAGATATATGGGAGGATTCATCCCTGGAGGTAAAGGTCTTAATATTGGTATGCGGAACGGAAAATGTGTGGCCGGCAAGGATTTACGGATGTGGAAAAGCACCCCCCGCAAGCCAGTAGCCAACACTGGTTCCGATCGACCTTTTCAAACTGAAGTTTCGTATTCGTTGGAGAGGGATGGAGAGATCATAGAATCTGAACGAGTGACTGATAATATCTCTGTCATACACAAGATGTTCAAGGCGCCTCCTGAAGAACCCAAATCCAGGATGTTGGAACCTATACGTCGAAAGACTGGTACATTACCGTCCATGTCTAAAAGAATTTGGAGTCAAAGTATGAATAACGCTGAGCTCAAGAAAGCCGGAAAAGCCAAGGGATCCGAAAGAGTCATGGGACTCGCAAAACTCATGGGACTCGACAAAGCTAAGATCCTCGAAAAAGCCAAAGAAATCGAGAGAGTCGAGAAACCGCCAATGGAACTGACGGACAATGAGTTGACTTCATGGCACAGACAAGAAACATTGCAATTTTTGGTCGGAGATAGCCTGGGAGAGGATGTTGAGGCGATTCTGCGAAACAGTCCCAAAGGGGGAACGAAAGACCTCGAGAACCAAGTCTATCGAATGACAAGCGATGTTCCCCATCTGCGCACCTGCTTTATTGCTAAAGCGAATTCGGTCAGGTCTGTTAGACCAATCATAGAAAATGACTCGGAAAAAGCAAGACGTGTCAATATGGCCCAGGAAAGGGCAACTGAGCTTCAAAGAACAGGGCATTGCCCTTCTCCAATCCAAGAAGAGGACGAACAAGGCTCCTTTCAGCCTTGTCGACATCCGGAGCAGTTTTTCGAACCTAGTTCTTCCAACAACCCCACTGACCAAACTAGCCACTCATACAACCATCCTAGTCCAATGTCAGAAGCTGCACTCGAAGATTCTTCTCCTTTCGAAGTTCCAGGGCCCTTTTCCAAACCGAGGCCCTCCCCTCTTAGAAATAAATCTATTGACGAAATGATCAACTCAGAAGAACGTGGTCTTCCAGTGCTAGAACACACTACCAAAGAATCCCCTCCAACACGTCGTCATCTAAAACGTTTTGGCACACCCATTTCCCCCACTGGAAAAGGGACGGACTCACAAAGCAACCTTGTTCCCAAAGAACAGGCCAACCCCGAGACCTCCACGTCAACGCAAACCAAAAAACTCCATCGATTGGTCAAAAGCGATTCCCTGCGCCAAAAGTTTATGAAAGGTTTTGAGAAATGAGGATGCTTGGATTGGTCAAAAAGTGGACAGACTCAGGGGAGTGAAGTTTTCCGACACGGTGAAAATTTATCAAAGGAAGAGGGGCGAAGTTGCGGCGATAAGTGAAGAGAGGTTGCTAGATAGGGAGGAACGGGCGAGAGAGAGAGCGAGAGAGAGGGAGGAAGAAGAAGAAGACGAGGAAGAAGAGGAGGAAGAAGAAGAAGAGGATTGGACAAAGGGTGGAGTATACACCGAGTCACCCCGGGTACCACCCTATTATAACCCTATAAAATATGGTAAATACTGTTGGTATAATAAGGCATAACAACGGTACTTAAAACAGGTGGATAAAATTGTATTGTAATTGATATTGTGTTATTACTAGAATGGAAGGTAAAGGTTATGTAAGAGTTCTGGACTCTACTCAGCGTACAGTATAACGCTTTTCACCTAAAACCTTAATTTAAACTTAGATAAGTATAATTAAATAAGTATCTAATATATATATATATATATATCTAAAAGTAAATATATTCTTTTAAATTTTATAAAATAATCATCTTACTCTACCTTTATAAGGTAAAGTAAATATTCTATAGAGGGTCAAATATCACGAGTAGGGTATGGGTGCCCAAGCCTGAAAAAGAAGAAGAAGCAGTAAATGATGAAGACAGTGAGGACACAAAAGATTCCGATGAAGTATCATAAGTAGGCTTGCTCTCGTAAATCTGATTTCATTAATCTATGGTTCCAGATATTGAAAGAGGTATATATAGACTAAAATTACTACCACTATCAGAATAGACAAGATATGAGCTCCTTCATATATAGATACATTAATTAGGTACTCGAGTATAGTCCACGAAAAGCGAGAAGCATTTATATCAACTACCTAGATACTTTTTGTATATCGTGAACTTAATTTAGCGAACCAAGGACACAAAATCTCCACTCTACTTAGAGTGCATGAAAAAATCGATGAGATTTTAATAGCTGGTATACTCATGGAGTACAATACTAGAGGACCGTTATCCAATCGAGCTTGAAATTTCTGTTACCACTCACTGCTAAGTCAAAATAAATAAATTATTACCAAGCCTAGTTTCGCCAGCAAGCTGATTCGTAGTCCTATATTTCTGTTCGGAGAAATTGTATTGATGTCATTTCAATAGACCAAGTCATTCTATAATAAAGCCATCCATACCGCCGTGCCTAAAAGAAGGAGATCCGTTCCATCATTCATCCAACGCTAACAATACGCCCATGTCCTCGCTCAAATTCCCAACCAACCTTCCGCATCATCCATTCACCTCCTCCCTCGTTCCACTTCCCTTACGACATATCTCCCGCACTACCTTTTCTTTCCCACTGTTCCTCATGCTGAACTGCATTGCTCTTCCCTTTCATCATCATCGAAGCTAGTATCGAACCTATTACCAACGCATCGAATGGAATAACACACACACTCATTATTCCCGCAGCTCTACTTTCTGAACATAATGTCCCCCAGTGTGGAGCTGCTGATGTACTAATGTTTGACCATTGGCAACTCCACGATTGAACGGACCAGCTCGTTGAGGAAGTTAGCGTATTAAAGGGTATTGCCGCACCGACAACTGCAGCGATGAGGGCGATGGCTAGCGGAATGAGAGTGGGGAGAGATAAAGGGTTCCGCTTCAACTGTTAAATAGACGATTAGCTTTTGAACCAGAACACGGAAGACTTCGGTAAGAACATACAGCAGGAACAAATTGCCCCACAAGTGCCACACAATTCATGATGAAAACAATAACTCCACAAACAACCCCGGTAATCGTAGGTTTTATATCAAGCATCCTAGGCCAGACCGGCAGCTGGAAGTCGGCCCCGAGATGAGTGGAATGGAAGACATGGAGTGCATCCGCTGAAGTAGCCATGATAGCGAGACCGAGAACTGCGCCGATGGCTAAGAAGGCTGTGTTGGCATGCTGAGCAATAGTTGAACGAGGGGGCGAGCGGGAGGATTCTGGTGCGAATTCTTGAAAAGAGGAGGTGATGACAGTGAGCGATTGTTTTGGTTCTGGGGATGGGGATAAAGTTGGGCCTGCCATTTTTGCGGATTTGAAGGATTGTAGAGTGGAGAAAAAGGATGCGTTAATGTGAGATAGAGACAAGGAGTAAATATAAGACGAGATGAGAAATACTAGGTAAGAATACCCCACGATAAGCACAAAAAGCTGACAATGAGAACAAGAACAAACTCAAAAATGACGATCTTACAAAATGAGAGTTGGGGACTTCTAAAAGTACATATACTCTCCAAACTTTTCCATCAAATATTGATATCACCTACCATTCAATAGTTGAATATATCCCCAACCAACAGAAACGACGAGGAAGACGCTCGAGAATACAAACGCAGTAATTCAGATAAGATAGGGCGTGCCGCTTGTACATCTCCTGTATACACATCTTCCAATAAAACGGGGAGATCACCGGATCCATTTCCCAATCATATATCAAAATCTAGACTTCCTGTGAGATTCGGGAATGATTGGTACAGAATACTTCTCGGTACATGATCTCCAAGGTTATTTTGGGGTGCGCACAGGCACGGGCGCTTGCATGCAGGGGTGGGCGGCTGTGGAACTCTGGATAGACCAATGTGAGAGTTGAAGGTAAGTATTTGGGGATTAATGGGTGATGAATTGGGGAGTTGAATGCAAGCATCTATTGCTTCTTGTTTTGTGTGGGTGAGATTGGGTTTCGGTTCAAAAGATGTTGATGTTGTGGAAGATCAGTCGAGGAAGAATTTTGCTATATGACCGTTGTTGAAGTCGCGTTTCTGTACTTCGCAGGGCTTTGTGCATCGCAAATGGTGAGGTGGCCAGGGAGCCTTAGTGGAAAAGCCATTGCTGTCCGGATGTTTAACGAGTAGATTGGTACAGAGCACCGACTGTCAACTGACATGAGATATCAAGCATCATATTCAACCAACCATGGCGATTTTCTCCATATCACGTGTAGTAGGTACTGTACTGACCTCGCTCTAACTTCATATACCATCACCAGGTATTCTTAAAACACGTATACTAACTGGCCGCATATGAAGTTCCCACGCAGTGGACACCTACGTTGCCAAGGGAGAAATGTACAGAGTCACGCGATATGACTTTCTCGGGTCGAAGACATGAGAGCTTCATAGACAATGAGCCCTATGAGGATAAATATATCGAGGCTTGACTGATTCTTAGCAAAATGCAAGATAATTATACTAATGTTCTCGATATTCAGTGCTTCGGATTTCGTCTTGCTCTAGGTTTGCAACTCTCTCCGTTCTGGATAGCATGAGAGGTGCATCTGTGATACATATTCCCTGACGGATACAATCAATGCCTATCGTTCGTTGTAAATAAGCTTATGTCCTTGGTTTTAGAATAATGAGGATAATATAGAAAATCAGAAAGGGAAAAATGACGAAAGTTGTGACTTGTCAAGATTAATAGAAGATCATAATTGTCTATTTTTGCATTCATGAAGATGAAACATTCCAAGTCATTTTCTCCAAACAACCAATCATAATTTCAGCATTTACTTGCAACGCTGCAAACCTTATATTAATTGATGCCTGATACGAATCTGCGGGTCCGAGAAGTCCGAGTACGAAAACAGACGGTGCAAAGATGGGTCCGCAGTCCGCTCGATCTAATCAAAAGCTGTGCATTGAAGCTCCGCTTGGCTTCCTCCAAATTGCCATGCAAATATCTCGTTCGCCATTGGCTGTGTCGGTGCGAGTACGAAGTTGTACGAATGCCGAGTGGCAGGGCAGTCCGAATGCGAGATGCGAGGTCACATACGGATAGCTGCCGTTGGCGACATCACCACATTGATGTCTTTTGACCCATAATAAGGCGGTGATCAACTATAGGGGTGCGAAGAAGCATTGTTTTATCTGCATGCTAGATTTTTTCCTTGGATGGTACGGTATTATGATGGATTCCTCCGATATGACGCGCAGTGGACATACGGAGAATTTGAATGCGGATACTAGAAGATAGTTAGAGGAGCTGTTGGTCATAAATACCTAGACCTGCTGCTAGAAATTAAAACATCCACAGCTCATTCTCTTTCGGTATTTCAATTCCATATATTCCATATCTCAATCACTGTAATAAATCAATATGAAGCTTAACTTCCTTTCCACTACTCTAGCCCTTGGCTTGGTCTCGGCCAGAGCTCACTATCAACAACAAATCATTGCCAACGATACCGAGGGTGAATGGATAGCACCTTCAGCAACCGACTGTATGTTGAGAATCTTCACCACTTTGCATTTTCAACAAGGTACTAACGGATTACAGACCGCGGCCCATGTCCCATGCTAAACACATTAGCAAACCATGGATTTCTTCCCCGCGATGGTAGAAATCTCACAGAACACAATGTGGTCAAGGGACTAAACCATGGACTCAACTTCAACAAATCCCTCGGATCCATCATGTTCCAGCACGCTGTCCCCGCTAGTCCCGCCTACCCCAATACTACTTTTTTCACCCTGTAAGAACTTCTCTCATACGTTTCTTAGTTATAGTATTCCATTCGCACCAATTACTAATCCCACCCAAGCGATGATCTCAACCGCCACAACGTTTTAGAGCACGATGCAAGCATAAGTCGCTCAGACGCCTACTTCGGCAACAATCACATCTTCAACCAAACCATCTTCGACACAACTAAAATGTACTGGCCCTCAGAAACACTCACAGCACAACATCTAATCGACGGCAAAATTTTCCGCCAAATCGTCTCCCGCACCACAAATCCAAACTATACCTTCACATCCACAACTCAAGCCTTTAGTCTCGGAGAAATGGCTGCGCCGATCGTTGCTTTTGGTGATAAAAATGCTTTAACTGCCAATAGGACATTAGTAGAGAGTTGGATCGGTATGTCCATAATATTCTGAATGCTTAATTTTCATGATGTGAGCTAATGGGATCTTGTAGAAAATGAACGATTGCCAACGGAGCTTGGGTGGAGGAAACCAGAGGAGGAGGTTTCCCTGGGTGATATATTGTATGTGACGGGGGCTCTTGCAAATCTTACTTCGCTCTTGAGTGATGTGGTTATTACGCCGAGAGGTGAAAGTGCAGGTGCCCATGCTAAGCGTATGGGACATTGGGGTGTATCGATGTAAATTAACTTAACTTACCACTAAGTACTGATGCAGATATGATGATGTCATTTTGGGATAAATATTGGACTAAATTGACGGGAAGGGCGTTGGGGGGAATGATTTCTGGTTTCTCATGTTTATGTATATATATGTCTTATTTTTATGAGATTCAATATTCTCGCGGTTCACTTGAGCCACAATAAACCAGCATTACTTCTAATTAATATTGGATTAATGCAAAGTGATATATCGATGATACATTGAGCACAGAAACGTCTACAGTAACAAACATTCAAGGAGAAGAACAAAGTACGTATAAGACCACATATGCAGAAGAAAATCATTGGTCAAGTTTTCACATTTGACTATTGGGTTTGTATCTAATGGCCCATTTACCGGAAAGAGATCCTCCACAAACTTATTTCCATGCTGAACCACTAAACCACTACATATCTGGCCCATTATGCTGGAAAGAACCCCACATCCTATCATCGTGGTACCCATTAGACGCAACGGTACAGTCAAGCCAAACATACCCGGACCCATTCACATATTGGAGTGTGAAGTAAATGACAACAAACGCGTCGAAAATTCGCACTATCTGAAGCTATCAAAGTAGAGAGTGACTCAGAATAACCCAAGCCAATTCGTCTCGTGTCCTGCAGGGAAGAACTCCATTTCCACCACATGACGATTACCAAACCTGGAGGATAATCGCTGGTGCGCTAATAGAGACACCTGTTAGAAATCTCGACCATGTTGAAGATATGGTGAGAGACACGAGGAATTAAGAGTCTTTAATCTTTTCAGATCCTCTAGTGAACGGTTGCTGGTGAAGCAGTAAAGAAATAAGAGACAACCGATAATTGTCCCAGGAAGGAAGCTGGCATCATGTCGCGAGAGGTGATAATGTGCTTCTGTTGAGAAAATTTGAAGTGTTGATGCTGACTGTTGTCCCATCACGGAAACCGGAAACCTGTGGTAGTTTATGTCATACCCAGACCAAGAAGTCGGAGAAAGCTACAAAGTAGTGGTCTAGGCCTTGAAGAGAGACCTAGATCAATTCGTCCCGCAGTTGTGCATGCGGGATAGACGTCTTTTACTTCATCATTTTCGGGACAAGCTATGCTTTTAGAAAACTTTTGCGAGTCATTGAGAAGACTGGTAAAAGTCGGAGCTTCGTCGAGAAAGAGGATGAATCTTCGGATGCACAACTGCGATTGTGCGCCGTAAAAGGCTGTAAAGTGGATTTTACTGTCCTACTCGGGGAACGAGAATAACGCCGTCGACATCGGTGGCAGATTTGTGTCGTACCCGGACTAAACACTTATTGCTTTGCACGTTTTGTCGTATCCGGACATCAGGATAAGCCTTGTTGTTAGGCCGATGCTGACACCAACCAGAGTTTGGAATGTTTAGGGCGCTGCGGGAGTAGGGGCTTGGATATTGGAAGTTGAAAAATATCCTGGACGATATGGAGTTTTAGTTTAACGTCATGTCTAGACGAGGGAAGGCCTATTGATGTACTGTTGGTAGTTCGAGTCATACCCAGACGTTAAGAGAAAGTAAAATACTGCATCATTCGGACACAGTGCTAATTTGAAAGCTACCAAGGTAGTGGCATGGATATTAAGTGCTGAAAGAATATCCGTGTCAACGCGTCTCACCATCTAGGTACAGGCGAGGAGTAAACGTTTTATATGGTCATGCTCAGGACCGTTTCCAAAATAATGGAAGAGGCCCCGCCTCTCCCGCAAAGCCTGATGGTAGTTCAAGCCATACCGAGACTCTGATGAAGAAAGCTACCGGAGTAGCAATGTTGATGTATTTTCTTGTGGATGATAAACTACAGCTAGGCCGAGCTCCTTACTGGTGAGCTTACGGAAAGTTTTGTTAAGGTGCATTCGATGTGCCAACGTTTGAGCGGGAACTTGAACACCTTGGCACCAGGATTGCCTTAATTGTCGAGTTGGAAATGAAAATCAAGCAACTCTACTCGCGAAGGTTTTTCACAGGCATTGTTAATACAATACCAGCAGCAAATGGTTGCCAATGAAACTTGTCGAAATATGTCCTGCAGGTACCGTGTTGCGTGATCATAGCATGCGAAACTTGTCGTTGGAGCTTAACGTCCTACCAGACGGGTGTATACAGAGATGGGTAACTATCGTGGCAGAAATGTTGACAATTCGTTAAGATTTGCCTTCTCAGAAAGAAATTCCTTTGACTTTAAAGAGTTTGTAGCATCGAAGATATGAGTCTGAAGAACCTGTGGGCGTGACAGTTCACGTCTAAATGACGCAGGAAACAGGTGATCGAGGTTCGCTGTGTTGATAACCAAAGAACTGAATATGCTCTTTTTGGATTTGAGATGAAAAAGACTTATTTGTTAATGTGCTGGATCGTAGGCTGGGGTGAGTTCGTGAAGGTAACAGCTAGAAATGCTCGAGTCTGCCAAACCTACTCAGCACTTAGCCGTTTCGATGGTAGTGTCATGTCATTCCAGACGGAGAACCATGATATGCTCATGACTAGAAGATATTTAGACACAAGTCGCGCCGAGTGTGTTAGGGTAACGATGTGAGGAAGCAGGGGTGAAATTAAGCAGTCGATTTTAAAGTGTCTGCAAAAGTAAGAAAGCACGAGTGCATGAATATCCCGTGGGGAGATTGCGAGGCTAGTTGTCGAACTTTCGCTAGTGTGTGATATTCCAGCTGATGTCCGATTCCATACAGAACCTGAGCAAGAAGCTGATGTAAAGATATGGAGGAAGCTGATCTAGTGTAGCATCCGCTCAGGTACAGAATGGCATAGACAAGTATGATTGATTCGAACTAATGTAAGCTCGTTGAACCGATCTAATACTTGGTCAGTGAATAAATTGGATAAACGAGCAGCAAGCACTTACACTGATATAGACCATCGCTCTTACGATAATACTTGATGGTGACGTGGAAACATGAAGGCGAATAGGCCGAAATTAAGATTGAAAGATAAGGATGTAAGGGAAGTCGTGGCTGTCACTTCGAGATGCGTGAAAGCAGGTCCTCGGAGTGGAGTCCAAGTTGTAAGGTCTTGATCGCGACTGAAAGAATAAGATAGGCTTAAAGGTCGCAGGTGGATACACCATACTGCGATAGAAGACGCATCTGCTGACGCTTATTGGCCTCGTAGCCACAACATAGCTGTTGAAAGAAAACGTGGTTCATCCCCTCATGCAATTTGATGGTCCCAAGTGAGAAGGCCACAAAACTGCCGCAAAGTCAGCTTCAAAATTTAGGATATTAAAAGGAAGATCAAAGCGTTATTTCCAAGTTTGATAATTTTAAAGAGAGGATGGGACAGGACTTGATGAAATATGGAAAGGAACTGGGATAGAAGGTAAATATACCGTGTATCGTATCACGTATCGTGAATACTACGGAGTAGTTCCATCGTTGCCGTCACAAGACAAATGTTGGTGGAGAATGACTTCCATGTTGATGTTTTGTATAAGAACAGGAAATTAGAAGAAAACGAAAGCTTATATTAGTAAATTTCTGAAACAGCAGATTGCAATTTCCGCACGTGTAGTGAATTTTGGTGGTCGTGCTATTAGGTTATGTTTTTCGAAAGTTGAAAGACCTGGAACCGTATGGCCTGCCATTCACTTAGTAGAGCATGAATTTCCAAGCTGTAGACTGATATCTTCCTATTGCTGAAGCTTCCATTCTGGTAATAACTCTAGTTGACATTTGAGCTTTGTTGATTTCTTATTTTTCTGAGTTTTGGGTTTGAAAAGAGATGATCGAGAGGCGCGGCTTTGAACTTTCGGACCAAGAAGAAGACGTGTTAAAGTATACGTGGATGAGAAAGCCAACGCAGTTGATGCTGGTGTAAATACCTCCAAATGTGTCTGTTAAAAAGGATTGTGTGAAGTATATGAGGATGTTTATAGAACGAGAAAGTTGAAGAGGATGCGAAGTTGAAGTTTGAGAAAGTGGGCTCGAGAGAAATTTTCTTGCGAGAGCAGCCAACGACGTGGGCGGTGTAAATAGGCAGCAGTTATAGATCTGTTCCAAAAACTCAAGCATGACACGCAAATATATTGCGTAGAGCTTGATACCGAATAACGTGCAGAAAATTGAAACAAAAATGATGATGACAAGGGGACTCTAACCTGGGCCAGATGATGGAATTTTTTATCCTCTCACCATTCTAAATATGTGGTTTGAATACATTCACCATCAACATACACTTCAGCCACTTGCCTATATATACTATGTATCCTCAAGATGAAGAATTGTACAAGAAACAAACACGGTTGGAAGATCATGTCGTAACTTAGTTGCTTGCAACATGAGTCGGATTCACATGGCCACAAAGAACCAGTCATCGTAGATGGGGTCCCCGCAACAAGTTTCTTTTATTGTACTTTTTTTTCATCATGAGATAGCCATGTTACCAGGTAGACCAAAATGTCTCATGATGTTGGTGATTCCAATATCATAATTTTGCCTGGCTACCCACGCGTGCTCAATGACTGGAGCACAAATGCGTCATTCGAGCAATCTCACCTTTTTGAAATTAAAATTACTCAAGGTGGCTTTTATAACTAAGAAACTGGGTTTTGAAGAAGTGGTGAATATAACAGTGAAGTGACCAAATAGAATGATTCACTCGAACACCATGTCTCCTTCTCCATGAGGATTTGGTGGTTTTTGAAACTTAATGTCGAGGCATACAATCCGCAGATTTCGCAAGTGGTCTCAGTATGTAAACTTCCGTCGAATCTCCATCAATAATGCCAGAATACCTGTGATACCGGTTGACAGAACTACGGTGCTGAATGTCCAAACTTACACATATACCACAAGTCATTACCATTGATATGCCGAATACAAAATTTGTCTTCCGAATCAGTGATAGCATACCTATGGCCGGCCCAAAACAGCTCTTCTGCAGATTCTTACAGTGAGCTTAGGATTTTCGAGTACAAAAGCCACTACTTTGAGTAGAGAGGGTGAGATTGCTCACGGGCAGGGAATTTTAGGTGCGACTGAGATTATAACTTAGAGATGAATAGGCCTTCAAACCGAGAAGACAGACAGAGGGAGACTGATAGAGTCTCGGTTCGATGAGTACTTGGCACTAGCCCGTCATCAATCATCAATTCTCGACCAGTCATGTGATTAAAGCATGTATAGCAGGTTCCTTACAAAAGCTCTCGAATCCAAGGCGGATGAAAAGCAATAGTCGGCGTTTGAATGAGCGAAAGAAATAGTATATGTGAATGATCCTCATGGGTTTACGACTTCCTATCATACATGTCGGTCTAATCTGTGTCCATTCTGAAGTTCTGCTGTATATTAGTTTCCGTCTACCTACAATAATGGAGCAAGTCAAGTACCAGCGACCAAATCAACATGTCAGTCGTAAATCTAAACACCTAGGACGAGAATTTGAAATACAAGAGCCCGCGAGAGATTTTGATGTCGTTAACTGTGATCACATTTCTTGAACCCCTGCAAAAAGATAACCTTACCTCGGCCCCACATCATTCACCATATAAGACATCACAAATCATCCCCTCTCTCGAGTACCTCAAACTCATAAAATATGTAAATATGGATTCATCTGACTCGGAAAAGGAAAATAATAATGATGAGAAGGTAAGGAGGTTTCTTTTCTTTTGCATCTTTTGTGTTGGGCCATCTGTTCTTTTCATGCAATCCTTTTGAGCTTCATCAATCTGGCTTCAATATCCATTGCTATCACGATACCTATGTAATTGATTGTTCGTTCGACGATTTTTTATGAATTGAATCGGACACAATGGTATGCATTCGCTTTATACAGAGAGAAGTTTAGCTTACAAGATTATAGTCCGTCGTATCATCACTCGCATCAGTCTCTTACCCTTCATCCCCTCGCTCACCCACCTACCTAACAGGCCACATACCCACCAAGTGGTACCACTTCCAACTGCGTACAACCACGCTTCTCGCTCTTCCCGCTCTCTCCCTCGTCGGTGTATTTGGAGCCTACATCGTAGGAGGGCACAACGGAACATTTGAACACATCACCAATCTTGTCAGACAAGAAAACCCGCCCGCTGTTTTTCCGGATACTAAATACTTGTTACTGAAAGATTATACGGGTATTAAGGCTCTTGATAGACAGTTGACTGTTCTGGTGACTTTCTTTGCCACTGTTGTCGATAGAAGAAATGTTGCGGTATGGCTACATGCAATCTACGGATTGGGACAGCTTGGTGCTGCATGGACGCTGCTGGTAATGGAGAGTTTGCGAAGTGGGAATAAAAGGAGAGCTGTTAGTTTGTATGTGGTTCCCAAATTTTGTTTGAAGCTATCCATTCCGACCTCTTAGACTCGCGAAGAATACTCCAGTCGTGTCAGATGAAATTGTACCATCAGATTAGGAGGAAATTGCTGACCAGACAAAAATAGTATCGGGACAGTTGGGTTTATTTTCCAAAATATCACTTATGCAATCACAGTACCAATTTATCTATTTATCCACCTCTTAACATCACCCGTCGCAAAGCCATTTCCAGGAACCTATGCGAATAGTGTTCTCCTCATTTCGCCCCTGGATCTAAAGATTTTACCACTCTCAATCATCCTAACCTATATTGTCCCTTCCTTTCTCATGGGCCTTGACGCTCCCTCCATAGTATCAGGAGCTACGCATCAGCAGCTGATTGCTTTCTGGCAACCTTTTCCAATTTGGACAATCATCATCCAATGGATTCTCCGTTCAACCTTTCAATTCATTGGATCCAAGGTCTTCTCGAAAGATTCAAAACAGCCACTCACACCTCTAGGGGCTTCCTATCTCAGCAACGTCAAACATGTCTACCGATTCATCCTTATGTTTTGCGTATTGACGCACCTTCCTATTCTCCTCATAGCTCTCATCCCCGCCTCAGCCATCTCGGATATTCTGCCCAAACTTGCTCCTTATGCTAGCCTCAATTTCTTCGATATTTACGTTCCCTACTTCCCTTTCCCACTCTCCCAGCAAGTCTCCAATCTTGCGAGCGGTGCACACACGTTTCTTCAATGGGACTTGGCAACTGGATCAACAGCACTGCTGTTATGGGCTATATTGCTATATAGAAATGCTACTGCCGAAAAATCAATAGTAGATCCTAACACTAGTCTCCCTCCGTATCAGATCCGAGAGATGCTCGCAGGGGAGGGAAATAAAGTTGGCGCATTAAGGAGAAAACTGTTGGTCAAGATCGGCGTGTGGATGTTGATAGCTGGTCCAATTGGAGCGACCACTGTTCTGTTATGGGAGAGAGATGAAATCGTACGACAGAAGATTAAACAGGGTATTTGATTTGAGGTTGATAATGTTGAGGTCTTGGCTATATGGTGGGATTACTGGTGGATGTCTCTAGATAAAGCCAAATACGACGTGTATGACACACAATGCAAGTTTGTTAGTGGAATTGGTTAAATGTTCTATTATGCAATATATACAATATGTTACCCTCTGCTTCACTCATATTCTTTTAACTTTCTTCCTTGTTTCAACTCCCAAAATATTTTGAGCACTCAGATACATCAATTCACAGCATCGACCGGGTCACAAATGACAACACAACACAGGGCGCAAATCCCCCACGCACAACCATAGCACAGGTCCAGGGATAAAAATGTCCGTGTCGCACCAAACCCAAAAATCACTTCAACCTGGTGCCACTGGTACCTCCTCACTGCCACCGCCCCCAAAAACCAATACACATCATGGCTGCACGTAACATTTCACCACATCTCCAGTACCTGCAAGTGAGGCCCTGAAAGCAGACGCATTGAAGGATTTTGGGTGCAATCGCATGAATGCCCAGCTTTCAATCATGGATCTGATTACCACATCTCGTGACACCAGATCTGTATGTGGATAGGAAATCCTGATTCTGGTTTTCTGTCATCTAATCTTGGCTTGGCGACGAATCATCGCGGTAGGTCGAGTAATTTATATGTGTATATATTTTCATATATTTTGTATTCGATGCTGTAAGGGACCGGTAGTATGTGGTGTACTAGATATAGTGGTTGAGTGTAGTAGGTGGGATTGTAGGTTGGTACGGCAGGACGGGATGGAAAGGATTTGAGTTTTGATGGGAGATCCATTTATGGATGTAATAGGTTGGGAAGAGAAGATTTACTTTTATGGTAATGGGTTGTTGGATGGGTGCCAGCATTGGAGTATGTATGTATGTATGTATTTGTTTGTTTGCTTTGATCCTTGGATGGGTAGATCTACAAACGGAACCACACACCGAATATGATTGACCAACGAGTAGCTCTACTGAGTTCTTGAATATGCGAGCACAACAGTTGAAGCTCCTCGTAATAGAATCTGGGACTTTTAACCACCACGTACAACTAAACTTTCGTCAATTGTGGAATGTTTTTGTCCGTGTATGCAAGATTATCTTCACAGTAGAGAGGAGAAATGCATGCAAGAAGTCTGTTCTCGAGTGAAGCTTGAACCTTGCTCCGGTCTGTGAATCATTCATTCATATCGGCTCAGCTAGCTGATTATTAAGAACCAATTAGCCTTAAGGTTAAAGCTATTATTATTCTCTTTTTAACTTTGATTTGACCAATCATTTATCAAAAAATGGTTAAATTCAATGTGAAGAAATTAGATGGACTAATTGACATGGTTCTTGATAGAGCTATACTGATTTTGTCACTTTTGACACGACCGGGATTGTAGATCTTGTACTATCAAAATTGTCTGATATTCCAGAAAAGGTAGTCTGGATCTTCCTTACCTCGCTCAGTGCCGCTGCCTGCCAAAATCTTATTTACTACTTTAGATTGCCACTTCCACTCTCTTGTAGTCGTGAAAACGCATTTGTTGATCTTCCTATTCTTTTCTAATAAAATAACATTCATCTGGAGTACTCATACATAAAACAAACACACACATACAACATTTTTGAATCATTCATCCCAAGTACGAGTTATTCAGCCTTATCGCTTCTTATCGTATTCAAAAACATCTTTGCTATCGAGGAAAAGCTGAGGAGTTATTCTAGATCTATCATCTTTTGATTCAGTTTCCAGTTTCCAGGTTCTTGTGTATGTCTTAGAACTCCGCATACCGTACATATTCAATATTCGAATCAGATATTTGCTCTCAAAAGTCCGTACTGCTTCCTCTTGCGTTGCCTCGCAAGTTCTATATCTTTCCAACCTCAAAATACACAATTCCGCTTTCCATTGCAATGTCAACAACAACAACGACAGCAAGTTACGAGCGGATATCAACCAAATACGAACCATCTGCGAAAGGGATAGTCGATAGCTATTCCCAAAAGAGCTTTGCGTCGGAAAATAACGGTGATTCACGGTGCGTAAAGTCGACCGTTGAGTTACCCGTTCATTTACCACCTTCACCTGCCGATAGTGACAAGATGGATACTAGTCGGCCATCCACATCTCCCTCTCCGATCATTATTGAAGGTCAACGTATTACTAGAGATATTTCACGCGGTACTCCCGGTGATATCACCAAGTCGATGTCAAAGTCATCCGAGCAAAAGCAGTTGGCGAAGAAGAGAAGTCAGTATTACGGTGACGCATTTGCATACCGGGAACCCACCGGCAGTGCTAGAGATCGAGTGAGCAGGGACAGTATGGTTCTTTGTGAACTAGTGACAAATGTCATTGTTGGTTTCCCTTTTCTTGTCTCATTTCGCCTACTTCTCTCCCAAGAGTCAGTTACTAAAATCATGTGTAATAGATGCGTGAAGAACATACTCTCCTCACAAGTCTCTCTAATATTCTCTCAACACGCTATCAACGTCCTGAATCGTCCATTTTTGTTACCCTCAAACATTCCGCATGCTTCATCGTAGCTGGTACTTTCGAGCCTGCTTATATTATGACTATAACTGCACTTCCATCACAAATGCAACCAGTTACGAACAAGCGAAATGCATCATTGTTGCAGAATTATATGGCCACCACTGAATTATATGTCGAACCAGAGCGCGGTATTATTAAGTTTGTTCCATTGGCAGAGGAGAATTTTGCGACGAACGGAAAGACTGTCGCTGGTGAAATAGAAGAACTAGAACGAGAGACGGCGAATGATGGCTCAGGGCACCGCAGCTTGCATTCTCCGGGGACGGTAAAGAGTAAGAAGAGAATGAGCATCAAGTCCACCAAAAGCGTCAAATCCAAGAATTTGCAAACGCATGAAGAATACACGCCTTCGGTCAGTTCGAGGGAAAGCCCGCCATTACCACCTATGCCGGTTGAAGTGAATGCATTGGATAAAAAGTCGATGAATGTGCAGAAATTAGGGAGAAGAAAGAGTTTTATGGCAGCAGTTTTTGGGAACAAGTCAAAGTCTTGAAGATATTGAAGTGGCATACAGGGGAAGGATGGTTGAGTGGAACATCTTGAGGATATTAAGTTAATGAGTGGTTATAGCAACTTGCAAAAGCACAAAAGCGCTTGGCGTTTTCGCTATCTGTATAGCGACGGAGTTTATCGGGACATGGGATACCCGGAGTACATGGATGGATGGATATGATGGGTAGGATGGATGGGATAGGGCTGGGTGAATGATGCGATACTTTACCAGTTGGATATGGGGTCAGGGGTTTATGGATATATTACTTTTGAACTTTTCTTCGCTGGCTAGCAATAAAAGTATGGGGAGACATTTCATGGGATGGGATGAAGTGATTAATGTTAATATTAGGATATAGAACTGGAGCACCTGCTTGTTTGTACCATAGGGTTGATGGGCGGGCAGGATATTCATACCATCAATACTAATGCTGAAAGTATCACCGTCATAGTTGCGAAATCTTGTCGTGCACGGCCAGTGATGGATTGGGATGATGGAGAGGGATAAATCGATGTTCGGTATTCGATATGATATTTGATATTCGATATTTGATATTCGATAGGAAAGTTTCTGTGATTACCTAGATTATGATTATAGGAGATTTCATTTGTTTAGATAGGTAATGTACCTGTTAGGTACGTACTAACTAGGTAAGCATTTCGGAGAATAATTATATAATTATAGTGCCGGTGTAGAATATTGAATATTCCGAAAGATTGGGATAGGAAGATGAATTGATGGGTGGATTTGGTGATTTATTAATTGGATAGATATTTAATTAGATTGAATTTGATTGAATAGTTTATATGTCTAGTATCTGTATCATATATAGCTAGGTATTATATATAAATGTATTTTAACAATTAATTCAAATTCTTTCATTTCTCGGTTGATTATAAGGTTAACCTTAATGATAAGATCTTCACTTCACTTCACTTCTTCTTCACCTTTTGCCTGTTAAAAATTGAGTTGCCTTCCTTGACTTTGATTGATGACTTGATGCATAGACCAACAGAACAGAACGGAACAGAACACCCTTATTAATTTCTATCCTCAATTTCTACCTACCCACCTACCTACCTACTACCTACCTACTACCTATTCTCAAATCACCATTCATAATTTATTCGACAACTTCTTCTTCAATTCAACCCACCATTTACGTCAGATTTCATACTTCAGAGTTCGAGTTCAAGGGATCTAGATTCTTTCAGTTTATTTTATACATTGATTGATGAATTGACTGATTGGTAACAATAATCCTTGTTTATCGAAAAGACAGAAAGAAGATTCTGAAACAAAAGGAAACATTTATTACCTACCTAGTGAGTAAACTGACTATGAACTGTTGTTCATTGTTCATTGTTCACTATTCAGCCCCGGACCACACCAGCCACCATCTACCTACCCACCTGGCATACTTCTAGAATTATTAACAGCACATCTTTTTCATCCATCCATCCACTCATTCATGATCAATTCAGATGATGCAATTAATAGAAAGAAGATCTAAAGACGATTTTCCCTCCTGCTGATCTCCCGCTGATCTCCTGCTGATTGGAGTTTTTCTCTTAGCTTACCTCCCTACCTAGTTCAATTACCACCTTCACATTACATTAGCCTCGAAAAGGTCGAGACCCAGATCCAGCAAGGGGTTTTACTTTTACTCTTACCTACCTTTTTGCTTTCTTTCCTCCCCACCAACCAACCGCTTTTCCACCACCACCAACCAAACTAAACAAACTAAACGAAGCCGACGGACATTCCGATATTTCCTTCTATCATGGAGGTATGGTCATTTCTTTCTTTTCGCTCTATGCTTGTTTTTATATTTGTATTCTTCCTCTTCTTCTTTCCCTCTCCTCGTCCTTCTTCTCCATTTCTTTTTACTTTACTATTTCTTGCTTGAAGATTGCCGTGCGTGCTGGGCATTCTTGCATTTCCGATTACTTGGTTCTTATCATGTGTGGCACGAATTATTCCTTTCTGGCCACGACCATGTCTCTCTCTACCAGTATAGGAAATGTGACCATGGCTAAATGGCTCCACTACGCATATCTTTACCGTCCTATTCTGCATGTGCATTGTTTTCTTCTTTGTTGTGGTCTGATTTTGACCAATTCATATATAAGCAAAGCAGAAGTGTTAATGATATCGGAGGTGCCGATGTTCATTATTGCCCGTTGTTTTACTCTCCATTCTTTTATATCGTTTTTTTTTTTCTTCACATGCATCACGATGAAGGATACATAGTTCACGATTCATATTTCTTTGACTAGTGTCACTTAAAGCATCTGAAGGAGTCATCTGGTGTTAGGATCCTGTGCATACCCGTTTCTAGGGTTCCTCCATATAAAGATCAAATTGGGAGACCGAGTACAGCTCGGTATTTATCCGAGACTTTTGTATGAGTGCCGGATTTGACGTTGTACAAACAAACAGTGGAAGTTGGATTATAGCTTTTTGCTTTTCCATGCTTTGGCAGGGCTGGCAATTTATTTTAGAAGTTGGCTTTTGAAGGCTGGTTGTGATATGATTTACCTGAAAGATTGATCTCTTTTCGGCAAACAATACTTCATCACGTCCCAACGGCAAATATTGGGAATTGGCCAGCTGATATCACATTCTCTATTATAACTTCCGTCCATCACATCTTTTTGTTACCCTGTCATTTGTCTTTTCTGTATTAATCTCGCAAAGTTGCACTTATTACTTGTACGATATTCGATTTGTTTTACTTTAAGTATTAGTTTAAATGTCTAATTCTCTTACCTCTGTTCTGCAAACAGGGCGTAGACGCACTAAGGAGGATCAAGCCTATAATGGTCCTCCTAGGATGGGTCCTGTTCGTCATATTAGTCCAGCATCACTAAATCTTGAATCTCTTCATGAACAGAATCGTGCCGCTCTTCAAAAGAAGGATGCTACCAAGGTAGTTGATGCAGCTCCTGGTGTTGCTGCTAAGGGCAAGCCTAGATTATTGTTGATGGGTCAAAGAAGGTAAGTTTCAATGTTATACGCATGAACTTTAGCAATTGTATTAATCATCTTCAGATCTGGAAAATCTTCGATATCTAGCGTTGTATTTCATAAGATGCCTCCAAATGAGACACTATTCCTTGAATCTACGGCAAGAATTCAAAAGGATTCTATGCAGTGAGTCATATTCCCTTTTACTTTACTTAGCCACTAATATATGTTCTAGCTCCTTTATGGATTTCCAGGTTTGGGATTTTCCTGGTCAAATCGATTTCCAAGATGCTCAATTCGATGTTGAAGCTATATTTGGTGAAATTGGTGCTTTGATTTGGGTTATCGATGCTCAAGATGATTATCTAGAAGCCATTGCTCGTCTCAACAGCACAATCTTCAACCTTCATCAATCCTTCCCGAATATCAACATAGAAGTTTTCATCCATAAAGTTGATGGTTTATCCGATGATTATATGCTCGACATTCAACGTGACATCATGCAACGAATTCAAGACGAACTCTCGGATCAAGGAATGGAAAATGCACCCGTTAACTTTCATCTCACATCCATCTACAATCATTCCATCTTCGAAGCCTTTAGCAAAGTCATTCAAAAATTAATTCCTCATCTTGCTACCCTCGAAGCTCTCCTCAATGATCTCTGTCGCAATTGTCGTTTCGAAAAAGCATACCTCTTCGACGTCCTCTCTAAAATATACATCGCCACAGATTCATCTCCAGTCGATATGCCCTGTTATGAAATCTGCAGCGATTACATTGATGTCATCGTCGACGTATCCGAAATCTATGGATACCCCCGTTCGCAAGAATACATTACGAAACTCGAAGGAGCTCCCTGGAATAAAAAACTTGAGGATCAAATCGCCTGTAAGGATGCTGAAAGTGTGATTGTTCTCACGGCCGATAAGAGACCGATTATGTTGAGGGAGGTTAATAAGTATTTGGCTCTCGTGGCGATTATGAAGGAGGGTAGTTATGAGAAAATGCCTTTGGTTACTATGAATGTGGAGACGGTGGTGGAGGGTTTGACGAAGGTTTTTGAGATTACGAGGCAGAAGAAGTGAGGGGGAGGGAGAGGGAGAGGAATTTTGGGGGGTTGAGGGTTTGAGGGTTTGAGGGAGAGGATGGAGGTATTTGGGGTGGGTGGGGAGGTTGATAGGAAGAGCGAATAGAGGGTTAAAGGTTAGAGAAATTTATATTTGTAAATGCAAATTCTTTGTTTGTTTGTTTGGTTGTATATTGTTTACTTGTATGTACGGATATTGTTTAATTATTAAGTTTTCTGAAAATTAAAAAAAATTAAAAAAATTTGAAGAGTTATAAATTATAATTTATAAACTTTCTTATGATTAAAAACCTAAATGTTACGACAGGTAACAATTAGGTCACGGGATTAGTAATAACACGTGATGCGAGGACTCGAAGAGAGCGAAAGGATCGAGGCTCGATCCCCTCGCTCCCTTCGAGCCACGAAGCATGAAGGTCTATATAATCAAGATGGATTTCCTTTGTATAGAGCTTCATATTCAAGATCAATCATTTAGTATACTCTATTATTAGTTACAAATTGTATATTATTATTTATCATTATTTAAGTCCTTGCTTGACACTTAGTTATAAACTACCTCGAGAGCCTAGAGCACTTCCACATTGTGACGCCTCACACCTCCGGGTCACGTGGCATGCCCCGTTTGTATTTAATCACAGGAAAACTCTCTACTCTTGTTTCACTGTCTTTCTTATCAGACAATTTTTGCAGGTTCTGATATAACGCGTTATATACATTCTGTGACGCCTCACACCTCCGGGTCACGTGGCATGCCCCGTTTGTATTTAATCATAGGAAAACTCGCTACTCTTGTTTTCCTTCTTCTTTTCTCCTTAGCTTAGTATTTTCTAATACAAGATACTTTACCCAGTATTCTTGAGTGTGACACTAAGTGTTAAACAAGGATTTAAATAATGACAATAATAATATACTATTTATAACTAATAGTAAAGTATACTAAATGATTGATCTTAAGCATGAAGCTCTATACAAAGGAAATTCATCATGATTATATAAACCTTCGTGTTCTGGCTCTAGAGGCTCTAACTAGATTGATTAGAGCCGGTCACATGATAGCTCTGATCCTGTGATTAGTCATATGATACGGAAATATGCTACCCGTCGTAACAAGGGAATGATGATGGTGGTGTTTATTGTTTATTTATTATTATTTATTGATTATCGATTACTGATGGGGAGAGGAGGGAATTTAGGTAATATATAAGATTATCTAGGATTAGAGGATTTAGTGATGAATTTTTTATAAGAAATGATGGAGGTGGATTGCAAGATTAGTGTCACGATTCACCATCGCAGGATTAGTGTCATGTGAAAAGTAAAATCACGTGATGTGCTAGCTATGCTAGCCAGCTAGCACTGCTAGCAGTCAGGAAATCGATAGTATATAGTCAGAATAGTTTCATAGTTTAGGAGCTTTGTGCTCGGCTAAATTATCAATTAGTTTACCTATATTCTACTTGATCTAGTAACGAATTCATTTCCAAGTGAATGCCAGTGATAAAGCCTTAACCTACAACTACCAATCAGACGAAACCTCAGGCAGCCGCTGCCTCCAGTACAGTATCGTTACAATTAGATGTGATGAGATTAGATTAGAGGATGTTTGTTGTAGTTAATTAGTGAGGATAAGTTTGTAATGAATAATGGAATAATTAGTGAAGAGATTATAATATTCTTTCTTGTAATTAATAGTCAAGAGGAATACAATCAACTTATATTGAGTATATCATTATCTAAATAACCACCTACCAGACACCCTTAACCTATTGTATCTTCTTCATATCCCACCCCTCTCCCTTAAATTCCTTACTAACCTTTGCCTTTCCCCAAACCCCAAATAAACCCCCAACAATCCATAAAAAACCCAATAAAACCACACTAGCAGTTCCTACCTCCACCCAAGTACTCTTATTTAAATCTAATACTGGAACCGTAACTACATTCATCAATCTACCATTAGGTACAGCTACTGGTGAAACATGATAGAACATAGTCTGAGATCCAAATAAACCATCATAACCTAGATTTACCCGGTCAAATGGATTAACTGAGAATTTGCTACCTTCGTCTGCGGTACATGCCCAGAATACTACTGGATGAGGAATTTCTATAGATGTGTAACCATCTGTGTTGTTGATTGGAGAGAGATATCGTAAGTGAAGAGGGATTTCTGCGGTGAAAGATTGAGTCGACTCGGGTGCTGCGAGTTCAAGTAAAAGAGATGATCCCCAGATGTTCATTGCATAGTCTGGAGCTTCGAGATCGATTGGAGAGGAAACATATCGAAGAGCTTTTAAATTCTTTGATGCGAGGAAAAGAGGATCAGATAGTTGATATTTATCGGGAAAGATGGTACGAGGTAGAGTAAGATGAGTATGTAGTGAACATTCCCTGTCTGATATAGGAGGTTGACTGGAGCTAAGCAAGAGTTGTAATGTAGGATGAAGACCAGAAGGCGTCATGAAAGATGAGGTAAAAAAGGTATCCGTGGAATGATATCTAGCCGGAAAGGAAAATAATGTAGGTGATGGTTTAGAGTCTTCGCCAACTACAGTCAAGAATCCAGCTAATGAAAGCTCTTCGGGTTGCAAAGGTGTTTCAACAGAAAGTATGCCAACTTCTACACGATCTTTTGATGCTGCATTCGTGATTTCTGGCTCCCATGTTTGAGGTTCCCAATATGCAATTATGTTTAAGGCATGAGATATTGTGTCAAAGTCTATATCAACAGAAGATGCGTAGCTAAGGGAATTGGCCCTCCGAAGACATTCTTTATCTGATGCCTTGCATATCTTCTGTTGTATATACTCAACAAGATTTGTGAGATCCTCAAGAGGTTGATAATATTGCGTTGCCGCATTTGAAGCAAATCGTTCCACAGACAACTTAATAAAAGACTCCTATATTTATTTAGACATTTTTTCATGGTCTTTGACCGAATACACCTTACCTCGGGAGATACGCAATCAAGTTTTCCAAATACTTTCTTCAGAGCAGGACACAAAAGATCTCTATACACTTTAGCATGTGTGAGGGCTGAACAGTGTAAAAACATACGGGCTTTTGCTATTTCTCTGTGAACTATAGAACACGTGAAGACCTGGAGAAAGCCTTGAAAATAGAGGTGAAGCTGTATCATATTGATTTGGACTGGCCCATCGAATATGAAGCTCATGAGATGCTTTCAAGACTCGATATATTTCTTGGGGAAGTTCACTAAAACTAAAGGTTGCTCGATCTTCTCTCGCAGCTTTCATCCGTTTTGCTGTTATAGAATCTGTGGAAACTTTGATATTTTGAGGATCAACTGCATCTTGAGGCTGCTGAAGAAAAGTGATTCGTTGGCGCATGATTGATGGGCATTTACGTGTAAAGTTCAAATGGTCGAAGTGAGGTTCGAATGTTGAGTTGGCTCAGGTCGTTCATGGTCCGGTTCATGTGTTCATGTGGGCTGGCAGTATCTTCCCACCCTTGTTAGGCGGTGAAATATTTTAGCTAAGCCTCGCAAGGCTGATTGATCTGATTGATAGTACAGTAAGAAGTTTCCGCCACCAAAGAATACCTAACGAATAACTTGTTTACTACAACAATTCCCTTGTATAAATATGTTGACGATCTGTCCTTTCTTACGAATATTCACTTAATTCTCTATTGCTTGATACAGTACTGCGTATATATATCTTCATTATCATGATAAACTTTCCTCAAGAACATCCAAAATAACTACAATCAAAATGCTCCTCCTTCCATTCCTCTATCCAGCCTTACTCACCCTCCTCGCATTTACCCCTCTCACTACAGCTGCCAAACCCAAAAATGCCATTCTTCTATCGAAAGTCAAGACCCTCACTCTCCGTGACAATGCAAAAACCTCTCATCGTCGTGTCCCTGCCGTACCACAGCTCACATGTAATGGTCCTGGATGTCGATATTACAAAGTCGATGTAATGCGCTGCACAAATCAAGGTTCCGATTATTCTTCTGAAGATATACAATGGTCCTGCACTGCAAATCTCCCCGAGGAGTTCAAACTAGGAAGTACGGATGTTATATGTGAGGGGTATGATAGTAAGGATGATGAATACGTGTTGAAGGGTAGTTGTGCCGTGGAATACAGGTTACTGTTGACAGAGGAGGGCGAAGCAAAGTATGGGAAGAGCTTTTGGGATGATGGAAGTGGAGATAGTTCTGTTGAGCAGGGAATGAGTCTATTGTTCTGGCTGATATTTATGGGAGTTTTGGGATGGATTCTGTACTCGATGCTGCGGAATTGGAGAGAGGGGCCGGCTAATGGTCAAGCTGGGAGAGGCGGTGGAGGAGGAGGAGGGTTTGGAGGATGGGGAGGAGGTGGAGGAGGACCAGGCGATGATGACCCCCCACCACCATACCCGGGAACTGGAAAAAGATCTACAAGAAATTATGGCGCAACTGAACAAGCATGGAGACCTGGATTCTGGACCGGTGCAGCGGCAGGTGCCGCGGGGGGTTATTTTGCAGGGAACAGAGCGAATAGACAACAGAATCAAGGCCTTGGTGGCTGGGGTGGTGGAAGTGGAAGTGGAAGTGGATGGGGTACAGGCTCGCGGTCTGGAAGCTCAAGCTCTCCTTCTACCAATACTCGCTCAAACACAGGATTTGGGTCCACGTCAAGAAGATAGATGCACCAGTAGTCCGGTAGTTCAGTAGTCCAGAAAAGGCATTCAGAATGTCAATCATTCTCGTTGACAATGGAGGGGCGACTAAAGGAAAAACGTGTCCAAGGGCCTCTCTTGGGTGATTTATTTGGTGCTTTGTAAACTTCCATGATTTTTTTTATTACAAACGCTTCCCCATCATCTGTTCAATTTTGTCATTCTGATTGTGCTCACACATATACTACAAGACGACATGACTTTTAATGGTAAGCATTCATTAAAACATCGTATTTATTTCTATTAAAGCTATCTGATCTGCCAGCTCTGCAGCTTCTCGACCACATCAATAACCAAGGGTAAGAGCATACCCTTTGCCCTGGCCAGTAGGTTCGTTGTTTTAAAATACAGAGTCCACCTATTTGCTCCTCATTCAGGGATTACCTGACAGAAACAATGTGATGGATCTTATCACAGTAGAATGTGAATATGAAAAAAAGGTATACATAGGACCAATTCCCTTCACATAAGCAAAAGCCAGTCCACGCTTAAATGTGCAGTCATACACAGTGCGGCGCTCCGCCGCAATTCCTGAATTCAAAATCATACAACTTCCCAATGGCATAAATGGAATCCTATTTGACATCAAAACCTCCACATTACATATGTGCGGTCATGACATCAAATTTGTCGAAAGGCTTGGCACAATTGGGACACTTTCTCATACGGTTGGCAATTCGATCATCCACGCATTGATTGCAGAAGAGATGTCCACATGTTTTTAGAACGGTGTTCTTGAAGTTTGCGCGGCAGACGGTACACAGTGCAAGAGTCTAGATTGTGTCAGTAACAGCTCAGAATAGACAATCATAATAAAACTCACTCTAAGCATTTCCTCCTCACCCGATTGATTGCTTAAGCTCTTTTGCTTCCACGTATCTCTGTCCTTCTGCGCTTGCTCGCATCGAACTCGAAGTTGCTCATTTTCTAGCTCCACGGCGTGAATCTTCTGCTTGGTGCCCGAGTTCGCGGAATCTTTGGATTTCAAAAGGTTTGTCAATTCTGCTGCTTGGTTTTTCAGGATTTCACATTTGCTTGTAGCCTCTCTACTTGATGCCTCCAGCTTCTTGTTTTCCGCCATGATAGAGGTATTTGACTGTCTCATATCACTTAATTGCTTCTCCATGTTGCTTAAGAGCGTTCGATCTGATGTCTCCACATCCTTGAGTTGGGAGATTATCTCGGAACTCTTGGCGTTTTGATTCTTTAAGGATCGGACTTCCGCGAGACGAATATCCATATCCTTTCGAGCCGCGAAATATTTTTGATCGGCCTTACTCTTTTCAGCCGCTAAAACCGAAACCTTTTCTTCTAGAGCCGTGAAGTCCATTACTTTCTTGCTTGTCAGGGCCTGAACCCGCTTATAGGCACTTTGGAGAGCAGGTAGTTCTTTGTTGATCGAGTCATAGCCCTGTTGGAGGAGATCGTACTTGACTCGCAATTCTTCTAAACTCAAGGAATCTATTTCCGGTCCTGGTGTTGGTTGGCACGATTGCTCGGCGATCTGTCTCAGGCGTTCGACTTCAAGTTCAAGAGAAGTGATTCGATCATCCTTGGCTCCAACCAATTCTTTCAGATGCTCGATACCTGCATGATCCTGTTCCTGGGTAGCTTTTCGCACGCTGAGATCAGCGAGCAATTCGTCTCGGGCGGAGCGAATCCTTGTCAAATCGGCATCAAGACGCTGAAGTTGACTTTCTAATTCACCGGCAGTCGCTTCCGCTTCATTCTCTATTTGTATCCGGTACGCAGTCCGTTCGGCTTGCAGTTTCTCTGCCTCCTCTCGCAACTGTATGTTAGTAGCTTCAAGGTGATTAATACGTTTGATGACGTCTTCGTGTTGCATACGAAATTGTTTGAATAGCTCAGTTCGAGCATAGTCGTCGTCTGAAGGAACCTGTTTAATACTGGCTGAAGTGATTTGCTCTGTGAGTGATTTGTTTTCAGCAGCCATCGCTTCAAGTTGTTCTTTTTGCTTCTCGACAACTGCTTGTGCCTCTTTGTATGCTGTTTGATTTGCTTCCTTATCTTCCGCTATGCCATTCGTCATTTCGGTGTCCATGCTATTGTCAGCTTTGACGCCATTAGCTGTACTATGAAATAATGCTTTCGCCTCTTCTTTTCGCACTGTGTCACTCCTCAACCTATCTAAACGTTTTTCGGCTTTGATGTAACGTAGTGAGGCTGATTCGAGACGCTCATTTAATTCTTCTTTTTCGTTTCGGAGCCTGTCTACTGTGACAAGGTATTCTTTTTGGGAAGCCAGCATTTTAGTAACCTTTGATTGGAGATCTTGTAAGTCCGACGAGGGTTTGCCACGAGTAGCAGCAACATTGTTAAATATTGTATGTAATTTCGACTTTATTTCTCTTCCTTTAGACGCTAAGTGATCTGAGAAGCCTTTGATACCATGAAACTGTAAGGAAGTTGGGAATGATGCTTTCATACGTCAGCCTTAAATCCATACCCCCCGTGTGAAATACCTACGTTCAGTCTTTTCTATGTTTGGAATATCATTTTCCGCGAGGAGAGTGACTTCTTCTAATAACTGTTACCCATTATCAATCTCGTGCTTCTACTAACTGATAAGGGTGTTATCATACCTGTGTCCACCAAGCATCGATAATTCTCAAATGGTCGTCATGATCTGTGGATTTCTTTTGTATATTTTTTAATTGGGACTCCAAAGTTGCCTTTTCTCGTTTGTACTCGAGCATTTGTCTATAGATCGCGTCTTTTTGGTATTTCTATAACGTGACATATCAGCCTGCCATTCCAACCAGTTTATTTATTTGTTCGAGAAAGGGAAGGTGTATTGACTACATTGGTGCGATATGTTGTGGGAGTACGAGTAGGGGCGTGAAAGTTTGCAGGCTATCCATGCTGTTCACAGCAAGCTGCGCATTAGCAACAGCCACATAGATTTCAAGAGCAATCCCTGGACTCTCCATATGACGTTGATAGATGAGAGAATTCGAAAGAATATTGATGGAAAAACACTCATGCGAAAGGAGATAAGTCGTGAGACCGACTACATACCTCGATGTCTTCAGACCATGGCGCAGTATTATCGGAATCGGAAGATGCTTTACCGGAGCCATTAACGGCTTGCCTCTTGGTAGGTGGTGCGAGATCATCATTGCTCTGGCCAGCTGCCCTCTTCCTATCCTCCATCTTGATGAAGGAAGGGAGAGATGGAGCTGAGGCGGCGACAGGCGTCATCAGATTGAATGAGGTGAACAGTTCATAAGATCAAATACGACAGCGAGTTTGACCGGTAAAGAATGAAGCGCAATAGTAGGAATCCAATCTTTCTGAAGGGTTATTTGGTTGACCTTGTATCGTTGTTATAGCTTTGTAAGGTTGAGGAGGTAAATAGTGGTAAAGGCGAAAGAAGTGAGAAGTTGCAAGCCGCCATTTCAAAATTGGACTAGCGTGTTAATTTAGTCATAGCGGGTACCGGCTCCAGATCAATGGAAATAATTATTTCAACCACCATCCACGACACTTCAAAGATTCCATTGTTCAATCAAAGAGAGTAATAAGTTCTATTTGTCCCAATGCTTACGGTATACTTTCAATATATGCGCAGTCGATATTCTCACTCAAAGTACTAGCAATACCTACAACAAGACAACATCCTTTGGATTTCGCCCATCGGGCGCAATAAATTTCGTCACAATGTCTTCTATGCTTAGAAAAGGTGGAAAGTCATTTAAACCAAGTGCTCGTCCTCGTCCCAATGCCCCCAGGCCTTCTTCATCACAACCTGCTACGCGTCCAAGTTCTGAGATCCAATCACAACCCCCAGTATCTGCGTCACAACCATCCAATCCTATACCTGCATTGATCGAAAATGTTACTGAAAAGGAACCATCACAAACTACCACTTCGAGTTCGACTCAATTAACCCCGCAATCACATCCGACCCCGCAAGCCGAACCTCAACTATCACTTAATACTTTGAATAACGATGATACTGCGATAATTGACAGTACGGCCAAAAGAAAGGTCAGGGAAGATGGAGCTGGCACCGACGCCGAACTTGAGCAACCGCCTTCAAAGGCCCGCAAGTTGACACCTCCGGATGAGGTGCAGCCTTCCGAAATAAACGCACCCTCTCAAACCATTCCAGTCGTATCTGCAGGCACACACGAAGCAGTGCCGGCTTCTCCAACTACGCAAGGGCCGATTCAACCTAGTCGCATTGAGGAGGATCATGCAAGTGGCAAAGGGTTGCCTTCAATTGGCCATTCAATTACAGATAATGCTACGAATGAAGAATCTGTCCCAGCAAAATCAATACAACCTTCAAGCGATTCTACCTCTACCACCCCTGGAGAAATATCTCGAACCAATACCACAATTGACCAAGGACAAGGACCTGGACAAGTATTTAATGGGGCTATGCAAACACCACTCGAATCTTCTGAGGATCTTGATTTATCTAGCATGGGAGCGGGTGAGGCTAGTCAGGCATCTCATCTAGTTTCTACGGCTACACCAACTTCCAATGAAATATCTACCCCCGCCGATGGAGAAGTGACGTCAACCACTGAAAAGCCGAGGAAAAAAGCAGCACCAAGGCAGAAGAAGGTTCAGGTTGAGGATGGTGGGGAACTTAGAACTGAAGTAGAGATTCAACTCAATAAACCACGCAACGCTGGAGGACAAGCTCGAGAACACAGAAAGACGGACAGTGAGCCAGTGAGAAAAAGAAAGGATCGGGAAGCCACGCCAGAAGATGCAGAAAATGAAGTCATTGAACCAACGGTTATGAAGATGGCAGATCTTTGCAAGGATATTCGCATTGGCAAGAAGTTCAGTAAGCATGACGAACTCAAGCTGAGGCATGCCAGAAAGAAGATCGATGCGCAATTGACCGAACGTCCTGAACTTGCAGGTTTGGTGAACAATGCGCCAGCTGAGGAGAATGCCGAATCTCGTGTGGAACCTGCCGAAGCGCCAGCTCCTATCTTCAACAACAACGGATTGCAAATGCGAGTCATAGATGGACAAATTGTACTGGACGACCAATCGTTACAAGTCGATCGACATAGGCAAGCACGGAATCAAGGCCAAGTGCTGGAAGAAATCGAAGAGAACGAGTTTACAAGAGCAGTGAACTCTGGACAATATATGAAGCGTGCTCCAGCTGTAAGATGGGATTCTAATTCGAACGACTTATTCTATCAGGGTCTACGACAGTTCGGTACAGCATTTGAAATGATTGCTGCAATGTTTCCGGACCGCAATAGAAGACAGATCAAATTGAAGTTTGTTCGGGAAGAACGCCAAAATCCAGCTAAAGTGGACCGGGCTCTTAAGGGCAAGACAGATGAGATTGATTTTGAAGAGTATACTCAGCTTACGGGTAAAAAATTTGAGGACTCTGCAGATATTCAAGCAGAACATCAACGACTTGAAGATGAGCATAACGCAGAGGAAGAGAAAGCTGAAGCTGCCAAAGCGGCTGCTGATAGGAAAAAGAAAGAAGCTATTTCCAATGCTGTTAGAAGAGGAAAGGGCGATGCCGGGGGTGGTAGCGATGGTGAAGATGGACCGGAATCACAAAAAGAAAACGTGGGTGTTGTTTTGACCGGAAATGGGAAGAGGAAACAAGCCAAATCTAAGAAGTCCAACAAGGCTTCTATGCAAGGTGGTGGAGAGGAAATCGAAATTCTTGGCACGGTGTAATTGGTTTGGCTGGAAGCGATGGGCGTTTTGGAGAATACATCGAGGATTAGATGTCTGGTCTGCTAATTAAATCATGATAAATGGACTTGTGGAGTTTGGCTGCTTGTTATACCCGATTATGCAATATGATGCAAATTACAGGATAAATTCTTTGGTTATGGATCTATGTAATAGTAGCGATGGCTTGAAAATCCAGGTTGCATCAATAAATTCTAGCTTACTAGAATATCACAATTCACAGTTAACTTTTGAAAGAATCAAATTTTCCGTGGCTTCCGCTTCCAATGAACTTATAATACCGCCTTAAAGCCTTCAAAAGACCAATACCACCAACCGCCCCGTCCCAGTCCTCCTACCCTCCTCATTCCTTCTTAATCAACTCCTCAAAAAGCGGCTTCAAAACCAACGCACTCTCCTTTGCTTCCCTCCTCTGTCCTCCCTCATAATCCACATACGTAACCCCAAACCTAGTCTCGTATCCCTCGGCCCACTCAAAATTATCCATCAAACTCCATCCCAAATATCCGCGCACATTCGCACCGTCTTCGACGGCTTGAGCCATCGCGCGAATGTAGTTGCGGAAATAATCCGCTCGGAAGGTGTCTTTGAGGATTTGCGGGTAGGGAAGATCGTTTTCGTTGAGGATGGAGGTGCCGTTTTCGGTTATGTAGACTACGGGGGGGGAGGAGGGGGGTTAGTTGGGTGGTTTGGGGTAGAGGAGGGGGAAGGGTGGTTTTTGGGGGGGGGGAAGGGAAAGGGGAAAGGAAGGGGACTCACTAGGTGGAAAACCATAACGCTTTGAAATCCACAGAATCAAATCGTGGAATCCTTGAGGATTAGGACGTAACCAAACACTCTGCGTCACCGGACCAATATTGTCCCCTTTCTTATTCTCAAAAGACGTATCCAGATTCCCAATATAATCATTTAATTCAGGTTCCGTAGTCCGGTGTCTGATATAATTAGCTGTATAATGATTCATACCGTAGAAATCATTAGATCCCTTTACGAGCGCTACTTCTTCGTCGGTGAAACTGGGGAGTCGATCCCCTAGTTGCTTTCGCATGGAATCGGGGTATTTGCCGTGGTAGATAGGGTCCGCGAACCAGGCGATGCTGAATTCGAGTTTGCGTTCTGCGGCTTCCACGTCTTTTGGTTCTTCGGGGTCCCAGGGGTACACGGCGTCACCTGATGAAAGTGTTAGTAATGGTTGAAATGCTTCTTGTGAGAGAGTATGGGAGGTAATATTACCATTGAGAGTAATTCCGATTTGACCACCATCTTTAGCTTTGAATTCTTCCCGATAAATCTTAACAGCTGCACCATGAGCCACCAGAATATTATGTCCCACAGTCCAAGGTTCCGTGCTACTATCTCCAATCTGACTTCTCAACTTATTACTCGTATGACCGGGCGCAAACAATCCAGTGCTATAACCCAAGATCGACGAACACCACGGTTCATTAAACGTGATCCAATTCTTGACCTTCGGCAACGCCTCAAAAAGCACACGAGCATAGCGCGCATAATCTTTCACAAACTCCTCTTTATTCAATAATCCCCCATATCGTTTATCCAATGCATCGGGTAAATCCCAATGAAACAAAGTAACAAACGGAGTAATTCCCTCGTCTAGCAATCCATCCACCAAGTTAGAATAATAAGCAATACCCTTCTCATTAACGGGATCATCACGACCTCCCAGAGGAATGATACGAGACCAGGAGATAGAAAATCGATAGGCTTTTGCGCCGGTAAGTTTGAGAAGTGCAATGTCCTCGGGAACTCGATGGTAGGAGTCACAGGCTACGTCTCCTGAACTTCCATCTGCGATTTTACCTGGGATTTTGCAAAATGTGTCCCAAATAGAGGGGCCACGACCATCTTCCTCTGGGGCTCCTTCAATTTGGTAGCTTATAGGGAATTAGTATAAGCTATGGGGCTCTACCTGAAGAGAACGTACCTCGCGGTTGCGAAACCCCATATGAAATCTTTGGGTAGAACTGCTTTGCTCATGTTGTCGTTGTAAAATCTGAACTCAATGTGATACCGGATAAATACAAAAAGTCACAGAACCAGATATTCAGGACACAGATTTGAATGATTTAATATTGGGATTTAGCTGGCATATAAGTACAAATAAAGCGGCTAATTGTTGATGTGAATATATCATGTAATGACAGCCCAACCGAAATAGTGTCATATCCCACCCCTCGGACCGTTCTAACCGTGATATAATCATTTCCTCATTGAGCGACTTTTACATCTTCCGAAGCTACCTACTGAGCCCCACCATCCAACATGAACCCAAGATGGCGGGGTAACAGAATATTATGAAGCGGTTAAACGGGACGAGGTTCCGCATTGATCCAGCTCTTTGGTGTTGTCTTCGTGTTGTGTTTGGCTTGTACGTAGATCTAGATGATTACTTTGGGTCTTAAGTGGATAGCGATTTATTGAATGTGAAAACCTAATTGCATTGCTTGGTACATTTTGGAGTCTTACATATACAACAGGTGGATGTTAGCAAATCCCACTCCCTGATTAGTTAACCTAGCTCCGAAGTCCCTAATCCGTAAAACTTGAGTATTTGATATTAGAAAGATGAATTTTGCGAAAGGATTGTGACATTTGGCAACCTTGTTGTACTCTTGCAAAGCTCTCGTATTATGTGACGATCCCGAGCCCATATGTCCATAAGCAGCGTTCTCGACGGAAGTCAACTATAAAACCCACAACCACGTTATCATGTTGCATCACTCTACCTCCCAAGGTTTTGACCTCGCAGTTATTGTATCCTCTTTATTGTAGCCCTTCCATGCTGGTATCTTCGCCTGTACCTGCAGAATCTAACTTCCTCTTCCCAGTGGTAGGGTTAGCTAGTAACTGCCCATCACCCTCTTCGCCAGTCCACTCTACGATCTCCCATTCCACTTTGATTCGACCATCACTGGCACTTCTTCTACCTCTACTAGTCCTCATTTTGCCCAATCGACTTCCTTCAACCATTGTCTCAAACCATGGTATACCTTCTCCTCCTCCATTGTTGTTCTCGGTATGTGGTATAACTGACTCGATGATTTCTTTATCATTCTGTGCATCTTCGAAAGCTTCTTTGGGAAGCAAGCCTAATTCTTCGAGGTCTCGCAAATCTGATGAAGCCAATGAACCCAAGGTCAATGAAATGTAATCTGCGTGGGCGGGCGGTTCTTCCGTCCAATATGATAGAGGGGTACCGCAAAAACCACAGAATTGGCGCTTTGCATGCTGTTCGGAAGGAGAAGTATAAGAACGTCGAATTATGTTGTGCGATTCATCGTCGAAAAAAGCGTACGTCGTCGAGTGGTACCATGCTAAGGGTACGCGGATCCATGCGGAGAGAGGGGCTGCTTGTGATCTTCCTGTTTACGATGTTATTAGCAGTGGCTTTTGTAACCATATAAAACATGAGGATATCCAGAATTATTTCCAATTAACATACGATGTACATTACTACTATCAAAAAAGACTTGTGCGCCATCACCTGCATTTTGTGGGATTTGAATTGTATATTTGTTGCGACCGCAGGAACAACGGCCTCGAAGCTCACTCATGCTGCCGAACCCGAAGCTAAGGATTTTAGTAGAGATCTAGTAGAAAATCCAAATTAGTTTCCGCTGCGCTGTCCAACTCTTAATTGAAGGTTTGTGGTTTATGAATCTTGATGAGTTGGAGGATGATGTTGCCTTTTAATGAATCGAGAATCAGAAAGATTTAATGATGCTGTTCCTGTTTGTTTGGTCGTGTACTCGAGTAAGTCTATTAAAATAATGAAATATAATTGGTTTGTTGGGTTATCGAGGAGGAAACATCTAGATTTTTCGCAATGCTTCTTTCCTTCACTACCGTCCATACCTATGACGATGCCACTATGCATGTTTCACTCTCCACACACACATACCACATACCACATACAACAATCACACCATTCATGAAGCACTTTTCCTATGGAATTTGATTACATTTGATATATGCTCACATCGATTTGTATCCTAGTGGATGATCTTAATTACCAAGTACATTTTCTCACACCGTATCATTTGAGTAATAATAAACCAGTCAGGTTAGACAAACCATACTCCGATTGGCTCCTGTTACCCCTTCATTCGTCACAATTATAATCTCACCTCTATAAAGCTTTAAAATTCCTAACCTAATCCACCCATATATAACACTTTCCTGTCCAAAAATTGCGCAGCGAAGTCTTTTCTAGTATTTATTGTTTCATGGAAGCACCATCCAGAATCGAGTCTGCTCGGCAGGCTCTCTCATGCTCAACATGATTTGCATCCAGTCCTCGGATCTTGTTAGTGAGAGGTTTCATCGGTGTTTTGCAATTTCGTCAGCTTGGGCATTAGGTCGGACAATTCTCTGCGCTGAATTACTGAACTTTCGGTCTTTGTGTGGCTAGATTGTTGCGACGCAGTTCAAAAATCTCCCCCAAGGGGATCAGAGTGACCAATGTTGCTTTGCTGGGCTTGATACAACTTTTGGGAGACTGCTAGTGTTTCCATCACGTAGTTTACTAGTGTGAGGCTGCTTGGGAATAAGGCTACATCTGCCCTCAGGATACCATTGTGCGTGCGATATTCTCATTGTCTAGCAGCTCTTGATTCAGCCCGAATGACGATCCCCTTTAATTTCCTCTCTCCTTGCTTGCCTGGAAAATCTGAGGCGCGCACTCTGTTCGACAAGTCAATTCGAGTCTGCAAACCAAACCTGCCGTTTATTGTTTGATTAAGAATCACTTGAAAGTTCATGTTGTTTTTCCTCATCTCGAAATAGTTGTCGGCAATTACCATGTCCTTCAATTGCCGCACTTGTCGGCGAGCAGACAACCAAAACTCAGTACCTCGATTCACAATATCATTCATCGCACTTCTGCTTTCAAGACATAGGTAGTTCTAACTTCAATTCTTCATTCAAATGGTAGAGTTATTGTTCTGAACAATCATTAGATAACATAAAATCTTTCTAAACAGCAATTAGATAGTATCAAGTTGAGATATCCTGAAGTAGTTGTTAATCGGCTTAGCCAAAAAAGCAGAAATGACTAATATATCTGCAGTTAAACACAAAGATGCAATGGAAAAGTCTTTTTATATCTTCAGAGAAAAATTTGAAATTATATTTATTCGTACATATGTACTTAAATTTTGTTTTGCACTCACACGTCCAAACACAAAAATCATTGGCAATCCAGAATGTAAAACTTAAAATCCATAATTGCTCAAGTCATACTCCAAACAGAAAATCCGCATCTACCTCCGCTTAATTTGTACATTTGCATCATACTTTCTACCACCAGGTCATTGATAGCCCGGCTCGCGTGCTTTTGAATCTACATGTTCCTTTCCTATTCGCGGGGCCCAAATCATCCCTACAGTATGACTGAATACCTGGACACTTAACGTGTGCTAGGCACATCCGAGGGACTGCATCATCTGCGACGACCTCGAGAACGTTCTATATCCACAATTTCATCGGTCAAATCCTCCAATCTTGTAATCAATTCCGCAACCCTTGTGGCACCTACCTCATCGGATATAGTTGTAGAGCTACAGAGTTCATTCCACACCTTGCGCCAATCTTCAAGCGAAGTCTCTGAAATGATAGACCCTTCGTTGCTGTTATTGTTGCTCCACAGTCTATCTGTCTTTCCACAATTCCAGTCCACAGTGGGTGCTCACTTGACTTCTGTTTGTATAGCTCCTGGAATATCCCTCGGCCTTGTCCTCGTACTCCTCCGGAACTAGATTACATTTGAAAAGTGCAGCGTCAGCAGCGGCATTACCTCTATGTGCAGCAACGTTGCCATTCGTTCTCAGAGCCATATCTGCCTCGTCTCGGGGGATATTGAGGGCTATTTCTCGAGCTTGGTCCAGAAAACGCAAGCGTATGTCTACTTCTATCTTGACCAGTGGCTCCCTAGGATCGTGGACCCTTTTCAATTCCTGGTAGATTTGCTTTATGGAATCTCGGCTATGAAGCACATACATATGCTTTGTGGTCATATCGTAGAGTCTTCTCTCAACACGCTCCAATTCGATCTTAATGGTATCCTGCTTCTTTCTGCACCTTTCCGCATATTTTTTGTACTTTTGAAGCTCACTGCGGTATCCAGCAGCGTCATCTTCGAGCTCATTATACTTGTCCTCCATAGTGCAATAATAATCCTTGAGACTATCGTACTTTTGCTCCAGGTCTTGTAGGCGTCGAGAAGTTGAGGCTGACTGAGATTTCTCCTGTCTAATATTGCTATTGTCACTTCTCAAGTTCGTAATTTGTTGTTTCAATTTTGCATTATGCATTCTTTCTACCTGCAGGCTGAGCTCAGCAGCTTTAGTCTCCTACCTTGATTTGTATAGCTCATTGGAGGAGAACTCTTCCATTGTAAGTGCAAAACTCTTTTGGATCTCCAACATCGAGATGTTTTCCGTAAGCCTCGCCACTTCTTCGTTCACTGCCGCTAACTTTAGACCAAGCTCTCTCCTCTCCGTCTGTACCGCAGAATTCTTCTCTCTCATCTTACGCAAATCCGTCGAAGTCTTCTGGCGTATCGCTTCTGCTTCCTTGATATCCAGTTTCATGGAGTCAATTTCTTTTTGATGGCTTTCACTGAGTTGGTCCATTTGATTTTGTATTTCCAGCCTTTGCTTTTGCATTTCCAACCTATGCTTACCATCCAAAGTTTCGATCACGGCACGCAGAGAACCGGCTTGCATCTTCGCGGACTTCAGATCACGCTCTTGTCGAGCCATCTTTTCGAGCCATCTTTTCGACCAGTTTCATGCTCGATTCTGTTTCCAGTGCCGTTGACTTGCTGACGAGACTTTTGCTATCGATGACACTTAGTGGCTGAGAAGTAGATGCGACGCACGAATCCTCCATGGATATCATCGAGTTAATTAACTTGATGCCCTCATCGACATCTTGCTCCGTTGAATTACTAGAAACCATTGCGACAGACTCTGCAATTTCTATCTTGACGCGGGACTTCGGTAACCTGACAAGTGTTCGAGAACAATCTATCTGTCGATCTTGAGCTGTGGCTATTTCCTTTTCACGCGCTGATATCATGATCGCCGACGCTTGCATTTCTCTTTCTTCAACCTGGCTTTCCTGGCGATTTCCGCTCGCTCCTCATCGTCATTCGACTGCTTATCATCTTTACCCCAACCAGTCGGCAGAAAGTCCATATCATCGTCTAGAAAACCTTCGCTGCCAGAATCTGTATTCGAATCCCATCTAGAGCATTTCTCACTACTACAATCTTCGATCATAGGTGGTTGGAGTGGCCAGTTACGTGGAACTTCTTCGTCTTCTTGACGCTTGATAATTTGATCTGTGAATTATTTTAGTGTCGGTGTTTCCGTCTATTTGAGGATTGCTCTTTCGTACCTTTCTTTCCAAGTGGTGATTGGTTTTCTGCGTTTAATGGAGATAGTGAGATGATTCTTGTGGATAGTCCAGAGGATGCAGATGCATTAGTTAATTTCTTCTTTTTGGCTGCCATTGTTTTGAGACTGGTTGTGAATTCTGGCATAGATAACCTTGAGCGTGGTATTGTAGTATTGCGAGGAATAGCGCAATTTTCGGAACTGGTAGAATGTTTTAGATCGCGTTGTTTTTGTTATTTTTGTTGCTGGACAACACCGAACAATAGAAATAAAAGTCTTATTTTGTAGCGGAAATTTTTCGACAATTCAAAAATAGACAAAAAAACGAGAGAATTGAGTTGTTTCTGTCAAAAAAATACATCATCCTAATGTGAGGCAGGATCGCGTCAGATACGATGTTTAAAATGAAAATAAATAGCTTTATTTTGACAACCCTATATACGACGAAAAACAGAGGTGTGCATAAATTATTCGTCTAGTTAATGGTTATCATAAGATATTCACTCACTCACCCACTCACTCTCTATTACTCTACCATCATACAATAACCAATATGCGAAACTAAGATTAAATTTCCATTGCGGAAATGATATAGTGAATTGTTGTAGAAATATCATAGCTTGGTTTTTGTAATTGAGTTGTCGTTGCTTACCTAGGTAGGTAGGTGGTGGTTTGTTATGGAGTAAGATTACTTATCTGCCTATTGAAAATGAGATGATAAGGGTAGGTAGGTTATTGTTTAATTTGGTTTGGATTAATTTTTCTCCTATTATTTCATTATTAGGAGAGATAGCTTGGAAGAAAGAGGATGACTATATATTCTGTAACGCTGCTCAGGGAATCACAGTTGTCTAGTAGTTATATCTTATGTAGGTATCTTGCATTCTCAATCCATTGACCGCAGGGTGTAAGTTAATCTCCCAGCCAAAATAATTCGCGAGCAATAATTTTTTCTTGTAGCTTCATATAATACCCCAGATGCAAATCAAGCGTGGATACGCAACTCAAGTTGATTTGGCGGAAGTTGTTCTAATCTATCAAGGAGTACCACTGTAAAACACACAATCGTCTATCGTGAAAGAAGATGTAGACTACATCAGCCATCAAAACCCTCACTCTTATAACGATAAAATTCTCAATACTCCATTCCAGAGCCAAAATTGCCTAATCACCCCACTCACTAACCGGCATTGTCCATTCATCTTGTTCAGTATCCTGTAACGTATGATTGTTTCTCAATTTTAACTTTAGAAGAGATATATAACTACTGCTGTTTTTTCGATGTGATAATGGTAAGCTATATCCCTATCCATACATAAAATATCCCTAAATAGCTAACGCAAACTTGATAAGCAAACATCGTAATCTAGATTTGCGATAAAACTCCTCTTCCACTTTACACCTTCCACAAAGCCATTACCGAGTTCCAGCATCGATATGCTTCTTTAGGTATTCTCTAGAAGCTCTTATAGCCATTACAGTATCAATATTTGCACAAGGTTTTATAACCTCAATAATACCTCGATACTAATTCACAATGTCGTCTACATATATGTGGATGTAATGTGATATATATCTCGCAATGCGATTCCGCATCACGGCTCGTCAGAATTCCAAGTTCGAAAACTGCAGTATCTGCAATTGCGTTTTTTGTATGACAGCAGTAGTCATCTTGTTCCAGGTTTGATTTCTTCCTACCCAATGTACTTCGAAAACTTCTTCTATAAACAAGCCACAATCTTCAAGTGTACTTCCTGCTTCTTCACCGAATCAAATGATGATGTTCTGTTGAAGAGCCGCATGATGATAGGCTTAAAGAGTGATGAAAACATACTCGCTTCTCATTGTAATGATATAGTCACTGCATGTTCCGATGGACTTGACAGTCATTATGAACCCCGGAGATTTTTGTTCTAATTGGGAAATGGCTCACATGCTGTTCAGTTAACACTCTTTCAATGAAATGGCGAAATGTTTATTGTACAATGGGACTTGAGTAATACTAAGGCTAACGAAAATAAGGGAATGAGAGGGTAATGGGAGATGAAATGGGGCAGAAGGGAAAGGAGGATAAGAAGGATGGGAAGCCGGAAAGAAAAGGACGACAGAAGAGTGGAGATCGTAATGAAGGAAGAACTTGAGATGTCTTAGCTGTTCACTTTTAGGGCTGAGTACCTCTATTCGGTTGAATTTCTAGGAATCCCAAAGAGCAATACCATATCATATGAAAGTTGAGACGAGAGACATGCATGGGAAAACCAAAATATAAAACCTTACAACGGGGTTTTCGCGGATAAATTAGAATATTATATCAAATGATTGGTCCTAACCAATAAAATGCATAAAACTGACAGAAATAGATGAATCGCTTGTGGGGAAAGTCAGATGATCAACTTCAAGATGTACTCTTCCTCGGGCAATATACGATAAAAGATTCATATCAGGCATGATATTGCGATGAACTCAACGCCTAGGAAATACTAGCAAAATAACTTAGAGATAACAAATGTGTGGGTAATGATATATTTTTGTCTTTCCGATCTAGCCAGCAGAATCTAAACGAGTGATCATAAGGGGCAAAGAGGAGGGTTAGTCACAACATGTAGTTCGCCAAGGGCATTAAACTGTTCATTTTCCGTACGAAGTCGATAGTATAATTGTCTCGCATATCGCCAGACATCAGATTATCCAGGAAAAAATAAGATGGCGTGCAATCCTTAACAATAAGTGAAGGAGGATGAAAATGTTAGAGATCAGTCTTGAACAGTCTCTTTGCTCCAATCTGCAAGGCAGCTCAGATGTGAAGTACCCAATTTCTCGCTCAGTCGTCCTTGTGATCATTGGGCAAAATGACTTGATTGGTGGCAGAGCAAAGACTTTGTACGCTAATTGACAGGTCTAGATGCAAATATTACCACCGCCAAGGCTCGCTGGAAATGAGGTTCGGGATGGTTAATCTTATCGCAAAATGATTGGTCAAGAAACGAGGGAGTTTCCGCTGCGTTTTGCGCATTCCACATTCCTCGAAGAGCCTCAAGTTGCACGATGTCTTATATAAACTTCAGATGGCTGCATGAGCTGAAGTTAGCGAAATGGAAATCTCGAAATAGAATCCAATTAAACGCATGATTGTCACGTGAATTGTCAATGAGACGTTATTTGATTGGTTCGCTAGTGCTGGCTGTGATATATCCACTCCTTCATCCGTCAGCGTAAGAACTAAAACTCGACATCAATCTTCCCCATTAATGGAAAGAAGTCTGGAAACCGCGGTAAGTCATGGGTACTATTCATCCCACGTGGTGGATTTAAATGCATGCATGTTAGGCTTCGATAATGCCATGGATACGGACTCGTGGCTTTCTGAACATCTTCTTCTGACAAAATAGGCGTTGAATTATTGCTTTTCCATATCTTGGCTTTTCGATCAAATTGTCATTATTTAGGCAGCAAAGTTTTGCTCCTTCGTTGATATTATTTGTCGAACGGGATGTATATATTCTTTTTGAGGAATTTATAAAAATAGTATAAGCAATAAGGGCTTTTTATACTATTGAAAGCCTTTCATTCAAGTGTATTTGTCCACACACTTCTTGGCGAGGCTGCTGTCTGGAATGTGTTCTGGTGTCTTGCTTATAGTGAGCGGACTACCTCTGACACAGGGATGCCGTGCGAAGGACAACTCAGCCTTCAGCCATATAAAAGCTCAATTTTAATCGGTTTAACCCTTGCTCACAGAGTCTCGGCATCCGCCCGTATTTCACTCGCAATGTTTGATATGGGCTGGTGAAAGACGCCCGTGGAAGGGCTTGCTTGTGTCACTATCTGTGTTTCTTATTAACACAGAAATCTCCCCTCCCAGGAAGGGTGCTGGTTTTTGTCTGCACGGCCTCAAAGATCTGGGAAGGCTTACTGTCGTCCATCAACATCCTATCACGAAGAGCACCCTATTCAGGTCAGCCGCTCCCAGATAGTAGCCCTCCATGTCTACATCAGTCGATATTAACCATCATTTTGATGGACAAAGACATTGGTTCAAACAGTTTTGGTATACGAACCCTACGTTGAGGGATGCAGAAAAGGCAGGCCCCCTCGGACCAGTACCTACACATTTCCACAGAGATATCTTGAATCGGGAGACATGGCGACCTCGAGATCTTCTCAGATATATCTCTCCTTCCTATGGAAAGCCACATCATATGATCGTACAAGCCGCTTCCGGTCCCAACACCCAACCCCAGGGAGAATGGAGGCGGCGACCTGTTGGGGGAAACGCACCTACACTTATGCGGGTATCTACATGGGCCATCGGAAATCGCCTCGAAACTGCCGAAGACTATGCCTTGGCTATTGGAAGATCCATTCTTGTTCTTCCTATCATAATGTTTATTGTACTCTATCCGATGTTTACTAATGGCACCGGAAAGCAGAATGACAAATATACCAGTTTCCCACACAGATGCTATGAGTATCCAAAGCATGCACTAAATCAGCTAGATGCTTCGCCAAAGGCATTGGAATGGGTCAAGGGACAGCGTAAAGATGACGGAGATAAGACCTATATAATTAAGGGCGAACAGAATCGTCTTCTTCGACCTCGTGCCTTGGTTGTTCTTCGTAACAATAAATGGGATGTTGTCGAAGATGGAAGTTTTACTGGACCATATATCTTCATTAGTTTTGCAGCGGCTCAGTACCAAAAGCCGGCCCCAACAGATGAAAATCCTCAGAAGACCGAGCTAGATGTGGACGCCATTGATCGAAGAGCGAGAAAGCTTACGCTGCATCATGGGATGGAAGCTTATTGGGCAGACTTTCATGTGAGTATTACTCTTCTGCACACCACAACTATGGAAAATTGCTGACACATACTTCAGTGTAGAGCAGAATTACAGCCCGAGGCTACTGATGACGTCCATCGGTTTTGTGATGTCACACGTGGGGCTGAGAAGGTTTGTGTTGTTTTGCCAGGCGATTCCCCTGAATTTCTAGTATTTTTTGGTCAGCGCCTCTGGTGTTTACCTGAGATACTGCTTGCCCGAGATCATAAAGTCAGTATTTGCACGCCCGACTTCCAGAGCAAAGATGGTGTGGATAAGGTAGAAGTTGTTGATATCATGGAATTCACGCATCGATCGTGGGCAAGGACGCTTACACCTAGTAATGAGATCATTCGTGATGGCAATGACGAGATTTTCCGGTTGTTGGCAGAGCATTATACTGGCTCATTAACTCTCAGTCGACTTGAGCTGATTCAAGTCGCACTTCAAGCCTTGAAATCTAGACAATACACGGAGTTCCAACGTGGTGACATTGCTTACGCTCTCATGACACTGCTCACGAAGCGGCCTCGTATGGATCCTTCTGACACAGAAGAGCAAGCCCTTGCACGACTATCACTAGCTAACGATAGTGACCAAATCGTCGAGCGCATGGCTTGCATGGACGGTATTCGCATTAAAGGTAAACCTGCGTGGTTCAATCTTGAAGATGATCTCGGCGCCAATTTGTGGGATATCCAGCCACTTTGTCAAGTAGCAGGTGTTTGTCATGATGGATCCTTGATTTTGGATGGTACCCATGCAATCTCCATTCGTTGGAAGGACATTCCGCGAATTCATTCTTTCAGACCAGTGACCTGGAAAAAGCTGGGTGCTGACATTGCGTTGAGATCCGGGACAATTTGGTTTGTTGTTGGTATCAGTCTTGTGTCTGCTAAGTCATCTGTGGGACTGGGGGCCTTCCTCCTAATCTTGGGGCTTATTTTATTGCTCACATCACCACTCTCTGTGCATATTCTCTATGGTGGAAAAGTTTGTAAGTGAAATCTTACCGCCCTGAGTCTACAATATTAACCATGTAATCAGGGGGAGCTTGCCCTTGGCTTATCGGCTTCGAAGGAACACTTCCGCTTGAACAGATCGAGCATCTCACTTTTGGTAATGCAATAGGTCGTCTTCAATACTCACCTTCCAGTGGCCCTTACTGCACTGGTAAACCAGATGAGAGAATTGGCGCCGAACCTCTCTTCAATGTTTCCGATCTTCCACAAGGGCACAGATTGTTTACATTGATCGATACCGTAAGTTTGCCATTCTTTTGCGGTTGAAAGGACAACAAAACTAACCACATACATCTCAGGGAACAATGACTGTAACTGTTTTCTCCGCCGAACGACCGCCATCTGTAGCATTACTCGCCGGTAAAGAGGGAGGTATGTTACGCACGATATTATGCTCTTATGAAAGATCCACGAATGGGTTGCGCAAGGAATGCGTCTTAAGAATGGAAACGCCTATGTGGGATTCCAGTAATGCATTGGGGTGGGTTAAGCTTACTTAGTAAAACAAGGAGGGAGATGAGATGAGACGTATCTTCACTGTAGGGTTTCTTTTGTGTTGTAGGATTTTATTCTGAACATGTTGAACAATTGGATAGTTGGGAACGATGTGTGTCTTTAGCGATGGATGGGTGATACCTAGTCAGTAATGATATTGTTATTTTTTGCTTATAAGACATACTTTATCAGTCTATTGTGTAATTAAAGGTTTGTATTAAACATATTGATCTCTCCTTATAGGCGTGACTTAATAAATCAATTGAAGCGTCTGCCCATGTGTAGGGCAAAATATAATGGAGAGATGAAAAGAACATTAATGGTAGAACTCAGTGGTATGGGCGTAAAAAACGGGATATTTAAACACAGCCTTATCAAAAAAGAATCACAATTATTAGAGGAGTCATGATTATGAAGTTGAGATGATAGCTGTTAAGTGCTTGATGATTGATTGATTGTGTAGATGTGGAGGGCTGAACGTAATTTGGGATCTTAAAGGTTCGGAAATTGAGTCAATTGCCATCTTTGTACTTGCAGAATAACAACGCAAATTGAGAGGAGTATTCACCTCTTGTTTGAATACTTAAGATAACAGTCCAGTGCATAATGACATGGTCCATTTTGATGCTAGCTTCAAACTTTGAGTTCTTCACCCTACCTTCTCTTCTCAGTTTCATTCCTTTTCTTGAACAATAGCATTCAATTGACTGATAATTGATCTGCTCCAAAGCTTGATGGTATAGATTGCATTTCCTTGACTTTGTTCTCTTTGCTTTGTCTCTTCTATGCCCCCTGTTGCAGGCCAAATCATTTCCCCATCATAAATTTAACTTGTACAATAGAATTCTTTGTCTCTTCTTTCCATTCATTCCCTGTCTTTGAAGCTCTTACAAATGGAATTGGAACACATCAAGAATACATTGTGAACCATGGCTCAGAATCATCTATTTAATCTCATGGCTTCGCTGTCTACAACTTTTGAATGCAGAACCTTCCACAAACAGAATCACAACCAAGACACCAGATATACATCAGCTGTTAATCATTTCCGATTCCCTTCAAAACTTGAGCTCAGAAACTATGTCTTCGAACCGAACAGATTCTGTACAGGATTGTGCCACTGAACCAGCTTTCCCATTGTTTGGGAAACTCCCAACAGAAATCAGATTCTTGATTTGGAAATTAGCAGCTACCAATCAAGCTCGTCGAGTGGAAATTACAGACAATGAGTTCCACATTGAGGTCTCATCACCTGCCGCTCTACTTGTTAACTCCGAAAGTGAAACTATATCCAAGGAGGTACTCAGCAAGCTCTTCGATGGCCAAACATTTACAGGTAAGACGCATGAAGTATATTTCTGCCCAGAAAAAGATACAATTGCTTTCAAAGATATCCGACATTTCAGTTTCCCACGAGATAACCTTATAGGTGGGCCACCTGAACTGACCTATAAATTTCCTTCACAGCCAGAGTGCGACTCGATCAAAACTCTTGAGCTGGAAGAAGACCTTGGGATGTGGATGTACAATGCTGTTCATTTTGGATCCTTGGATCAGTTGATCCTCCGTATTGGTGATTATACTGACGACCGTCGTAATCGCGTTTTTCTTGAAGCCATAAAATACTATCAAGACAGGCTGGCACATGGCAATTGCACCAAAGTCCCTGAGATCATCTTTCGTGTTGAACAGGGCTTGTAAATCAGGGAGATTCTTTATACACAACGCGAGACATAGATTGGGCAGGTTTTGTTTTTTCTATTCCATTTGGTCTTGTTTGCGTTTATCTACACAATAAATATCCTTTTTCCTTTTAATTAGACTTAAAAGAAAGATACTTAATCCACAGTACGAGACAGATAGATTGAGCAGATTTTGTTTTTTCCATTTCATTTGGTCTTGTTTGCTTTTATTCACAGGATAAATATTCTTTTCCTCTCATTAAACATAAAACTCTTCAAGTGATACAAAAAATCAAAAAATTCATGCCATAATGACCAAAATTAGGTGAAATTCTCCTTTGCTGATGACTATAGACCCCCGTATGCGCCCAAGATTAATGGAAATAATCATGCAGTAAACCCTCGACACAATAGTAGGTTATTCCCAAAATCTAGGACTAGGAAATCACCGCGGAAACTATATGAGAATTGTTTCTGAATAATTCTTTGTAACTGACATAACTATCTAGAAAAATACTTGCTGAATCTTTCTCATCAATCTAGTGCATTTACCGTTAATATCTATCCACATAACCGACGGTAAAGGTCTGATTCACAAGATTTCCAACATGTCTTCAAAAGATCAATATCCAGTAAGTACAGGGCGTGTACGAGCCCTGACCAACAGATAGCAGGGCAGCAATCTCAGTCCATTACAGACTACTTTTTTGATGCTAGATGTCCTTCCAGATAGAAATTGTAGAATGTTTCCTCAGTTATTACCCGAGACAGCTCTTGCAGAGGAAATAAAAAAGTGGGAAAGTAGATGTGAGCTAAGACCTGTAGGGGGCGCTTTGCTCACCACAATCATCACTCTCATGGCATTTAGCATTCTTCCCGATTGGGGACGTGTTCTTTTCCCTCAAAGCATCAAGTCAAATGTTGACCAATTTCGGACAAACTCAAACTTAAGTAGTTTCAACCTGTTTCCTCTTTTACCTGTAGAGATTAGGCTCATGATTTGGGAATTGTTAATTCCAACATCTCGGCATTATAGCATTACTGATAATGCAATGAAACACAACAGGACGCACTCTCGGAAGAACCCCGCTGTGCTCTACGTGAACTCTGAATCCAGGAGTGTGGCTCTCAAGCATTTGAAATTTCTTTTTGCGGGTGCCAATCCGATTGCCCCGGGAGAGTATAACTACGGTGTCAACATGATTGGCTCCGAACAGTTCAAATATTTCAACCCGAAGCTCGACATTATCCGTTTCGACGGCCACACACGGAATTTCAAATTTTCCCTAGGTCCCTATCCCGCGACTGCAGATCTCAGCGATCAAGAACCCATGAGCGAATGCGACGATATATTTGATATCGAGCTTCGTGAAGACGCATTGTGCGAAAGAGGACCGAGTCCCAACTTCCGAAACCTCAAGTCTTTAGTGATTCGATATACTCGAAGCCACTCTACGCATTTTACAGGAAGTGGTGCTAGAGGTGTTAGGATCTTTGTACGGAATATGCATCGAAGACTTTTGAGGGATATAAGGAGAGTGCATCGATGGTTTAAAACCCGACTTCAGAAAGGTTTGGTTACTAGGATTCCTAGGGTTTCTATTGTGCCTATGTCGAAGGACACTGGCTTGATTGAGTCGACTGTTGATTATGGAAGGATGATTCTCGGCGCAAGTCAGCAATAGCTTCCGGCAAAAATTTACTATTACATCATTCAAACCACTTGATCAGCGCCCGTTCTATTGGAGCTTGTGAATCTGGTTATGCCTGTTGGAGGAGAAAGAGTAATATGTTATTTAGTGTAGCTAAAAATTTATAATACACCTCCATGAGATAGGCTGGCAAGTGCATAAGCTAGTATTAAATTGTTTACATATCCTCCCTAAGAAAGCAAAAAGTACGTATATGAAGTACTTTTCTTGAATATTAACCATCACTGAAGGAAAAGTGGGGTTAAATTTGATCAAAAATTTAGAATAGTACTTCCTGGAAGTGCTTCAAAATGTACTTCAATTTTATAAATTTAAAATACTTGAAATACAATTTTGAATTAAAATACTTCCTTAATGTGACGGAAACCCCTGCTTTCCTCCCACCCTTATTATATAAGAAACTTCAGGTACATTAGCCATGTTCACACATGATACGATTACTCGGGATTAGTATACGATTTAGGTGGTCTGAGGATCAGATCCGAACAAGTACTAGGTATCAATGGTTATCGGTAAAGTAAGATCATTGGAGGGATAAATATGACTTCTTTTTGCCTAGCCATTGCGGCTAGACCATTCATTTGTGTATATATAGAGTAGCTATCCCCATCTACAGGTGCTCTTCACCTGTAGATTCTAAGTTAAATACAATTGCTGGTCTATAAACACCCTTTTGGTCACACAAATTGAGCCTGTGATATTTATAATATATATATATGTTAAAAGGAATGACCTTACACAGGGAATAGTGGGAAGCTGATAGGGCAGAGCTGAGGCTATATTGGCCTTTTATATGAATCACCCATTGTCTTAGTTCTACGGAAGTGCGAAGCTCTCCTACAGAGAGCTTCTCAATCTAGTCCTAATAGGACTAGTGCCCTGTGCACGTGCTACGCAGGAACCATTCACTTTAACAATATATATATATTCATTTTTATTGATTTTTAAATCTTTAAAATATTATTTTTAAATATAAAAAGATTTTAATTCATAATAAAAAATTTAAAATTCATTTCTCATACATCATTTAAATATTTAATTAAATCTCTTTAGAAAAAAGTATCTTTTCTGTAATATTAAATATCAAATTGAATTGATCACGTTTCTGATATATAATAAATAATTATAAAGATATTTTACTTCTAATAGTTTTATTTTAAAGTAAATTTTTAAAATAATAAATTCGAGAATTTGTTTAAATTTGACTGAATTCTAATTAATTACATTTTGTGAATATAAATTTTATACAAATAATAAAGATCTGAAAGTTGAAAAGAATCATCAATTTAAATATGGTTTCGCTTAACATGCCGATGAGTAGGTTCCGGAACTCGCACTGCAGTACTAATCCACACTATTCCCATCGTCACAGTACTAGAACAAAGGTCTAATGAAGCTAGTTCTAATTGTTCCACTTTTCTTTGATTGTTTTTCAGAAGCGAGTCTTTCTCTTGGTGTTGTTGTATTGGAAAAATCAAAGTTGGAACAATACATTGTGACTCAATATATAATGATTAAACATGACCTCCACCAAAATTCTCCATGGACTTCACCTTACAACCATTTCAATACCATCAACTAGATTCTTACAGCGACTCACAGTCAGTTCGATATTAAGACAGTTATCCAAAATCAGACATCATGTCTTGGTCCGGACTCCCCGCCGAGATTCGGATCCTGATCTGGGAACTCGCATTTCCAGCTTTACCTCGCACTTTCACCATTGCAACAAACAAGATGAAGCGTGGCAAGAATAAGATCCCAGTTGATTTGCATGTTAACTATGAGTCCAGATACCTTGCCAAAAATAAATACAAGCTTCTTTTCGATGGAACTAACCTTGTTGGTTCTGAAAATTGCCAGTTCTTGTGTTTCAACCCAAAGGTCGATACCTTTTTCCTTAGTAATTACACGGATCTTGGTAAGTTCCAGTTTCTCCTTGGGCCGTGCTGGAATCAGAGAATGCTTGATTGCTTTCTTCGACCTCCTGGCGCACTTCGTCCTTTAGCCATTGAAAATCCCGAACCCATCAAAGAATGTGACATGGTCACATTGCTTCGAGTTTGCGAGGGTGATTCTAAATTGACCAGTTTTGTTTCTTCAGGAACCTTGAAAAAGTTACTGTAGTCTATCATAAGGAAGTTCTCTATCCTTACTCTCCATACTGGGACAATCTTATTCAGCATGTTAGTATTGTGGAAGATCGGCTAATCAGTAGTGCTAAGCTTATTTATGGGCTTTTCCAAAAGAGGCTCGACGCGGGACTCATTACCAAAATACCGGAAATCGTTCTTTCTCCGCTTCCCTCTGGTGTCCAAGATATCTTAGCCTCTAGTGCCTCCCGTCTCAAATTAACGACGCCCAGAAATGCTGATGCGACTGTTACAATGAATAAATACGTCAAAAATTCATACTGCGTCCGTTATTATAACGATCACATCCGTTCGTCGAGGCAGTAAAGAGTTTAGTGAGGCTTACTTGATGTGCCACCTGGAGGCAAGTGTTCTCGATAACCTCTTTTTACAGTGGCGCTGCAAGTCGGCTTACACGAATATATTCAAATAGACACATTTACGCTTAATCTGGCGCTGGTACAGTTTTTTACTTGAGTAGTTTCTTCTTTCTTTCTTCCTTTCTTTCTTTCACGGAAAAAGACAAAAAAAGAAAAAACATTACAATCTTATTTTTTTTCTTTTACAAAAAAAGACTAAAAAAATCCACAAAAAATTATATTTCTTTTTATAAAATCTAAAAAAATCATTAAAATATTATTTCTTTCTATTAATAAATCAATTTCAAATCTGCTCAATGATATATTTAAAATCCAACTTTCTTTTGTGATAGTGTGTTACATACAAGTGAAATATATAAGTGAAAACACAAGTGTTGGTACGAGAAGGATACGGAAGACGTAGCACCCACGGATTACGTAGGTCCTGTATGTCTAATTGTATTCTGTCTAAAGAGCTAGCTACATATTGAAAGTAGTAAGTCTTATATAGACTTACTAAAAGAGCTAGTCTCTTTCGCGTTCGCTTAGTTCTTTATTACAGTAGTAATTGAATTGAAGTCATTCACTTCGTTCACACAGTAACAAAGAGAGTCTCTGAGGAAGAGGCAATGTTACATATCGTAAAAAAGAAAAAAAGAAAACGAAAGATACCCAATTCATCCAAGTAAGCTTAATATATAAAAAAGAGGTATTACCGGAATGAAGTACTAGCGTGATTATAGTACAACCGGAGAACAATTTTAATCCTGATAGAAAGCTTTTTTTGGCGTCTACTCGGACTATCTTTGCCTATAACCCTCGTTGATTTCACCTATTAGAGCTGCACAAGGATGAGCATCAATGGCTTTGAATTAAGCGAACATTATGAATGAGGAGCCCAAAGGGCTAGCTACATGAATATCTTGAGGGGTTACTAGGCCCAGAATGGAATGTCTAGGCAGGAAAGAGTGTGTTGCTGGCAGCAAGTGAATAGACTCTGTCGTTTACTGGAAACAGATCAATTTCGAAAGTAGTCAAGATCAGAAAGCTGTTTTGGAATTCTTCTCATTTGGTCACACTTTTTACTCTACCTTAACACGGATTAGAAATTTGATTAATAGGCTACGTGCTAAAAGTACTATACGATATAACAGTCTATTGCGACGATTTTGGATGATCAAAACAATAACAGCTAAGGGATTATATAATTTAATTACACCTTCAATCTTCCAAATGAGTCTAACGATCAAAACCTATTAGACGCATCGCCTAGTATGTTTATGAATACAATAACGCGAATGGTACACAGCGTGACGCCTATATCTTCTAGTTTAATGAGGCATACCACATTTTTTGGATATATATTAGAATACATGGCATTGAATTTTATGTCATTGACATTAATCAGTATTACATAGGATATCATGTTCATCACACTACTCTGATCACTGTATGGATATTTTGGCGAAAGGAAAAAACTCGTTTATTAAACGTTCTTATTCTCATCAAGGCATATTTTAAGAACTACTACTTCTCATGAGCTAGTATTAATATGTCATAAATTCATAAGGTGAAGAACTCTTATCTTTCTGATGCCTTAAAATTCACTCTATCGGCCGGTGATTGGCTTTTAGACCCTACCCATTGTCACTTGTAGTCGATTAATGAATAGAATCACTTATGTGTACCTCTTTATATCTATCATTTCCAAGGTCATGTGTATTATTTATGTAATTATATCACTTGTTGTGTGAACGAAGTGAATGACTTCAATTCAATTACTACTGTAATAAAGAACTAAGCGAACGCGAAAGAGACTAGCTCTTTTAGTAAGTCTATATAAGACTTACTACTTTCAATATGTAGCTAGCTCTTTAGACAGAATACAATTAGACATACAGGACCTACGTAATCCGTGGGTGCTACGTCTTCCGTATCCTTCTCGTACCAACAGTTACAATTGTAAAGTTCCAACAAAGACGAAGGAACAATGCTATTGTGATCAAAGCAAGCAGTTGGAATTTATGGTGCACGACAAATGTTGATGTATAATAGCGTTGTTCAAATATCAGGAATTAGAGTGAAACAACTCGTTGAAATCTACTATATAACTTGTCGAATATACAACTCAACAAATTCTGCATCATCTCACATCATCACCACTACTACTTAGTAATAAATCCACCAATATCAGCACTACCTCCAGTTTTCGGCACCTAGGAAACATCAGAAGCACATTTCGAAACCCTCAAGCCTTGCAATTCAAGTTTTCTACATCATGCCTTCCAGCGACTCAGAAGTCGAACTTACAATTTTCGAGGTCCGCCCTGGTGTGTACGCCATCACTTCAAACTACCCTTTTCCACCAAATCCACCACCAAATCCATCACCACCACCACCAACTTCCTAATGTCAACATGGGAACAACCAATCCAACGACAAGCGGCCGTAGGCGCTAAGTCATCTATTGGTGATACGGAAATGGGCTTTGACGGCGTTACTTTCTTTTATGAAGCTGGTCTTCATGCAATTTGAGCCCCAAGGTGAGTTTCATTTCATTTCATTTCAAAATCAAACGACTAGACGTCATTTTTATCATTATCTGCAACTGATTCCAACTTAATATCAAGTGATAATATTCCTTACTCTGCCTTGAAAAGTGACTAATTGAATTCATAACCTACTAATTTATTTCCTTTTTCTTTTTATTAATTACCCTCCACCCCTCACGAAAAATTCAATGAAGAAAACTTCTCTACTAACAAAAATTCAATACTCTCTCTGCTTACAATCACTGGGCGAATGAAGGATAAGAAACCTTGAGCAGTGTTCTGGCAAGATAGCACAAATTTCGACTAAGCTTGTGGGCTTGGCTCCTGTTTTCCCTTCCTTTAATATCCGTCTGTAGTTAGTTGTCTGCACCATCACAGCCGCCATGGCAGCACCTTCCTAGTATAAGTTATTAATTTCTTCACAAGTATTAAATGTAATATGCCTATTTCTTTGTTTGATTAGTGGTTGTTGCCTTATGGGGTGGAGATGACATTGCTTCCCGTACTTTGGAAATTCCCACATCAAGATCTCTTTTTATTTCGCTTCATATCTTTACTTAAGCATGGCCTCAACTTCCCTTGAAAGAAACTTCATTGCAAGTAATTTCAAGGGTGTATAGAACCTGCCTGGCTGGCTGCCCGTGTATCATCCTATCTACCAGCTCGCATGTATCGCTCAGTTCATTGTCTTCTCGAATCTTATCGCACAATATTATACATTTTATCTGTCAATGCACATATATCTACATAGCCAGAATTTCACTCACATGTACATAATGAATCTAATCCTTCAACTTCTCTATGGAGGTTCTGATAGACTCAAACGGACCAGGCAAATCTACCCAGCGGAATCATCAATAAGTTCAACCACAATAGCAAGAAAAGGACAATTTCTAGCAGGAAAATTACCACCGAAGCAATAAAAAATAAATTTTTTATGGTTTTTTGAGGGTTTCATGACTCGAGTGTGTAATGTGCAGGGCTCGAAAGGGAGAAAAAATGAAGAATATTGGTGATGAAAGCCCTCTGTTTTGTCGATGGAAGAAGAGGAGAGGAATTGTGTAGAGTTAAAATTTATGAAAGATGGAGGAAAATTTTATACTTAAACATAGCCGAAATAAGATCATTCTATTAAATTCCTGCAGACATCGGCCAACTATGTGAATTACTGCAACATGTTGGTTAAAACACGGGAGACTTCAGCCACGTGGTTATAGCCCTATGGTCAATTTTGATGATTTCATATCCTATCAACATGTGGGGCTGATACTAATATTTATGTGCATGCAAGACCTTTTTTAAACACAGAATTCCGTCACGCTTCTCGTGCATGTTTTCTGTTCAATCTAAAAGCTCACATATCTACACATCCAGGATTCACAATTAAAAAAATCTTATCAGATAAGAATCAGGTCGCCCAATGGCACGAAGCAAGATAAACCCAGCATATTTTTGGAAAGAGAGATGCCAAGAGCTGGAGGCACGTATAGTTGAACAAGACCAAGAAATCAGAGAGAAGACACAACAACTGGAGGATGCGGACAACCATGCCAGATTTGTCGAAACAGAACGAAAGGCTCTGAAGCAAGAATTGGAGGATTTCAGGTTGGAGATGGAAACGGAGCAGAAAAAAATGAAGATATTAGCTCGGATTGGCACTGATGTGCGCATTCGATATCTTGAGCAAGCTAAATCACAAGTTATGGGTCTCAATCCAGCAAACTTCAACGCCAAATTTATACAGAGAGGAAATGATGCGGCACATCGGGCGTACGGTGCTGCAGATGCTGCTCTACTCACGGGAAACTTTCTCGAAGATGAGGAAAAGGCGCACCTCACAGGGGTTTTTCCTCTTATTTACGATGGTTTATCTCCTCAGAAATATGGCGGCATGCCCGCAAAAATGCTTCAGGCTATCGATTACCAGGGTAGTGTCGTTTCAGTTTATGCTCAAAATAATGGGTCAATGATCAAGGACAAACAAGCTGCCGCCGACAGTATGAATTTCATTAAGGACAAGCATTTACAGCTGGGAGATGGTGTATTCGAGGAAGATGAGGGTGTCACACACCATTTAAAGAGACTTAGAGAGTTCGCAGATCTAATTATCACCAAAGCTCGACGATATGATGCCAGTCTTGCAACATCTTCCACAACTTATGGACCTCCTCAGACATTGACACCCCTTGAAAAGCCCGCAATTGCTCCCAAATTTTATCAAGGTAGACGGCCTCCAAGAAGAAATAAGTGATGTAAGTGTCACATCTTTCCAGCTCAACATGTCTACTAGGTTTACTGATGAGTTGATTCTGTAGAGCTTTAAAGGGACAATTTATCTATCCCAATACCCCCTTAATCATTGATTGCTCTAGCCGCCATCCATAGTCCTTAAATTTAGCCTTATTTCTCAAAATTGCGATTATACCCAATGTTGATTGGAATCTGGAGTTTGCCAAGCATTAACCATGAACATCTGCGGTTCGATTTCGATACGTATATAGGTGGGAGGAATGACACCATTTGGAAAGTAGGGCTCTTTTCTTATATTTATGTATGGAGATCCAATGACTCTTCATTATATCTATTCGTTCCAGCATTTCAATTGTTGTTATCCGAGGTGGGAAGTGAGGAAAGAAAGGGGTCTCGCTAATCACTGGTGCGGACTGAATTCACAATTACTTATGTATTAGACTTCACATGTTTTGACTCATTCAGTTGAATTGACTCTTCTCTAATTTAAGCAAAAGGCCACTTAGGGCATCGCAGATTAGCGCAACGATAGTTGGATGGAAATATTGATTGTGAATTGAATAAAGATTCTCCATTTGTGCCTCGATTTAATCACCACACGAAACCCTCTTTTTCTATGATTTTTATCTTTAAATTAAAACTTAAAGATTCCCAATTTATGAAAGTTACAATTTTAAAATAAACTTGGTTGGAGGAAAAGTTGGTTAAAAGTCATCCTCCCGAGGTTAAAATTGGTTCAGAGGATATTAACATTTGGATTCTAGGTTAATGAATGGAAAACGAAGTATATCTGTTGACCTCCTGGGATCTTGGCAGCATATGCATATATAGTGCATATGCATATAAGGAGCAAACAAAACTCAACTTTTAATTCATTCTTTCCTTTTTGGTATACTGTTTGTTTGCTTTCAATATTTTGATTTCAAAGCACTTTAATTCCGAAGGCCGAATACCCAACCTATTCCTTCATTTTTTGAATATATGCTCGCAGCTTAACTGCTTAGCTAGAGAATCAATCAATTCAATCTGATGCTCTTTCTAGTCTCAAGAAACCCAACAATATCTCTTAGTAATTGGTTAATGAAGTAAGCTAGGAGTAATGATGTGAATGTATCCGGGGTTTTACTAGAGAGTAGCGAATGCAGCCTTATTGGCATGTATACTAATAAGCAGTAGAGGGTTAGGATAAGCCTTTTACCTAATAATAAACTACAAGTCGGAATGACGCAAAGTTAAAATACAAATCTGAGGTGTAAATAATTCTTATATACCCGGTGGGTTCAATAGAGTGTCCATATCTAGTGATCCTAACTTCTGGAGTATAAAAACTCAAAACACTATCAAATAATTCTTCGTATCTTGTTAAAGGCCTAAAATAATTAATCCTTTCGCTCAACAAGCCTGGAGCTCGGACCTAAGTTGTCCAGTGCTCATCCTGGAAACCCTCTGACAAACAATTGCAACTCCCCAAGACCTCAATCTATCGAATCCAGTAGTTTTCTTTGATCTGTTCCTGCCATTTCCAAATTACACACACTTGAGCCGTTATGGAAATCTCACAATTGATTTAGTCATTTTCGAGATCATGACATCCGAAAGACAGTGGAAAAAAGAGTTTGAGAAAGATAAAGCTAAGCTTGCTGAACTGAACGAACAATATGAAAAGAATGAGACGATTTTGCTCGGAAACCTCTATCATTCGAAGAAGAGATTTGAGACTATCTCCAATGAGAAACATGCAAGCTTTGGGAGATGGAAAACTCTCATCAATGTAAATTATTCAATTGCTTTTTCTCAATTTAGAAATTCATGGCTGATGTTTGGTGCAGAGTGCCGCAGAAAATAGCACTCTTCTAGAGCCGGCTAAATTCAAGGCACTTGAGCACGGCAAAAGGCGGTCAATTAAGATTGGTCCTAAAACAAGTGCAAAGGAAGTACAGAAGGCTCTTGCTATGCACAATGGATTTAGATACAATGAAAGTAAGAAGCGAGAGATTGCCGAATGGAAGCGGAATCAAGAGGAGTTTAGTGCACGTATGGTTGTGAGTTTCATTTACATTTTTGCTAGTCATTCCCTACTGATGGCATATACAGGACATCTTGAGAAAAATGAATCACATTCTTGGTTTTAGTTCAAGTGAAAAACAATTTGACTCCTGCTTCGATGAATCAGCCTGCAATCCTCATACAGCTCTCGAGCACGTCGTCTACCATACATTCTCTTGCCACTCATCACCGGACAAGAGACTTGAGAATGAGAACTCTCAGCTTCTGGAACGGCTGAGTACAGTAAAGAGACAGCTCGAAGACCTTACGGAGAACTACAGAACCCTCGAATATGAAAAGTTCAAACTTGTTCAGGATAATGCGGAGATCTTTGGTTCTTTGAAGTCGACGCAGAATCTGATAAAACTGATTGCGAAGAATAGAGATGAACATGTTCGAACCAACAGAAGATACGCCGGAGGAAACAAGAGGCTCGAAACTGCGCTTGAATCTGCAAAGGTGCAGGCGCAGACGCAACCATGGTGGAACCCGGTACGTAAAGTGACTTTCGATGATACCAATGGCGATCTGAAGGAGGAGATCAAAAGTTTATCCAATTCTTTGGCGCAGATGAAGAGTAACAGGGAGCCGCACGACATTCTTAGAGATATCGGAATCCAGTCTCATCTTGGATTTCTCCGCACTTCCAAGGCGCACGAATATCACGTCATTCAACACCGCTCGCATCACAACATAATCTCTCCCAGTGGCCCAGGACTCGATATCAACTTCGGCTCTTCGGGAAATGGGTATTCGGGGAAGTAGTCCACATGGAAGAAATGTCCGAGCTGATGCGGCATTACTTATCATCAACTCCAATCACCGTGCAAAGTTCGAACAAACATTCCAAAATATCTATGGCGTTGTACTAGACAACGTAAAACAAGGCTGTAACGACAGGTTTGCGCCGCAATCTAAAATAACAGGGATAGCGAACTTGAGAGGAAAAATGGCACATCTAGGATGCTTTACCCAACATACTCCCGATAAAGATGCAGATGACAGATTCTCAACTCTTGCGGAGTACTGTGAATCAGAGTTCGAGTGTGCAATACAGAGATCTTCTACAGTTCTCCAGGCTGCGAAAAATTTCAGCAATGATTCGGAAATTATTGAAGCCTGTAATTCTATGCGTGAAATCTGTGATGCGCTTGTGGAGAGAAGCAAGGTTGATGGTAGTCATTCATTTATGAGTGGTGGGATTAATGGAATGTATATTTGAGCTGAGTAATGGTAGAGTGGAGAGTTGATTTTTGGGATTGGAAACGCTGTTGGATATATGTACATTCGTATGGAAAGGGTGGTTAGCAGTAATTTTACGAGGTTGGGGGTTGGAATAATGTGATTTGGGTGCATAAACTGTGCCAGCTAGTATTCCACATAGAGGGCGAGCTTTCTTTTCTACAGGACGGGTGGTGCTCCAGCTAATTTGTCTAATTATACTGAGAATAAACTACAGCCAAGTGCCATTCAATGATAGGAAGTGCAAGATGTGGGACGGTCAAAATTGAAAAATTCAGATGAATAGTTGTACACAACAAGGTTAATTTTTTTTTTTTAGAGAAATATCTTCTTTCTAATGTATATTTTCTGTGAATTCATGGTAAGTATTTGACGTCATTTTTGCACTTCTATGGATGGGTATTGCACTTGTTAACATATTTCTACCAATGGCACTAAACTCTTTCTCATGATAATAAAGTCAGCGACAGTGCTAGACTGCAACTAATGCCCTTGAAAGCACGATTAACAAATGTTGTTATGCAGACTCTGAGGTGGAAAGGACTTTGGTATCAATAGCCAAGATCGTAGATAAAATGGGCAGAGTGGAGGGAAGGTGGATAATCGATGGACCAAATATTGGATATGGCTTTTAGACAGCATCACATTCTAAGATTTATCTGATATCTTCATACCATTTTATCCAGGGATGCGATCGGTATAGCATTTATGTAGGTAACTGACGAGAGAAACACAGAAGACAGGACGGTAGTCTTCCTTTCGGTCCTCAAGCGTGGTGTACATTCGCCTTCAATACAAAGCTGAAATATCAAGAATACCTAAATCTAGCTTAATAAATCTTGGAGTCCTTATCAACTATCACCCTCGACCGTCTTGAGAAAAATAATTACAATCACCCTCGACAATCTTCTTCCAACGCAAAGTCACAATGACGGTCCTCGGCCCGGTCGCAGAGGCTTCGCCGCCTGTAGAGGATGAAATTAGACAACTCTCTGAATTATACAGCAAGCTTGCGGATCTCGATATCAATCATCTTCGAGCCTTCTACAATCACAAGGCGAAGCTTAATATTGTCGCCGCCGAGAAGAAAAACTACTACAAAGGCATCAATCAATTCCGAGAGGTAAGATCCGCCACGTTTGCTTTACTTGAACAGAGTACTGATTATTGCAAAGAACCTTAACGGTATCTTTAGTGATTGGAACAAGCTCTTGAGCCCAGTCAAAGTGTCTCAAGGTGGCATTGAGGTGATTCTGGGCACTGAAGCTGATCATCAAAATATTGACAGTGCGTGGGAGGAATACATGAAGACGCAGATCAATGGCTCCACAATCCGAGATACTGACGCGACTGTTGAGCAGAGAAAGGTATGGAAGTATCATTTCCAATCACTATATGCTAGGTATGAGTGGCTGCTGAATTGATGGATGACCACACAGGAAATTTTGAAGAGCATCAAAAGTATCCGCCGCTCCGACTAGGACACTGAAGGCCATTCTAAGGGCAACCATAACGTAACTTCTATCTGCGATACTATATCAGCAAGTCTTACCTCTAATAAGATTTCCTCTTTCAAACTCCTTAGGATCAAAGAAGGGTTGCAAAGACTTCAGAACGAGAACGATTCTCTGGTTACTGAAAATAATAGCATCACGAATCAACTGGAGAACATGAGGAAGGAAAGACATGCGCTATTAGTTGCTCGATCGAGCATTATCTAAGATAACAAGAGTATTGAGTCCAAATTGAAGCGCCTAAGCTGTACGACCTGTGACTACAGTGCTCTTGTCATGGCCACCAGTCTACGTTTCTTCAACTTATCCACGCGCCGCAATGACTTTGGAAGTTATACTACCATCCCAGACCGTGGATCCACGAATGTTGACGCAATTGATCGAGGATCTGCTGCTGTGCATAGTGGCAATGTTCGAATCCGTGCCTTTTTGATACAGACAGACTCCAGCGATCAGTTCAAGAATTATAGCGAACTTTTCAAGACTATCTACGGAGTTACACCTTTGGAGGTAGCACAGGGAGCTGAAGACAAGTACAGTTTCGATTCAAAGAACACCGAGATTGCGAACTTGAGGGGCTCAATGGCACACTGTTTGTCGTTCAGTAAACTTACACATGATCTGATTAAGGATTCGTGGTTCGAACGTCTTCGAGAGCAGTGTGAAACCGTGTACCAGAGATACCTCAAAGAGCTAGGATCAGCAGCCAACGCACAAAAGCAATTCGACAATGATGCAATAGTTGGAAGAACGCTCATTCAGATGAGAAGCATTTCAAAGCATATCACGTGGTTGGAAAGGCAGCGAAGGCAAGCTCACTTTCTCGAAGACGATAGTGGGTCCAGTACCGCCTCTTAAACAATGAGATAGCTCTGTTCAGTGTGTCGAGACGTATGGGTCGAATCCAGATCACATACAGTCAATCTTGCAGGTGCAAAACATGAAACGGAGCAAAAGATCTCGTAGCAGCTGCTTAGGGACATCATAAATTTCAGGTCTCCATCAAAATAACTAGCAAAATTAAACACGAATAACATGAACATGCAATCAATAATGATGTTAATTATTGTTGATATATTCCCATGACATGCAATCCTATTGAACATAACCATAACACTGTCAAATTATCCCAACTTGTACGTATATAACCCTTCCTTACTATACTTAAAAATCTAATCTCCTTCTCTTGACTATTATTTCACTTCAATATACGGCCTATAACATCGAGGTCATCATGAAGAAATTACCAAGTACGGTCGAAATACAGCCATGTAACTGCCGTACTTGACAACGATTAAGTATCAAGCAGCAGTAGACTATATATTTCCCGGGTATTTAAACATTGAGTCGTCTATAGAGTAAAATTGAATTTTCTTCGTCACAGGATCTTCGACATCGGAAACTGGATAGCAACACTTTGATATCGGCATATCCATATCGAGATTTCAAACACCAACCATCACGACACACTCCGAAATCATGGCCTCCCTGGGAACATCTACCAATAAGAAAGGCAGGAGCAGGAAATTTTCAATTAATGAAGACATTAGGGTAAGTAGTATCAAGTCTAACAAAGACAAGGTATATTATCAAGTCGCAACCCATCAATGCTAACCCCATTTTCTTTACCACAGAAACCACTTGCCCTCCTCAGCCAAAACATAAATCGCCAAAATTCCGGTACGGAGAAACCACTATCACATATCAGCGAAGAATCCAAAAATGCCATCTCTGTCCTAATCAACAAACATGAACGAACCAAATCAGAACTAGAGAGCAAGATATCTTCCGAAGAGAGAATGAAAACAGAGGTAGAAGAACTACGGGCTCAAGTACATAATCTTCACTGTACAATCAAAGATGATCAAAAAACTTTGGAAGAGCTAAATTCTAGAGTAGAATTGAGGATTCGAGAATCTTCTGCTGTGCCCGATACACAGGAGACTATTCTCGAGAATCTCATTGCAAAGGAAGCCCTAATTGATCGGGAATTGTTCAACCTTCGGGATGATAAAGTCCAGATGCGAGCTGAGCTATTGTTTGCCATGATGGGGAAAGTGGACGAGTCGATTGAGCATCCTGATCAAGCTAGTCGAGATAGTAACCTATTGATGCGTAAGGAAATGTATATTATGACTAAACGCTCCATTGCGCAGGATACAAAAACTCAGCTTCTATTAGCAAAAGAGGTAAGCATGTAGTCTTCTTATGTTTTAAAATATACTAATCACACACTTTTTGTGTAGGATATCCAAAAACAAAAATTGGAGATTTCGAAGGATGATCATGTTGAAGGCTACGTTCCGCTTCGACCCGCCTCTTCAATTCCACAGGACAGTGATGAGGATTCGATTGTACCAGATAGTCATCTAGGAGAGGATGAAAATCACCAGGAGGAAGGAGAAATCAGCTTCGATGAGTATCCTGTCGAAAATAACATAGAGCATCGGGATATCTCCTGGGTTACAGATAGTGGAGAAGAATCCTCGAATGTACTAGACCATCGATTTGGGCAAGAAAACCAAACAGAGGAAGATAATGACTTCGCGGCAATCGAAGAAGAAAATCAAAGAGAGGAATACAGTGAAAACCAAACAGAGGAAGATAATGACTTCTCCCCAATCGAAGAGAATAGACGCCTGAAACTAGAAATCCAAACTACCTCGGAAAAAATTCGAAAATGGAAAGGCAAATTTGATCGCTTCCGGCTCGGCACAAAAGCCACCATTGAACGGCTTGCTTCTGAACTTTTTACTGGTCAAGAAACGCTCAGAGAGTATAAGACCGCTTTGAACGAATCTTATGACACCCGTGGACAACTAGTACACAATTTAGCCAAGGCAGAGAAAGAAAAAGCTCATCTTTTTATTGTGGCCGAAGAAACTGGACTTCCGATTTTAGCAAGAAGTGCCGAAAATATGAAAAGAGTCAAACGAGATGGTATTTACACATTTTTGGACAATAGCCATCTTCGATTTAACGAGGACATTGTTCGTGCTGGGAATCTCGCCACAAACGGAGGTCACATCAATGCACACTTTGCCTCGATTGCTCTATCTGGGGAAGGGGTTGTGAGCAGTCCCGTCATCAGCCACGAGATGTTTCGCATTATTTATGGAGTTTCTGTTGGTGAATATCGTCGCTTGTATACGGTATCTGAAAGACTCGATGAGATGTTTAACATGCATGCTATTCTTGTGGAATGTGGTTCTTTTACGGAAAAGACACTTTCCAGGAACCGTGATGCTCTGTTTCGTAATCAATTTGCTCAGTGCTTGATTGAATTCGAAGCAATTGATGCAGATAACACTGTGGATAAAGGTAAAATTTTCGATGATGCGGTTGGGTCTAACCAGTTTGAAGTGTTTAATGAGATGGTTAGGATTGTGCAGGAGATTAAAGATATGCAGAGGGATGCCATGCACTAATCGGCTCATAATTAAGCGAATCGGGTTCTAATCGAAAAAAATATTAATCTGTGTTAAAGTGAATGGTTCCTGCGTAGCACGTGCACAGGACACTAGTCCTATTAGGACTAGATTGAGAAGCTCTCTGTAGAACTAAGACAATGGGTGATTCATATAAAAGGCCAATATAGCCTCAGTTCTGCCCTATCAGCTTCCCACTATTCCCTGTGTAAGGTCATTCCTTTTAACAATCTGCATGATTATGGGATCTATGGAGTTATCATCTTAAAACTCTCAAAGCTGTTGTTTTGAGGGCAAACGGGTGTGTTTTTTTCTGGTATTAATATGGTGTTTGGGTCTAGTTTTTGTCATTTCTATTTCATCAGGGAAATGAAAGAAGAGCAGAGATTGAGGACTCATAGGATAAATGCTACTTCTAAAGAATAAATTTTTTTTATCTTATTATACTAATGTATATCTAAGTATGAGAACAAAGTCTTTTATTATTTAATAATCCTTCGTCAATCTAACGATCTGAGTCAGCTGCTCCACTTTTGAGTCAATTTTAATAGTATTATTATTCAATCTTTTCGTTTTAATAATTAATAATTATGTTACGTTGTAACATTATAAACTATTATCACGTGTTATAGGATCACATGGATAGTCTTGTGAGGGAGCGAGGGAGCGAAGGAGCGAGATTCGAATCTCGCTCCCCAGCTCCATCGCTTCAATATTGGAATACGAAGGTCTATATAATCAAGATGGATTCCCTTTGTATAGAGCTTCGTGCTCAAGATCAATCATTTAGTATACTCTACTATTAGTTACGAATTGCATTATTGTCATTACTTTAAGTCCCTGCTTGACGCCTAGTTATAAACCACCTCGAGAGCCTAGAGCACTTCCACGTGATCTAGACGGCAAACCTCGTAACATTCTGTTAAATGATATATATTATCTGTTTCCTAATTTCTAAAAAATCCTTCTTCATTATATTATCTCGTGATATTTTTATTATTCATTAGAGTTAATTGCTCAAAGCGGTATGATTTTTTGACATGGTCCAAAAGAGGGGTGGTTCAAAAGACGGGTAAGCCAAAAGTGGGGCAGCTGATTGTGAGACTATATCCAGGTAAGGTCCCCCAGGTCACGACATCAAACATCAAAAGACGGATCTCATTTTCGCACTTTAAGCCTCCTACCCTCCCTAAACATCGTCTGGAATCTAGCATTCATTCAAACGATCTCAATATGGGGGACGATACCATAATATTCGATACCTACCCTGCCTCGCTCACCCTTCAAACCACATCCACCCTCCCCAAAAATGAACTGACCGGTCAAGTCGAGAAGGCTTCATCTAGAAAAGTTGATGAACAATCATCAGCATTATCACAAGTTCCGAATATCCAACCAGATACAATTCCACTAGTTTCTGCTAGTCGTCAACCACATCTCAGCGACAATGGAGTTTCATTAAGCGCGGAGGAATCATCTGAAGAATTGAAGCATGTCACAAAGCCCTTTACCTCCACAGCTATTGAAGCATCAGCCAACAGTTCTGATGATAAAAATCCCAAATCCCTCAAAGACCTTGTTGAGAGCTTCGAAAAGCTAAGGCTTGAACTCATCGGCTTTTCTGAAGAACGAGTCGAGCGTAGTATTGAGACTCGCGTCTTCGACGAGAAAAGAATTCTCATTGAAAAATTTGAGAACCTTTCCGAAGTATTTCGTGTAAGTAACAGATTTCTTCCTTTACAGTCGACAGCCTAGGTCAATTACTAACAAACATCGGCAGGAAATCAATGAAAACACCAAGAAGAATAATGATCTGATTCAAAAGATCAATGACGAACTGGGTGCCAATTATCCTCTCCAGGAATTGAGAGTATTCTCTATGTCTGATACAGATGAGCACATCGTAAAATTTACAGCTTCTCTAAGAGAACAAGCTACTGCTAAGAAAGAACAGCTAAGAAAGGAGTTTGAGGTCCGTCCCGGTACAGCCCCATTTTTACAAGAGACCCAAACTTAACTTCGATTAGGCCATCAAGCTCGAAATTTCCATGGTCCTTGACATCCCGACTATGAGCACGTCTCCCCCAAGCAATATCAAGCCAGCCCAAAGCAAAGATGACGCTAGCAACGTTGCACGGATCCTCGAGGAAAATGCTTCCCTGCAAATCAAACTTGATGCCGCACAAAAAGCTCAAGCCCGAGCTGAGGCAGCCCTGGAGCAATACAAAGCCTGTCCCCCTCAATCAAATAGCACCACCGCCGCAGTCAAGCAAGAATCAGAGATAATTGAACCCTATCTTCCATATTATAGGGTGACGGCACAATTCTGTTCTCGTGTTCGGCACGGATTTCATCACTCTGGACGGCGCATTCACCACGGCGGTGCGATCCGTGAGATTGAAGGCAGAGGTCCAGCAAGTAAGGAAGTGATTGATCTTCGTAACGAAACTTGTCATCGAGGAGATATTGCCGCGGACTTTGCACTTTTCATGGTCGATCCCAATCGTGCTGGCTGGAACGTTGGAGGTGAACGCTACAATGACTTTTTGAAATCCTATCGCATCACGCCGGAAGAATGTAAAACACTCTTTCTATTCTCCAAAGGCTATCCACCATCGATTCTTCTCGAACCCCTCAACATGCATGCTACTATGTATAGGTGCTACTTCAAGACAATTTACAACAGTAATAGCAAAAATGATAAAGACTTCGAGACTTCTTTTGAAAGAATTTTCTTGCAGTACAGACGTCTGTTGTCAACTAACGGTGTATCTCTATGGACTGATCGACACAGATCTCTGGTAAACCATCTTAATTCCGACAAACAAGCTAAGGCCGATCAAAAAGCGATGGAGGAGATTGTTCGAGAAACCATTGCTCATCAGAAAGCTCAACTTGTTCGAGCCTAAGTGGTATTGTTGGGCTTAGATAAGATCGATTGAACCCAGAACAAACTTCGAGTTTGCTATTCGACGATGGCTATGATAGATTTTCCCCCTCGCACCATTTCCCCCGACGCTTCAAACCCCATTCAGAATATTACTCGCCTCACTTATTCCACATTTTGGCTAGCCTCAAAAGCCTTTACAACTAAAGCGGTCTCAACTCCAGCATTCAGGACCTTCCGATAACAACCCAGAAAAAGATTTCCGGCGCACCAGACTGACCAACGAGTTCCGGAATAAACATCCTAGATATTTCAAAACCATATCTTTTTACATAGAATTTGGATATCCAATCGACATTCCAGGATATATAGACAAAATATACGAGAAAGACTTATCTATAATTTATTTTAAATAAGATTAAAATAGAAATTATCGAACAATAAACTTTATCTTTATATAAAATCTTCGATCTAATTCTATAATTATTTATTTTATTTAAATCATTTATATTATTACAAGACTATGAGATCACTACAAATCACATCATTTAACCATTCAATACGAATAGGAAGATAACGAGGAAGCGGTAAAGAGAAAACAACTTCCGTAGACAGAGTCAGACTTATTAACATATTTCATGATCACCGAATACATACATCATCCACTTAGCACTTCCTGTAATTGATAGTTCATTTCACAGCAAGAAATTAGGAACCCTGCCGATGTAATACCTTATTTTATTTCTACTTTTTTGATTTGTTTCACCAAACGGACCGCATACTCGTAAACTCACAGCTAATCATGAGGAAATATAACATCAAGCACTCTTAAACATAAAAATCGTCTAATCATACCAGATTAATAGACACACACGATCGAGCCCATGCTTTCTTTAGGCTATGCGATAAAATACATTTCCACACGATATCAGTAATCAAGCCAATTTGTAATGAAAAAACCCTGTCTAGCGCCGTGCTCAATCCCTGATCCAGCCTCCATTATTTCCAATACCTCAAGACAATGCGACTACGATGACTCCTGAGTCGAGCGAAGTGATTCCGGGTGGTCTTCCTGACTCGGTTTTGAAACCTTTTGCATTGCCTCGATATCCAATATGGTTTCATTGAAAACACCAGTCAATCTAACGCAAATTTGATTCCTGTTCCACTCTCCTCTCATCTTCCATATATAGTCCATTAACTCACGGTAAATTTGTTCCAATTGTTCAATCGAACAACCGCTTGATCCATCTGTGAATTTTTCTAATAGTTCAATTGCATAGTATTCTGTCATGATGTATTCCTTTGGCGAAGATGACTGCGTATAGTTGGCTTCAATTAGCGAGTCATCAGCCGCGCCGCTACTCTGAGAAGGCTTGAATGCAGATGGCCGTGAGGGAGCATCAAAGTGTGGTACAGGTGGCCTTTCTTGTGAATTGTGTGTGCTAGGTGTCTGGGATGGAAATCCAAGGTGACCGCGTGCAAGAGCATGTGCTTGTGAATGAAGCCACTCCTCGCCGCTACTTTTCTCTCCCTCGGCCACATTTGTGGTTTGCGTGCTTAAATTCTGTGACAGCCGCTGCGTTTCCGGAAGGTCAGCGTCTGGTCTTTGCCCGTCTATCGGACTTGAAGCACCTGGACGAGTACCGTTCGTAGCTTGTGTACTCCAATTACTCGAGGCCCTCTTAGAGGTCGTTGTCTCTGATGTTTTCTTTCCGGAAGTTGTTGGCGAAGCGTTGTTGATCAATGCATTTAGAGATGCGTCATGTGAAATCTCCTGGAAAGCAGATCTCTGAGAGTTGAACCCAGTGGCACGGTTTGAGCTGCTCGAAGGAGCCATTGATATCTTGGGTGGCCATTGCTGACGAGGAAGAGCAGGAGAGCCCTGGGAATAATCGGAAGCATTGTCGTTTGTCCCGCTTATCATAATATCTTCACCGCTTGCTCTGGACGGTACAGAAGATCCATTGACTGTAGGCTGCTGAGAGCTTGAAACTATTGAGTGACCGTTGGAGAGCGGAGCGCTAGGGGTTTGGAAAGCTGGAACATCAGAGACCGGGCGTCGACCAGGAATAGCTTGGCTTAAGTTTATTGCTCTCGAGCTCGTTTCTTCAGAGAAGATATCTGAATGCACTAAATCTATCCCAAGTTCTAGCTCTCGACCCTTCTTCCTACTTGCTTCCTCTGCTTCCTTAGCCCGTTGTAATTGTCGTTGATATAAGTTTTCGCAATCAGCAAACTTAGGATCAAATTCCATCGCGTAAAGATCAACTTCAACATTAGCAAGAATTTCCTTGGCCCTGAGCTGTCGATCTTTATCACCAAAAGCTTTGGCATCTCTAACAAGAGTTTTGATATCGAACACGAAGTCTTTTGGTCGAGCGTAGAAACCATTGACTAGCCGTTCCTCGATTATTGTGGTATCTAGATTGTAACAGATCTTCCCGGTCGCAGTTTCACGAAGACATTGCACTCCTTTTCTGTCAACAGCCAATTCAAATGGTCGGAACTGAGGTACATCTGGACGGACAAAATTTGGATCCTTTTCGTCCAAGAGGTATTGGATCTGATTTTGTGGAAGAATTGGTTGTCGGAACTTTCTATACCTTCTATGGATCTGATCCATGATGGGCTGAATCTGCACTTTCAAGAGATTCAATATATGGCGATCAGCCAATAATCTTGCCTTAATTTCCTCTTTGGAAGGTCCTTTTGGCGGCGGCGGTGGTGGAGCCAGCTCAAGCGGTTCTAGCTTACGCTTCTTACGATTGGCTGGGTCAGGAAACTCGGTTGGTGCTTTTCGGCAGTACGAAATAATGCTCTGGAAGAATTCCTCTCGCGATTTCTAAGACTCGTTTAATATCTCCAAACATACAGTAGTAGAATGATGCTTACCCTTGACGGTCGATTGATGGTGAAGTGGTTTCGTTTTGAAAACCCAAATATATTGCGCAACATTTGCGGATTTACTTTATCCGGGCCGACATTTGTTATGCCGAGCACTAAAACAGGGTCTGTAGGGGGAATAGCATTGAGAAGTCCAAGAAACGTAGTTATCACATTCTCTGGAAGTGTACGATACCAAGTGTCAATTTCTGGAAGGTAAATAACGCTTGGCTTATGGCGTTTGACTTCGGCAAACAATTGAACGATAGCTGTCTCCGGCGACTAATTTCACATCAGTACATGATCCAAGAAAAATAAATAAGGTTTGGAGGGAATACAAACCCTAGTAGAATCTAAATATATAGTCGGAAGATCGAAACTCTGGACATGTAATCCCTCGAAGTGATTCAACAAGGCACCGCCGAGGTATCCTTGACCCATGCCAGGCTCGCCGTCAATGAGTAATCTTGGGCGAAACACTCGTGATTTTTCAAACTCTTGCTGCATTTGTTCTCGAGCAAATCCTTGATCATCATCGTCATATTGTTCATACATTGCTTCTTCCAATGCGGTTGTCTTCTTCTTGATGGGAATTAGATTATCAACAATCTCTTCGATTGCGCTGAGTTGTTCTCGAAGTAGAGGCTCCACACTCTTTGGTAATGGTTTGGCTCCGGAAGAAGTTGAACGTTCAGATGATGGTACAATCTTCTTGACCGATATCATGAAGTCCTTGGCCGTAACCTTAATTTTCGAAGAATCCACAAGAAGCTTGTCATTAGAAGAATATATTTGAGGATATGAACGCTGAATAGAATTGAGGGCAGCTTGTGTACATAGAGCACGAAGATCAGCACCACCATATCCCTTGGTAACTTGAGCCAGAGAAGTCTTGAACGAATCATCAATACCCCAATCCTTAGTATGAATGTTGATGATTGATTTTCGACCTTCAATATCAGGCAATGGAAAGTAAAATTCTCGATCAAATCGACCGGGTCTTCTCAATGCTGGATCAATGTTGTCGGGTCTGTTTGTTGCTCCAATGACAATGACTTGCCCTCGACCATCCATACCATCCATGAGTGCCAAGAGCGTGGAAACAATAGAAGCATGAATTTGCTCTTGCTTGCTCGATCGGACAGGAGCAAGACCGTCAATCTCATCGAAGAAGATGATACTTGGCTGGGTGTTCCTCGCCTCTTCAAATAACAATCGAAGCTGTCTCTCGGCCTCACCAACCCATTTACTTAGAGCATCAGCACCTTTTCGCATATAGAAGGTGACTTTGCGACCACCTGTACCAACAGTGGCTGCCAGGGCCCTGGCTAAAAGGGTTTTACCAGTACCTGGTGGACCATGGAATAACACACCACGTGGGGGTGTCACGTTAAACTTTTGGAAAAGTTCGGGATACAATAGAGGCATTTGTACCATCTCTTTGAGCTGTTCAATGTGACCATCAAGTCCACCGACTTTGGTAAAATCAACATTTTTGTCAACGCCGAGAGGGTCTGCATCTGCGAGGGCTTTCTGACTTTTGACTTTTCCTACCTGCGCACCGATTCCGATTGGCGTTTGATCAAGTTGATTTGCTTGTGGCATAGGTGGAAGCAAACCAGGCCTTCCCATAGTGGCAGAGGTAGGTGTCATACCAACACCGGTAACAGCTGGACGTTGCATGTTCTCGTCGTCGCTATCGTCCGAATCAACACCACCAGTAGCACCATTACCCCAAGGACCATTAATAAGCGGAGGTGGTCCAAGTCCACCTCCAAACGGACCATATGTGGCATGTAAATTGTGTTCCCATGGTTTGCTTGCCGGCCCACGACCGCCACGACCTCTACGGGATGGACTCGGTGCTGGGTCTTCTACGTCGTCATCTTGAGCGTATATCTGGTCCATTGGCATAATTTTGTAGTCGACTTGCTTCCGTTCACGACGGCCTTTTGGCTCGTACGTGATTTCCGGTTCGCGATTGCGTCGTCGAGATGGCCTGAGCTCTTGAAGCTCATCTGCCAATTCTTCCGGGTCCAACTCATCTTCGTCGTCTGATACATTACCACGTCTTCGAGAAGTGCTCTTGGACTTTGCTCGCCTTGTATTCCTTCCAGGCCTAGAGGAGCTAGAATATTCGCCATCATCATCCCCGCCTTTCTTTGGCGAGGCTTCAGATGCAGTCATCTCTTCCTCGGAACCTTCGCCTTCAGGCGTAAAATCACTTCCATCATCTTTGTTTCTCTTCGAACCTCGAGTTCTCAGGCGTCGAGAACCAGTAGCTGAAGTTTCGGTTGTCTCTACTGCTTCTTCTGTAATTTGGCCCGCGTTACTTGACCTAGAGGCTCTTGTGCGAGTCCTTGTGACTGGTTCATCGTCGTCATCCTCATCATGGCCGGCTGGTTTTTCTGTCGGCACTTCATCAACGGCGAGTTCGTCCACCATATCTTCATCGGCCGGCGCATCAACAGGGGGAACAGGTACAAATGGCTCGGTATTATCTTCCTCTCCATCATCTGTTCCTACTATCTCAGGCTGCATTACAATATCGTCTTCGCCTTCGGCGTCTTGTTGGGGGTCTTCGTATGAGCTCGTCTCGTGTGCCTCTTCTTTGATAGTAGAGGCAGCAGGTTGTTTGAGGCCCTTCGCTCCTCTAGTGGCTCTCACGCGACCAATCGGCTCTGGTGATCTCGAAGCCCGAATGACATGTCTGCCGGAGTTTGATAATGAAGGAAAATCTTCACCTTCCTCGGTACGCGCGCGAGTGCTCCTTCTAAGTCCAGCAGATGTAGGCTCTGCGCTTGCTCGAGCTTTTGCGGCGCTACCAGCTCTTGTTCTTCGCGCGGGTGTACTTCCGGTTGGCATCTTAAGTGTCACCATGAATTTTTTCTTTTCTGCTGGTTTCTGCGCTGTCTTGTTTCGCTTCGAAGTGGGCTCCTCGACTTCATCTTCGTCCTCGTCCTCGCCGTCGTCTACAACGCGCCTTCGCTTATTTGACTTCTTCGGACGGACCTCTTCCTCGGATTCCTGGAGCAAATCAACCTCACTATTACTATCCTCTTCATAAGTGACAGCTTTCTTGGCAGCTTTCCGCACAGCTCTTCCAGTCTTCTCGTTCATTTCGAAATCTTCTTCCTCGGATTCTTCTTCTATGAATGATTCCTCCGATACGCTTTCATCATCCTCATCAATATCTGAATCCTTGTATTTATTCTTTTTTCGCGAACCTGCTTTCTTTTGCGATTGAGACCTTGGCTTTCTAGGGGTCTTTCGAGGAGCGACTTCGGAAGGGGAGAAATCGTCGTCGTTGGAGTCGGATTTATTAGGGTCGAAGAATTCCAATTTGCGGTTCTTCGCTGGCATAGCGGGGAGTGGGGGTTATATGTAGCTTCGAAGTTCAAAGACCGTATAGGAAGATGTTAAAGCGATGGTGATTCGTCGAAATTCACCTGTTTGTTTAAAACATTGATAAGTTTCGCGCGCTGCTGTATATGGAAAGCGATTGATGTTCAGTTAATGTTGAACAACAAAATACTCTTTTCTGTTGGAAGTGAAGTGTAAATATAATAAGATTAGCGAATGATAATAATCCTTTTTCTCTTCCTCTTTCCTTCTTCTTTCCGCGAAGAAGTTATTCGCATGAAATTATGATGAATGAATTGGTTTCTATCTGTGTTTACCTATTCAATGTTGATATGGATGGAAAGCTGATTTCTCACTAGGCGCGTTTTTGATTCTGCCTGGGGTTTGCCGGTGATCGCTTAGTCCTCCGTCACGCTAACAAAGCGCCACCCCATAATTAAATGATTAGGCGATAACCATTTTGAGTAAGAAAGTCATCTTTTTGATCCATTTTTGACCAACCTTTGAAATGAATTGAAACTTTTCAATTCGACCATATCAACAACATCATCACATTGATGAAGGCATGGAATCGAAAACTTTTCTCCATTGTCTCAAAATGAGATTATGTGAGGTTTTATATACATCTCCGAAGAAAGACGAAATCAAATGGAAAATAAACCATGATTGACATGAGAAAAAGAAAGAGCTTTTTTAAGGAAAGAGAATTTGATACTCACTATCAACCTTATATAGTTCTCATGCGGCTCAAAAGCTTATCTCGATTAAAGTCTGGTACCTTTTGGACCCCTTATAGGAAAGTATGGGGAAACACGTGAGTATCTGTCGCTTGGTGTCACGTGATTATAGATGGTCATCCCGGCGTCACGAGGCCTGAGCATCATAATTCTTTGGAACAACAATAGAAATGATATTTTATATACCCATGTTCGTGTCTATGTTATTGCAGTAGTTCATTAGAAGTATCAACATAAACTGAAGTTTTACAAGCATTATCACTATTTGATCCTTTTCAACGAGTCGCAAAGCATGAAGCAGTCTTCAACATATTTCACTGATAGTGTACTACGCAATTTTCAAACTCCAGTTTCTCAATACACCAATATCCGTTCTATCCTTCTAAATAGTAGCACAGTTCAGTGCTCATCAATGTACAGCAATTATACCCAACAATCACCAACCCAATCTATACAGATACACCTCACAACTTGGCCTTCTTCCTCCCTTCCCCCTTATCACCTTCCACAATCTCCACATCCCTAAAGTCAACCCCTAAAAACTTCCAAATAAAATGAAACCTATCACTCCCAAAAAACGGTTCCTCCAATCCCTCCCCATTCCTAACCCACAACCACGGTGCCCCAAATGCACCCTTCCCAAGCGCATCTTTTGTATTCTCCAGTAACTTATCCTTCCACTCTTTCTCCGCCGCCATTGCCATAATCTCCTCTACCTGCTTCTCATCGAACGAGCCTAGCTTACTTAGGAACTCCCGGAGTTCGTCAGGAATCGTGATGTTTTTGTGAGGGGCAACCCAAAGGGCATTGAAAATGCTCAAGAATGTTTTCTCGAATGTTTCGACAGGATAACGGGATTTGATGAAGCAGAGTGCTCTTTGAGGCTTTGTGTTCACATCAGGTGTTAGCTACGAATCAGTATCCGGCGAGAGATGACTGATTACATACAAGAAGTGTCACAGGCGGGAAGAAATCAGGAGCTTGAAGATCCGGAAGCCCATGATATGATATCGTGCGAGCACTATCGAATTTGCTATACTTTGCTTTGGCAGGAAGACTCCATGGCGGTTTGTTTCCCGAGCCGTTGTTTATGCCGCCGAGGAAGACTGGAATGATACTTGAGATTGGATTTAGATAGGATCTGGAAGAGTAGAGAGGTAGGAAACTCACTTCACGGTAACATCATGAGTAAGAAGAACTTCTCGGTTCTTTCGGAGATGTGCTATTGCAGCGTAGCTGTAGAATGAAGCTTCGGTATCGATAGGGGTTAGCCGGGTGGTAGAATGCGGGGGACGTGGGGAAAGTTCAAGTTCCTGGAGATAAATGATTTGATGCACTTACAGCAATCGAGATAACAATCTATGTGGCCCGGCATGATGAGTTTACTTTTAAAAATTTTAGCATCAATTGAAAGAATGGCGTGCTTTTCTAGATATCGAAACACAATGAAATGGATCAAGGTTTGAGACCAGTTTCCGTGTACCTCGGCTCCAAAAGCTCGACACCCGGAAATCCTGATCACTAAACATCATGCATGCATCATTGCGCACGCTTCTCCTCTCCTCTCCTCTTGTGTCCCTACAAACATTTGATCACTAAACTTCCCCTTCCACGAGGTCCGAGATATGTATTCTCTAATATATATTAATCCAAATGGTCGGATACCTTAATCCTCATTCCATCTAAATTCTCAATTCATCATGACATTTAAAGAAGTAGCACTTGTGATCGGCGCATCTCGAGGGATTGGACGACAAATTGCAATTGATCTCGCCAAGGACGGATATGCAGGTACATACACATATATCTCATCCGTTCATAGCCTGCACTAACAAAGACCCCAAGTGATCGTATCCGCCAAATCCACCAGCGATGCCTCCGCAACTCATCCTTTCCCACCTAACCCCAATTCATCTGCCTCAACCATCTCCACCGTCTGTCGGGAAATCGTTGAATCGGGGGGAACAGCCACTGCCATACCATGTGATGTTCGCAACCATGCCGATGTCTCCTCTCTCGTTTCCCAAGTCATCTCAACTTATGGACGCATCGACGTACTGGTCTACAACTCCGGCGCCATATACCATTCCTCCGTGCTCACCACCCCCTTATCCCGTTACATGTTAATGGAATCCGTCAATCCTAATGGTCTCTACGCATCCATCCAATCTTGCGTCCCGCATTGGAAAGCCCAAAATTGGAAAGCGAGGATAATAGTTATATGTCCCCCAATCTACTCCCGATTTTTCCGGGGCAAAACCGCATATGCTATGGGAAAAGTAGGAATGAGTGTTTTAGTACAGGGACTCGGAATGGATATTGCGAGAATGGGAGAAGAGGCCAAAGAAATGGCGGTTACGGGACTGTGGCCCGCGGTTGCGATTGAGTCTGCAGCGACCGCTCATTTTTCCTCGCCCGACGAGCATTTGAGACATCCTAGCATTTTTTCTGATGCTATTTTGTCGATCTTAAAGGCACCATCTAAGGATGTAAATGGTCTTTTGACTTTGGATGAGGACTATTTGAGGGATCATGATGGAGTGACAGATTTTAGTAAATATGCTTTAGTGCCTGGGACTACACCGAGGAGGATCATGCCGGCCAAGTTTCCGGATTTGACGGTTGAGGAACAGGATGATGAGGGGACGAGATTGGATAGTGCGAAGAAGGAGGAGGATGGGAGGTTGAGTAAACTCTGAGAAGATTATGGATGTGATAAGTCAAGGCAGATTTAAGCAGGTTAACCCTTCACTTATATTTCCTATGTAATATGCCGTATCAAATCAATGAATGTCATAAATTTAGATTCATTCTAGTGTTAGCAACCAACCTAATGAAACGCCCAGAACTACCTTAGCCTTTTCTCCCTCCGATTAATCAAGCATCCATCCCACCGCGCCGTCAAATCATCATCTTTTGTCCATAGTATTTCACAACATTATCCTAATACTAGTTCCCGCAAGCTAAACGTTGCTTTAGTCTAGTAGCCATCCATACCACTCCTTTCCCTTTCCTTTCCTTTCAAAAACTATACTCCCCTCCCTCTAATATACACTCTTCCAATTCTGTCTCCCTACAGTTCTACCTTTCCCCAATCCTCCAATCCCATCTTCCATATCCCACTTTCCATATAATCTCACTCTACACCATCCGTCTACTCACTCACACATCCATACAACCAACCCATCATATCATATCATACAATATACACCAGCCCCCTCTCCCCCTCGCCCTTCCCTTCTTCCTTCCCGAGTCTTTAAGCATTATTGATGATTTTCTATCATCTACTTTAATCACCTACTTCCACCCATCCTATTACATTTCTTCCCAAAAACATTTGGTAGAACTCACAAAATGAAGAGTAGTACTGTATAAATCGAGAAAACCCTCATCTTACAATGTGATATTGATATATTGATATATTGATATAAATATAATTATATTTAAAACAGAGGAAGAAAGAGAGATCAGCACTTGATCCATCCATCCATTCATCCATCTCTTCCATAAATATATCATTACCATTCTATTGATCTATCATCTATATATATACCCAGGTATGTATTTACCAAATTTAGTATTCGAGTGTATTTTCCACACCATATATACTATCTATACTATTCCCTATAACGCCAATCTAATAAAGTCTAGTCTAATCAATTCAACTCGACGTAAAAAAGATAAAAAGAGAAAATCATCCACAAACCAATCCATCCTTTGGAACCTCCACTATTTCCTTCTCTATCATACTCCCCTCTTCCTTACCCACAATCTGCATCTCGACCTTCCCTTCCTCCTCAGCACCATTGACTTCCTTCCCCGCATCTCCTTTCCCCTTCCCACCCCTCTCTTTCCTACTCAACGTCAAACTTCCCTTCGCCAATGCTTCCATAGGTAATGGTCTAACATAAGGCTGCACCACCCACCAAGGCCTCTTACACCTCCTAACCATATCGAGAGAGCTCTCCTCGAATTTAATTTTCTCACTACCTTTGCCCTCACCATCTCCATCTTGTCCTCCTCTCCCATTAGCACCCTTCCCACCACCCTTCATTTTCTCCTCCCTTTCTTTTTCCGCTTTCTCGACTTCTTCTCTATAACTTTCGCCATTTGTTCTCTCGTATTCTATTATTCCCTCTTTGACAACCTTTTCCGTCATTTGTAGGACGTTTTCAAAAGCTTGTACATCCCCTGCTCTACACTTTGCTAATGCATCTCTAATATCATGATGTTTTGAAACCAGCGGTCTAAGAAGTTTGAAGCAATGCGGTTGCATAGCGACCAGACTTGGACTCGTGGTCCTCTCCTTCTTTTCTCCCTTTTGTTTCTTTTTTGGTGGTCCCTCTTCCTCTTCCTCTACCTCTTCAAGCTTTTCTTCCGGATCCGAGGATATGAAGAGAGGTTTTCTCTCAGGCGGCGATACCTGCAAAACATATTTATAAATGATATCCATGTATCTCCTCAACACAGCATCCATTCTCCAACCTCCCAATTTCCCATCCAAACTCCTCCAATACTCTCTCCCTTCCTCCCTCAGAGTCGGCGCATCCGAAAAGATCGTCGGATCATATAAATTTCCTTCAGCACTCATTACCCCATCCGCACCTGTCACTTTCAGACACTCATCAATATCCTCCCTTGACAGAATATTTCCATTCGCAAAAAGAACCACTTCTTTCGGTAAACTCTCCCTCAAAAATCTCAATACCGCCCAATCCGCCAAACCCGTTTTATGACCCTTCATCTCCCTCGTCCTTCCATGCACCGTCAAGATGCTTGCTCCAGCACTCACCACCATCTTTGCATATTCCAACGTCTTCTCCCTCGTTTCCAATATCCTAATCTTTGCCGTAACAGGTACATCCAATTCTTTATGTAGCGTATTAATCAACTTATAAATGAGCCCTTGGTCCTCCTGCAAGAAGGCCCCATACTTTCCTCTCCTCGCGATACCCTGAGGACATCCCAAATTCAAATCTACAGCATCGCAAAAAGGCGCCACATATTTAGCTCCCTCGAGTAATTCCTTCTCATCATTCGCGCAAAATTGTACGAAAAGAGGTCGATCGAAAGCTGGATTCCCATCAAGAAATATATCCTCCTTTGGAATAGGACAAGACGAATCTAGCTGAGAAACAAGCGAGCTTTTCATCGGCTGGAAATGTGCATCGCGGAACTTGGGAGTTTCAGAGAACATGCGCGCATGAAGCATGGGTGTGTATGCCAAGAGGGATTTGTTTGATTCTGGGGACATGAAGGAGCGAGACAGCATGCGCCAGGCCTGCGCAAATTCGAATTAGTATGAAAGGCTAGAGAAGAGCAGAAGCATTATCACGGATGGTTCGCCAACTTACGAATTCAGACTGATCTACCATGGGCGCGAGAATGAATTTAGGACTATCAATGCTTTCATAAAAGGCGCGGCCATGCAGTTTCTTGGGTGTATTGCTAGAGCCATTTGCACTCTTTTCATGCACAATCGATTCTGAATTCACTGCTTCAGTAGCTGGCAAATCGTTTGAGACTGCCATGATTCTTCGAATTTGAAGTGGTAGAAACTGGCGGGTGCCAGCCCTCAGCCCTGAATGAATGCGATTTATGATAGTAGCCACTATTTAGATTGTATCGACCAAAGATACAGTGATCAAAGCGTAAATAATGTATAAAAAAGAGGTTGTTTTCATTTCAATTAATTTCTCAAAAGAGTTTTAGCGTGGTGGAGAAGGAGTAGACGAGGCTATTGAGACAAGGCTACGTCCTATTTATTATTTTTATTATATTATCTTTTCTTTATTGATATTTACCCCCTGAAGCTACCATCTAGACAGTATGGGATGGAACCCACATCAAAGCTCGATATTTCATGCAGAAAGTCTTTGACTTTGGACAGGCCAAGTGTCAAATAGATCAATCAACTCGATCCAGATTCTTCTATGATCAGGATTGTATCCAAGCTTTTATGTTTGTTGATTTGTGCACTCAAGATCTAGAATTCCATTCCAGACTCGTTGGGAAATCTAGAACCTCTACTAAGACAATAAAAGGAGACAAATTTGTTTCGAGTTTCCTCGCATTTCATGGATACTCTACACTCCCTACACTCCGGATCCCAGGGTCTAGTTTCCGTACTACATAGTCACCTGCAAATACATTCTAGACTTGTGTGAATTGGCAACCATTGCTTGTATTGTATCATTTGATTACGTAGAATATGCCATCCCCATTTCTCTCCCATATTTCCCTCCTTTCTCAAACATAATAACAGGCGCTGAAGTACGACGATGAGGTGACGACGAATATAAAGTAGACCAGACCGACCAAATGAAGAAAATGAAAATTAGACCATGACATTGACCGAAGTGCAGATCTCAAAAACCCTAGAGATCAAACAAACCCGTAGAAACCAACCGAGATCGAAACTTTTTGAGTACGAGTTTGTACCATCATCCTTGGTAGCTAGGAGAAACAAATTACCAGCATATCAGAACAATTGAAACTCTTCTCTTTTTTTCACAACCTCGGAAAGCTTCACACACATCTCTCCATTCCCAAATTTCTACCGTCGCCCCTAAAAGTAACCCCCCTAATATATCCTCCCTCATCTTCTTCAACATTTATGCTCGAAAAAAGATGGCCGACGCCAGTCTATGAAATAATATTGTTTTCGACCAAATCGCTCAGATGTGAATGAACTCCTGGACACCAATAATGCGAAAGACCGCTAAACGCCTAATAGTCTTGAGTGTGTTTGTGACTACACAGTTGCTTGCAATAGCAGAGGAACTTTGTAAGTCGTAACTTGTTTTAAACAAATAGAATAATCGTGGTTTCATCAGAAGAAGTGTGTGTAGATCTTAGAATTCTCATGAACCTCCATTTCCTAATCCTGGTGAGTATGTAATCAAGGATTTTTGAAAGAATAACATACCATTTTGAAAGTATTAAGCTCCTCCTTAATTTGTTGAGCGAGCATCGGGGTGAGTCGATTGCAGGTTGCAATTTCGCCTCTACGATCGTATTCTTGGCTTGGCCAAGTGTCGTGGAATTGGATCCGTGGACTAAATGTAGCGTTCCTCTTGATAGTACCGGAAGGTGTTCCAGGAACACTTCTTGAATCTCCCTTGAATTTGAGCGCAGACATGAAATAATCCTCCCCTCCTAAATTGACTGCTTGCTTGTGAACTTGGTCATCGTTTGGTGTACTAGGGGTGGAAGAATTTGGTGAGTCATTGTTAACATTTGGAATTTGCGGCAAGTTAAAGTTTGCTGCTTTTCCATCGACAGGAAGGATAACTGGTGATGAGTTTCCAGAGCCTGTACCGGAGCCTAAGATAATTTAATCAGTAAAAGACGACAAGATCAATTATGAGCAACTCACGTTTGAGGATACCCTTCTTGACAGCGGCCAAGACCTCAGCACGCTCCTTCTCACCACCAACAATACTTCTTCTATGCCCAGAACTCTCAGTGTTAGCACTTCCCAGACGATCGGTGGCCACTGAACTGATAGCTGCAGTGTCGAGAGAATTCCTCTCCAATCTAGGGAATCCTGTCCCACCAGAAACAGCATCAGCAGCATTGGCGTTGACATTGACCTTCTCCCGTTCGGCTTCAACATTAACCATCGAGACCTGAGCTCGGCTGGCTTCAGGCACAGCTGCATCAGCTGCGGGCACACCGATAACAGACTTTGGTCTGAAAAGACCAACAAGAGATCTAGTTGATTTCTTCATGCCTTTCCCCATCTTTCGAATCATGACTGAAGCCGATGAGGCTGTTGAGGATATAGACAAATTGTCGGTTGAACCAGTGAAGAAATTGCCCTGGCCAGAGTAGATGTTAGATCCGATGCCTGCAGCTTCTTGTCGCCGAGCAATCTTGTCTTGCTCGGCTTCTTGTTCACTTTGGTATTTTTCTCTTCGTAACTTGGAACGATCCAAAACATCATTGCCACTCCTGCTGACATGGGTCTCTGCAGATGCCTTTCGTAGCTCGGCAGCAGACCCAAAAGAAAATGCCCTCCTTAATCTTGATGTCTTACTCTTCTTTCCTTCCTTTTCGTTTAATGCAGCCAAATGCTGTGCAGCAGGGCTGATAGCGTTCGGGCTTGTTGCAGCCTGTCCAGACGTAGGTTTGGATTGTGTTGGCTGTAATGCCGCATTTACCGCCGAGGCAAACGAGTCCTTAGACTTAGATGCCGAGGATTCGATACCCATCGTCGCCGGCTTCGATAAAGGGGAAGGACTGGAGAGTCGTTTCGCGGCATCGGTTGAGGATGCACGAACTGGAATATTCACAAGTCGTGGCTGATCATTCTTAGAAATCGCTTGGTCTCTACCATTGGAGGTATTTGAGTTTGCGACGGTAGGAGTCGAAGATTGGGCGGGGCTGGTAGATGCCATCGATGCACTTGTTGCTTCTCGCTTGTCCGACTGAAACAGGTTAGTGTGCTCCCAATTTTAGTGCTACACTAATGTGATTGGTGAGGGTTAAATTGCGGTGACGCCGTATGCACGATAAAGTCCCGTGAACCATGAGTGGGGGGGAGCAAGGACTGGGTACAAAAATTAACCTGAAGACTTACCGAGTTTGGGTTTGAATGACCGCTGCGAGTGGATTTCAAGCTGTCGGTACTATCATTACGGCTGTGAGATGCTGCTGGGCGCACCATTACGACTGGTGAACTACGCAAGGGGTGTTGCTCAGGCTGCTGATCAATACGACCACTAGCGTTGTCGGCTTGCTTTGACCCCTGCTGTAAAAATCCAGGACTTGGACTAGTATTGCTATTATCGTGTGCATCGATTGTGTGTATGCTCCGACGTCTATATCTCTTTGCTTGTTCCGAGGTGGTACGCTGATTTAATTGCATATCATCAGCCGTTGCACTTGGTTGATTTGGTGATTGCGGCATCTGTAAGTTGTATGCCTGGGTATTGGTTGCTTGTGTACTAGCGCCATAAAATTGCATGACATTAGGCATGGATGAGACGGAAGAGCTAGGGCCGCTGGCCTGACTACTGTTCGAGGACTCGGCACGACGAACTGCTGGACGGCGATAGCGGTCAGGGGCAGGTTTTGCTGGTGAACCCAGAGGAGCAGGAGCTTGAGTATATGACGTGATGATGGTGGAATTTGGTCGAGAAGCTCGAGTGGCAACTCGAGCAGTGGAGGTGATGGCGGAATCATCCCTTGTTCCTGATCTGTGGGAAAGCTCTGATGATGACGACGAAGATGTGGTTGACACAGACAAGGCAGCAGGGTAGCGTGAGCGACTTGAAGGATTCCCTGAGCCGCCGTGCAATGTGGGAACTATGGGGGCTGATGATGTTCTCTGTTGTTCCGGCCTGGATTGAGACCCGTTTTGTGGTTGTTGACCTCCTATGGATAGACCGGGTGTGCTGGTGAATGCATATGGTGCCATTGGGGCCATGGAACTATGGCCGCGGTAATTTGATGCTGCCATATTGTTGTTCAAGCCATGAAAGTTATTTCGCTGTTGTGGGTTGGCAGGGTACTGGTGATAGGCAGCTTGGTTCTGCGAAGGTTGTAGAGTGCCAGAGGCAGAGGAAGGTCGAGTTTGAAGCATAGTGACCGTGGTTGTCTGTTGTGGTAGTGTTTGAACGAGAGCGGCCATGCTGTGAACTTGGCTAATTTTGAGTTGTTGAAAAGCAAACAGCTAATTTGCCATCTACAAAAAAAAAAGGTTCGAACTCAACGTAGATTCTAATTGAGTAAGTATGGAAAAGACTGTGATGGATAGAAGGTTAGCAGGTTGAAATAAATTTCTACTTCGATGTGTAGGTACGGCTGGCTGTACTTGATAGGCTACAAGCGCGATGTTGGAGTTGACGGACCTTCAAAGAAAGCTAGAAGTTTTTGATGGAGTTGATAGACAAATGAACAATTATTACGAGAGTTGTGGGTTTAAAAGATAAAGGTCAAGACGAGTTAACGGTTAACCTTTTTAAAATTTCGTGAGGTTGTGAAAAGGTTTCGGTTTCTGAATGGAAGAAGGAGGTCGCCCGCGGCCAGAAATTTGGTTGGAGGTCGATCAATCTTCCCTCTCGCGTCCAGGCAAAACACACTGTTACCGTGAGTTCTTGTTGATGCCCTTTCTTTTTTGGTAATTCTATTAAAG